TTATTAAATATAGCTTAAATAATTAATTATTAATATAGTATTTATATAATAACTAGATTAAACTTTTATTTAAAGTTATTAGCTATATAATTAAAATTATTTATAAAATCCTTTATATTTCTTTACTAATATAAACCTAATATTAAAGGTTTATCCCTTAAGAACTAGCTACCCTATATTAGGTATAGGATTAGAATATTATATTATAATATTTATTATTATTTATTTATAAAATATAATATTTATTTAAATAAAAGTTATTAATATATAATAATTTAATTATAAAAAAGATTTTATTAAAGGTTGAATAAAATAAACTATTATAATAAAATATTATTTTATAAATTTTTTTTTTTTATTATTAAATATATTATATAACTTATATAGTTAATAAATAAAATATAACTTATATAGTTAATAAATAAAATATAACTTATATTTAATATTATTATATTATTAATAATTAATTATTAAAGTTATTTAATAAGTATATATATATATTTTTATATAGTAAGTTATATTTATAAAGTTAATTAAAATTAATAATTAACTTATATTAATTTTTATAAAAGTTAATGCTGAATTATTATTAACTTATATATAATTAGTTATTTAGTCTATAGTTAATCTATAGTATATATTTTAAGCTGCAACTAGATGTATTGGGTTATAACAGGGATCCTAGCTATACAAAACTAATTATCGGCTATGTCCAGGATTACTTGTTAATATAGTATTACAATATACTGAATACAAAGGCTTTTCAACCATTTTGAGCCCTAATTCTTTATTCAAGCACTATTTTGGCTGCAGCTTCTGTATACTTATTTATTTACTAGTTTCACACTGTGTCAACCATTAGCTGATGAGAATAACGGCGATTAACGTTATACAATTTAACCCACAAACGTAGTATCCTATTTTAGCAGCCAACTAGTCCCTACCGCGATTATGAAATTACTACAAAATACATACCTATAGCGAGTACTCTTCTTAAGCCCAAGAACTAGCGTCACATTGGGATGTAGAAGACATATTTGTAAAACATATTTTTGAAATAGGATTTCACTGATCACTAGTACCGATGAGTAGAAAGGCAACTATATAGACACACAAATCCGAAACTGTGTTTCACTGATCACCAGCACCAAGCCCCCTTTACACTATCTGGAACAAGGTTGCACCACCAACCGGTCCTTTAACACAGCCCTGACCCACAAGCGCCGTTACAAAGGTAGCTCCAGGATCAGAGGATACAAGAGCGCCTTGATACGACGCGTCTCCTGTCTTGGTAACAGTCAAATACTGGCCTGGCGGGCTAACTTTGTACTCCGTCTAAAGGTCGAGGCTGTCAGCAATAATCGCAATATTCCAGTATAAAACTCACGTAAAAGTCGGTTCCAGTATAGGTGCTAGTCAGCGACTCAGCCGAGCAATCTGGAGAACTATAGAAGTTCACCGTCCAGGAAGAGCTTTGCGCTGTAGCAAGCCCTGTAAGGGTACTGGCGAGAACAATGGATACCCAGAACATTTTGTAAGGTATGGACTTGGAGAACTATACCCGAGACCTAGGGCGATTTAAACAAGCGAATGTAGTCGAGCTGTACTGATGCTAAATCACTTGATCGAGAAGGTATTCTGTATAGCTTATATACCATTTGTAAACACTTTTTTTTTTTCCCTTACGCCCTGAATAATTCCAGTCGGGGCTCGAATGAGTCCGTTCGGGACTCGAGTGATTCCGTCCGGGACCTGGGCGATCCCCTTCAAGGTGATCTTAGGCAAGGGGGGGGGGATGCAGGCCCTTGGGGTATTCTGGGCGGCTGTATTGGGGTGGCCAGAATCATGTCGGCCAGCCCTGCTATCCGACCTTATCAAGGGAGGCACCGAATGAACTTTACTATTGAATTATATACCATAATAAAGTAACAATAACATATACACGCCCAGCTGCAGTTTATTAAGTATAGAGTATTAATATTAGCTAAATAGCCGCTTAACTCTAGTTATAAAGCACCTTAAGCCATGCATAAATAAAACAAGTAAACTCTATAACCCTTAAGCAAAAGAAATATTTATTTTTAAATAATATATAAAGAAAGAGTTAGAGTTAAATAAAAAAAAAAGCAAAAATAAATATAATTTTTATTTATATTATAATTATTTATAAGTTACTAGGTAACTTTATATTTGCTTTTTTATACTTTCTTGCTTTTTTTATATTATTACCTATAGTAATATATAATAAAATTACTTATATACTTAATTAATTTATTAACTAATATAAAAATATATTTTTTAAAAACTTAATATATAAGGTACTAGTATATTATATAAAGTATTAGTACATAATTATTAAATATAAATATTAAATTAAAGAATTGGTTATTTGCTAATTTAAGCTTCATAAGCCTAAGGCACTAAAAGAAAGTAGTAATAATAAGCAATTTTAAGTTTTAAACTAGCAAGTTACCCAAGCAGCAGCAGATTAAGCATATTATTACAATCTATTATACTGTTAAGTCAAACAGGGCAAAAGATTGGGCAAATAATTACTATTGTAGCAATTATTATAACAGAACCAGCTGCTTATAAGGGATTCTATCTGTTACACTAAACCAGGTTGTAGTATATCAGGAATTTGCAGGCAATACACAGCAATCTAGTAACTCGCAACCACTATGCAATAAATACTATAGCCGAACCGGCTGCAGCCGGAGATAAGTTTAAATTTTCGAGAGATCAGCAGGCTCTGGTATGGATTTCTCGAGCACAAAGACAGAGAATTCGGGCAAAAGCGAATGTTTGATGATAATTAAGGAATTTCAACAGCCGGCACAGCGGAGCTGGCCTCAGCCGCTACAAGGTAGTACTCTGCGAGCAGAAGTTTCCATAAAACAACGACGAGCTTCTGTGTGCCGCGGGATATCCCACTTACCTAACTAGAGTATATAGAAGTCCTTAGGCTATCCTCCAGGGCCCGCAGGGCTCCACCCAAGTAATACCGAGCCAGAGATCACCAATAGTAACCAGTTTCGCAAGAGGTAGATCCGTGTCATCTATTAGGCAGATCCGCCCTGCTAATCAAGGCTCTAAACCAAGTACATACATCCCACAAGGATCTTAAAAGTTAGCTTAGTACAAGCTCTATTCTTTTCTAATAAATGGGTTATATTCCTATACTTTGCTTATTATATTATTTTCTTAAGAAAAATAATAAATCTACAAGTATAAAAATTTATATTTTATATTCTAGCTAGTAAAAAAAAAAAAATAAAAAAATAAAAAAAAAAAGTCAGAATGTTAGTATTATATTAGTTATATTATATATTATATTATATTATATATATTATTTCTTTAAAATCCTTAAATTATAAAATTTTATATAAATTGCTGGTTCTTAAGTCTCTTTCTTTATAAACTTATATACAAAGTAAAATATACCAATGTAACATTTAAAATCCTTGTGGGATGTAGCTAAGAATAAGAAATTGACATTTATAAATATTTACCCCCAGAAACAATTTTAGTAGCTCTATCTCACTTTGAAGCTTATGGAGAGATTATTAATACATGCCCCTACTAATTGTAATTTTGATTTGAAACATCCCGTTCCACCAAGGGTCGAAGCAACTAATCATTGAATTACCAGCCAAGCTACTCCGTCCAAGCTAACCTGCCTGCTCAACAGGGCTGCGGAACACACTTTGACGAGGCTTCGCGGCCTACCTTCCTTACAAGGAAGGAAGCCACGGAGAATCGTTAAGCCGAGTGAAGCCTGTAGTATAAGAGGATGAAGCTCTTCGTTTTAGATAGAAAACAACACACGTTCGTCATACAAAATAACCCCTAGCTGTCATAACGGGCACGTTCCATCGGGAACAAAGCCGCGTTGGCTTGATCAAATGGTTCCGTAACGTGTTCTCGCCCTGTGGTCTTAATAGTGGTATAACAAGCTGGGTTTCTGTAGTTGTGTTTATATGTGTGCGAGCCAGTTCAGAGGTATGTTCCCGACTTGTTAATAAAACACGAGGCTATCAGAACATTGACCCCCTCAAATTAATTTAATTATTATATTTCTACGGGATGCTTGGGTTTTGAAGCATTACGACGATGAGGTGTTCTGCCGGCTCGCTTTCCCTTATCAATGGCTGCCACTCACCCTCCTCTCTGTGACGGTACCTCAGTCCTTCAAACCTTGCTTCTTACAGTGGGTTATCATGAAAGTCATGTTGTTGCAGCCGATTGTATTCCTGGGATGGCAATGCAGCTCTCGGCTAACGACTCTCGTGACGCTTGGACCTGGTTAGCCGGCGACCTCTCGGCCTATGACACCTCCGCACGACTTCGTCCTGCGATCCCGCCACGGATTCGTCGACGCTTATTGCCTCGCGACGATTGCGACGTATGCGGCTGTAGCTCGTCAAGCTCGAATTGAGAGCTGTCACGGCGAAGGCTCGCGTTCATTCGGCGCGTTCCTCGGCCTGCATTCTAGCTAGTCTGTCTGCTCAGACTACGGCCTCGGGCTGAATACCTGCCTTGACTCCGCTAATAACTTTAAATAAAAACTTAATTTAATTAATATATAAATATAATATTAATAATTAATTATTTATGCTGTACTTATTAAATATAATAAATAATTTTATATAGTATTTTATTTTATAAAGCTTATAATTTTAATTATAATTTTTTATATAAGCTTATATTTATAATAGTAATTTATTTTTAATAGCTTACAGTTTCATAAGTAATTCTCTTTCAATTAGCTTATTATTTTATAGTATATCTGGAGGTATATATTTTATAGTAGTTGGGCTATAATATTAACTAGCTAGTATATAGTTTATAATACCTATATTTTATTAGTAAATTAGTTTATATTTATTCTAAAGTATATACCTTTAGTTACGGCTATTAAATATTATATTATAATAAAGCTATATTTAATAAAAAATATAATATTAAATTTAATAAAAACTATTAACTACTAGCAGTAATAATATATAATAATACTAAAAAATTAAGTATTTAAAATTAAATAAATTATGTTTTTTACTATAAAATTAAATACAATATAGGTATTTTTATTATATAGTTATAAGCTTTAGTAGTCCTAGTGACCTAGCTTATAATAGACTTTTGGCGAGGCGCTGTATATTTAAAGTTGAGGGCCGGGCTGGAGGAGGTTGCTTGCGCAGTATATTTTTTTTTTTTTTAATTTTTAAAAAAAAGCACTTTCAAGTCCTAGAGGTCTCTTATCAGCAGCAATGCTCTAATATAATACTAATTAACTATTTTTATCTATAGCTGTAGCAGTTGCAATTACTGCATCTTTGGTCAAGATATTCTTTGCTACAGTCTCAGTATCTTCGTCGAGGATGACTTCAACAATGGCAGTTTGGGTCACTATTTTATTGCCCAAGAGGGCTATGTATAACATAAACCAGCGATAATATTATCCGAAGAGGCGGACCCTCCTCAGTGTGCTGGCGACACAGTCTGTAGCACCTTGATCCAAGCCCGCAACGGCATGCATTCTATTATTAGGAAAATTCTCTTCAGCAACGAGGGCATCACCACTAAGATCAAAAAGCTTACCAACGGCAAGATCCGTTTTAGAGCCGTCTTAATGTGGTAGTAGCAGGGTTGGTATCACACAAGATCTGAGTGTAAAAAGCAAATAGTGTAACCACTAAAGCAAAAGGGCTAAGCTCTTCTATTTGACATTCCTATTTTTATACCTCTATATATAAGTATTTTAACTGCTACCTACAGTTTTGAAACAGGCCTATTGGAACGGAAAGATATATTCTTTTTATTCCTAGTTGGCTTAGAAAACAGTTGTAACAGGCATTGGCCGCTTCCTTACTTATACCCTAGAACACAAGGAAAGAAGTTAATTGCTAAATTGAATATAGCTGTTATAGCTAGCTACATGAACAGGTAAAACTATAAATCGGTAAAATATATTTTCTATGTATGTTTATTTTTGCACAAAATACCTAAAGAAGTTAAATCAGTGATATTTTCATTTGCCTAGCTTAACAAGCGGCGGCTGTAACCAGTTGAGTGCCAATCCTTTCTAGCCGCTGCAACCTTCTCCGCAATATGGATACTATATATCGGAACAAGACGGTCCATTGTTTTATTTCTGGGTAAATTATTTAGCCGCCATAGTTTATTGTCTTTGTTTTCCAAATTGGCGGGTAACTCGGCATTCTAGGAGGCAACCAGAGCATTGTCGCAGGAAAACAGTTGGATGGCATTGAAGGTTAGCCACGGTGCATAAATACAGATATAATTATCTAGTATGAAATATCTGTCGAAGCAGTGTTTCGGGTGTACACAAATACAGGAATTTCTCCGTAATAATTACTTCCAAACATGGTACAGAAGCTTGCCAACCTCCTCGTCAGCGCACTGACGGTGGCTACTGGCGTTGTCGGACACGGGCATGTCAACAACATTATCGTCAATGGGGTGTACTATGAGGGCTATGATCCAACATCATTTCCATACCAACCAAACCCGCCCATTGTGGTGGGTTGGACGGCTGCCGATACTGACAACGGTAAATGCCTCTCACCCAGGTCTGTAAACTCTCCTCGGGCTATGATGCTAATACCATTCGCCAGGTTTCGTTTCACCCGACGCATATCAAAGCCCCGATATCATATGTCACAAGAATGCCACCAATGCTCGAGGGCACGCGTCTGTCAAGGCTGGAGACTCTGTGCTGTTCCAGTGGGTGCCTGTTCCGTGGCCACACCCAGGCCCCGTCCTTGACTACTTGGCCAACTGCAATGGTGGATGCGAGACTGTGGATAAGACTACACTTAAATTCTTCAAGATTGATGGCATTGGCCTCCTCAGTGGCGCAAATCCGGGCAACTGGGCCTCAGACGTTCTAATCGCCAACAATAATACATGGGTTGTACAGATCCCAGAGGATCTCGAGACGGGCAACTACGTGCTACGCCACGAGATCATCGCCCTACACAGCGCCGAGGAAGCGGATGGCGCCCAAAACTACCCTCAGTGCTTTAATCTCGCTGTCACAGGCACTGGATCCCTGCAACCTACCGGTGTCCTAGCGACCGAACTTTACCAAGAGTCAGACCCTGGTATCCTCTTCAACATCTACACTAGCCCACTTACCTATATTATGCCTGGTCCTACCGTGGTATCAGGCCTCCCTTCAAGTGTCGCCCAAGGGAGCTCCACCGCGACAGCCACCAGCAGCGCCACAGTTCCTGGTAATGTCAGTACTGGAGGGACGAGCAGTAGAACTACAACGGTGCCGAGATCAACGTCATCGGCCACAACCAGAGCTAGTTCTTCCTCTACCATCACTACGTCAGCACCTGCTGGCACTGGAACTCAGACCTTGTATGGTCAGTGTGGTGGCAGCGGCTACTCTGGCCCTACTAAATGCGCCTCGCCAGCCGTATGCACTACCTTGAATCCCTACTATGCCCAGTGTCTTAACGGATAGTTATAACGGCTGGTATGTCCATGAGGGTCTTTAACACCTCCATATACACACGCTAGCAGTGAACTAAAACGCCTAGTGATTAAGCTAAAGGGGGGACCCCCGTTTGGTGGATTTTGAAGTTGCTTTTGGAATACTAAGTGAAGTCGATATTGATTTATAACCCAACCCTTATGGTTGCCTTACCAGGGCTTTAGGGTCAACACTCTTAAAGAAATGGACCATCAGGTCAATTCAGAGCAGGTCGTTAGATTAGAGAGGTTATCTAGTAATCGCTGACAGGCTTATTGACTGAAGCAAATAATACAGCATAAGTAACTGGGTATATAACTTCACATTATAACACTCATTCATATACAGGTAGTTTAGATAGGTTGTTGTTAATGTAGCCAATTGGATATAACATTTCAGTCTAGTAGCTCTGTAATAGTATTAATTGCTTAATCTTCCTTACATTTCGCCTTATGTTAACCAAAAGAATCTCAAGCCAAGGGCTATCCACTGGAAATACATTGTAATACTAATTCTAGCATTCCAACTTATAACATACAAGCTATGATAAGATATTACTTTATAATAATAATAAATTAGGCAAAAGTGTTTTATTTTATTTTTACTTTAGCCGCTAAAATGCAAGAGGTTAAGTTCGATTCTATATAGGCATTGCGGCTTAATACTAGATTTAGGGTGTAAAGGGAATTAAGCGGATAGAGTACTACTTTAATCAAGTTTCAATTTAGCAAGTCCGGAACAAATCAAAATTGCTACGCACAGCGGAAGGGCCTTGCAATATATCTAGGTCTTGCCCTATGAGTCTTCTTTAGGCACGTTATCATGAAATCCAGGCGATATTCACTTTATAATAGTTAACTCTATAGTACCTTGAGTCCATAGCTGGTCGTTTTGCACAAACATGGCTCGCCAAACTGCTCTACTGGCCCTTGCGGCTCTCTCATCCCTCTCTATCGCACAAATCTCGGACAATTTTGAGGAAGGTTGGGACCAGACTATATGGCCCACCTATGCACCAAGTTGCAACCAGGGCGGAACCGTCAGCCTCGATACAACAGTAGCCCATAGTGGTAATAACTCCATGAAAGTTGTTGGTGGCCCCAATGGCTTTTGCGGACACATCTTCTTTGGCACTACCAAAGTGCCGACGGGTGATGTATATGTAAGAGTTTGGCTGTAAGTGCTCTCGCCAAGCAATTGAACACACGCATACTGAGTGGGTGTTTTTAGTCAGCTTGAGACTGCTCTCAATAACGACCATGTCACATTCATTGTTATGCCAGACAACGCTCAAGACGGTGATGATCTCCGCATTGGTGGTCAAAGTGAAATCCTCGACTATAACCGCGAATCCGACGATGCTACCCTTCCTGACCTATCTCCACAAGGCATTGCTTCCTCAGTCAATCTGCCTACTGGATCGTTCCAGTGCTTCGAGTACTATCTGGGCACTGACGGCACAATCCAGACTTGGCTGAACGGCAACCTCATCTTGGGTATGACCACGGGGCCGAATGCTGACAATTCGAATGATGCTGGATGGACGAGAGAATCTTATACTCCTGACATCACTGGTGTCTACTTTGGCTGGGAGGCCTACAGCGGAGACATCAATACCGTTTGGTTCGACGACGTCGCGATTGAGACGAGCCGCGTAGGATGTGGCGGCCCCACGGTATCTGGAAGCACCTCAATTAGACCAACTTCAACTACACATAGCACTGTCTCGGGACCAACAACCTCCAACCCTACCACCACTACAAAGCCAAGCACCACCATTCCGCCAACAACTTCAAAGACAACCAGCTCTGCGAGTGCTTCTCAGACGTAAGTTCTTTTACAATATAGGAGGCAAACAGCATGCTAATACCCTCTGACAGTAAGTATGGCCAGTGTGGAGGCCAAGGTTGGACTGGACCAACTGCATGCGCTTCTGGTTCAACATGCATGTACCAGAATGCATATTACTCTCAATGCCTATGAGGTAGAGAAGTAAGAAATAAAGTAAGAAGATTTAAAGCATAATTTAACTTGCCTAGCTAGCAGGTACCAGCTAATTAATAATATTATATGTGTATATATATGTATATATATATATATATTATTATTATTATTATTATTATTATTATTATTATTATTATTATTATTATTATTATTATTATTATTATTATTATTATTATTATTATTATTATTANTTATTATTATTATTATTATTATTATTATTATTATTATTATTATTATTATTATTATTATTATTATTATTATTATTATAAGAATATCATGACTCTAATAAAATAAACAGTAAATTTTTGATTAGCAATGAATACTTGGTACGAATGTTATACTAGGGCGGCGTGATATTAGGGAGGTATAATTTTTTTTTTTTTTGTAGTACTTGCATATAAAATGATCTAAGTTGGCATTTCCCTTATCTAAGGGTTTAATAAGTATTACTATATTATAACAATACTTATGCTATATTAAGCTACTTATACTACTAAAATATAGCGCTTTATTTTAGCACTGTTTTATAGTACATCAATAGCTTAAGATATAGTAAGTTAATTACTGTATATAGCAGTATTAGTGCTATAGCAGTATTTTAGTGATATACATAAAAGCATCGCTGTTTATGCTATTTAATGCAATAACAGTGCAAGGGCCTGAGGGATTATAGAATCATACCATAGCGAGACACATAGTCTGTAGCTGCGGATTCATACTTATCAGAGCTCCAGTACGTAAGCCTGCGGTGTTAAAACCATTGATCATGCGGTACAAAGCGTGGCATAGTTCGTGATCCATAACCGCAGCGGAATATATGGATAGTATTGAGGTGAATGGAACAATATTGGGCTCGTCAGAGTTGAATACTAAACAACCCAACATCTCGTCGGTGGTGAGATGCAATCGGCAGTCTTGGCGATTTTATCTACGCCGCGTGTGGGAATATTGGTCGTTGATCTTGTTTAGCATTATAAATGCCTGCCCTGGTGGTAAGCCTGTGGACAGTGATTCACAAAAGAGATATGCATTGTTTGTTTGTTTGTTTTATTATTAACGCCCGCTAAGTGAGCTAGTTACATAAAGCCGCGTCTGGGCATTAGGACGGTAGGAGCCGCAGGTTTAAATCCCGCGTTCGCTACATATCATACAAAACAAAAGGAAAAGTAGTATTAATCTAGATTCTATAGGGCCGGGCCATATATGCTGGCGTCCTCTACAAGTGTCTAAAAATCTTTATAGCCCTTTAGGCCTAATAAATAAGTAAAGGGGCTGAATCCTGCTAAAAAGTCTTTCTCAAAGGCTTCCGGAAGAAAAGGTTGCATCATTCTACACTCCACGAAGTGCCCTTATGTCCTGGGCTCCCCGCACTTGCAGGTGGGCCTTGTGTTGTAACCGAATCTTTCGTGATACCCCACAAAATCCCCGTGTCCCATTCTCTCTGACAGAAGTCTGTAAAGCACAGGTCTCAGTAATTGTAGCTCAGGAGGCTTGGGGAGGGCGTCTAGACCGCCAGCGTCTGTGATACGAGGGGCGGTTGCTGTCCCAAAGAGATATCCATGCTGTAAAGACTAAAATGTGAAAAATCATTAAGAAATCATTTCATCGAGCACATCATTGTAAAATAACAAGTCTGTTGCAAAAGTGTTGTTTGTGGTATTGGTGTTTGAAGTCAATTACCAGCATTCAATTGAGTATTCTAATATTATGGTCACAGATATGAAATATTGGGCAACACTTAATATACAGGCAGAGTATACTACGTTCCTATGTTATTATCGCTCGCATAGTACCATGTAATTATAAAGTATACCTAAAGTATGGGCTGTGATCACCAAGGTCTAGTAAATCGGTGTTGCCATACTTCTCCCTGATATCTTCTTCTGTCATTTGATCGCGCTTTGCATTAATTCTTTCCAATGTGTAACGAAGAATTAGACATGTAACAAACGCTACACAGTCGATTCCCAAGATGAATCCATAGCCTGTCCAATAGTGAGGCGCTTCTTGTGACAGAAAGATGTTGGAGCCTGCAATACCACCGAGATTTCCCATGCAAATGAGATGAGCCATGCCAACGGCTCTTTTAGACGAAGGAGCAAGGTTGTTTGCTAATTATTATCCAAAAGCCGTTAGCTATGATATCAAATATCTCTTATTTTTTTTATAGCTGCTTAAAGAGTTCTCTTACCGACAAAGCATAAAGTAGGGACCAGCGACATGTATATTCCTGATGTTGCAAGGAATAGCATGCCATATGTCAACCCTGGAAGCTGCGGGTGGGGAACTGCTAACAAAGCTGTGAATCCGACTATTCCAACCGCAACTCCCAAAAGTATGAAAGGAGTTCTCTGCCGGTAGTGATCCGAAGCCATGGCATTTGCGACGGTGAATATCATAGCAACGACATAAATCGGAATAGTAAGGAGTTGCTATATCAGAAGTCAGCAACTATACCTACCAACGTGCCTATGTATAACCAACTTACGGCATTTGCAGAAGTGTATCCAAGTTCTAGAATTACCGTTGGGACTGTATATGTAAAGCCGTAGGATGAGATGCTAGTGGCCCAGTACATGAACTTTGAGAAAGTTAGTCTGGCGAAGATATGACTCTTAGCGTAAAGAAATAGGACGCACCACAGCTGCCCATACTTTCCAGTCTGTGAGACCTGCAATTACTTGTCGCTTGTTTACTTTGTCATTGTTTGTGACTTTACCCCGTCCAGAACCCGTGTCCTGTTCTAACCTCAGGATGATGAACTCCCGCTCTTCAGTAGTGAGAAAAGGTGCCGTGCTAGGGCTATCAGGAAGTAGAGACCAGATAGAAAATGAAAGAAAAACTGTGCATATACCTTCCAAGATGAAAATCCTACGCGTCGAGTTAGTACTGTGGCAGTCCCTCATTTAGGGCATTGGAACTGACCATCGCCAGCCTTGCAGTCCTGCGACTCCATCCATCATCTGAATGGCATACGCAAGCAGGCCTGAAAATGCTCCGGCAAGTGACACTGCTGCGTAAAAGAACACCATTCGAGACTGGACTTCATAACGCGTGTACCAGACAGTAAGGAGATAGGTTGCTACATAGGATTAGCGACGATGATGAGCGATAGCCGAGTTACTCAACTTACCTGCGGGGAAGAAGCCGGCCTGTACCAAGAATGCATTAATTGATGTTTATCACAATAGGAAAACATCGTAAAAATAACTTACCTCTGCCACTCCGAGGAAAATGCGGATGGCCAAAAGTCCAGAAAAGTTTTGAACGATTCCAGTCAAAGTGCTATTACCGTTATCATATATTAGCTGTTATCAAAAGATAGAGAACTGGTTACAGCATACATGACTAGTCCCCAAGAAAACATCATCAAAGAGATCCAAATTGACGGCCTTGTAAGCTTGAGGATGATATTGCTCGGAACCTCTAACAACGAGTAGGGAATAAAAAACAACGTCACAGCGATATTATACTGTGTTCCCGACAGATGGAGATCATTCCCTAGGCCAGCAACTTTGGCATTGCCCACTTTTTTCCGTCAGCCAAAAGAGATGTAAGAGCATGGCCAGTAATACTGTATTAGACTTACAGTTACCTCGGTCAATAAAAGACACAAGATATAGAAAAGACAGAAGCGGAACGAGTCGCCAGTCAACCTTTCTCAAGATTCGTTTCTGCTCGTGAGGTGTGAACGAAGGATGGTAAGTTTCCAACTGTTCAATGGATGGACGTTCCTTGTCGCACAAGTCATTCTTTTCCAGTGCATCCATAGTCGGCACAGAACTTCTGGATGGTTCTGTGTGTTTCGAAGCCATAACACTGTGATTATGGGTATCTATCGAATGAGATCCTTGCAACTGCGAGTAGATATATATCTAGAATATGATTAGAAATTTCTTAAAAGTTAGTTGAAAGAGAGTGCTGATGAACAAGTTTGTTTTATACCCAAATTCACATTGTTTGCTCCTCACAGCCGCATCCTCACTGTGGCCGATCCTCACTGTGGCCGCGTAGGTTGACTACAGTATGGTAGTCAGGTTTCCGGTGCATCCGTGAAACCCATGGGGAATCCTGCCATTCTCCCGATCTCAAGCGCGTCTATCTTTGTCCGGAGTTCGAACCGCTATCCATACGCGCAACCTAGAGTTGACCGGATAACGGGACCAAGATTGGTGGAATTGAAGATGGCGATACATATTAGCCCCAGGGCGGCATTGGCTCCGAATCAATTAAACAAACAGTGAATTAAAAGCAGCGGACACGGTGCCGAGTGATGTGCTATCGGATTCGGAGCGGCGTCCACCACCCAACATTTCAAAGTGCTTCGGTGACTCGGAGGCCTTAGATCCATGAAATGTCCAAGACTCCAAGAATAAATTTCGGAAATGAGTTACGTGAGACTTGTAGCCGGACAGAGATGGGGGCTTTGACGCAAATGCACATTGCCCATAACTTGCTTAGCAGCGCGGAGATGTCATATGCGGAGATGATAAGCTGAGTCGGGCGGCGGGCCATGATGCAACGCTACGTTTTGGGCGCCTATAAGAATATTAAAAGTAGTAGTATTCTTTCAGTAAAGATTGTGTTTGTGTCCACGTCTCTAAACACTGATCTCACGTTGCTTTGCACGTGTGTTTGATGTGCGTCGGCATGTCAACCATTCGCTCTTCCTTCTGGCGCGGCGGCGTTTGCAATGCTCTCATTTTTCACAAATCCGATCTTCCCACAGACCGAACAAAATGGCAGCCTCTATTTGCAGCGGCCATGGGCTCTCCTGATCCGTACGGCAGGCAATTGAACGGCATGGGAGGCGGCGTCTCGTCTCTCTCCAAAGTGTGCGTTGTCTCACCGTCTACACGAGATGATGCCGATGTGGATTTCGAGTTCGTTCAAGTTGTCATTGATGATGGGACACTTGATTTCGCCAGTAATTGTGGTAATATGATGGCTGCCATTGGACCATTCGCCCTGGACGAAGGGCTTCTCAGTTTGGTCTCTGCGGCAAACTACGCAAGAGTACGCATCTACAATACCAACACCAAAAAGATTGTCATTTCTTCATTTCCTATAAACGGAGATGATTCAAAATTTGACCCCCATGGAACTAACCGAATGGATGGTGTTCCGGGCACAGCATCAAGAATCTCGCTGTCTTTTCAGTCGCCTGGTGGAACACAGACTGGGAAAGTGCTGCCCACTGGTCTAGGCCTAACATCCATGAATGTCACGGACAAGAAGGGAAGGAAGATAAAAGCCTCGTTGTTGGACGTCGCTAATCCAGGTGTATATGTTGACGGCAGCGATCTTGAAATCCGGCCGGATATTGCGCCTGCTGAACTAGACCATCAAAAGGAAACCTTGGCTTTATTGGAGGCTATTCGCCGGGAGGCTGCAGAACTGATGGGTATGGATCCAAACACGTCGAGCGTGCCAAAAGTCGTGATATTGTTTAAGCCTATTGATAAAGAGGTGTCTACCGGGGCCAATATTAAATGCTTGGTCCTGTCGATGGGGCAAGTTCACAAGGCAATCCCTCTTACTCTGGCGCTAAATCTAGGTGTCGCCTGCCAAATGGAAGGAACATTAGCCTCCAGGCTAGCGAAGAATTTATCTCAAGATAATACAGTGACAATACAGCATCCTAGTGGGGTTATCGACGTTGGTGTGGATATATTGGGGGAAGACGTCTTGAGTGCCTCCTTGTGCAGCACAGCAAGGCTGTTAATGAAGGGCGAGGTGAATGTTGATTAGGGAAAAGGATAAATATCGAATAGTAATGCAACACGGTTGTTTTCGGAATATGCTGAGCTTCATCCTGTAATCAGCATTATTTACCTATAATACTTGATTTAGCCGTGATTCTTCAAGTCCAGCTATTGCAAGTGCTCTCATACTGATAGAAGCCATAGTGCCACAGCATCAAGAGCCCCTTGAACCAGCCACTGCGTAGAAGTATTATCGTGTGGTACCGAAAAAATGGAACATATACGGTATTTATTAAACAAACAAGCTATTACTACTACAAAGTGCTTCGTCCAAAGAGTTTGCACCAGATGTCAAACTTCTCCCTAGGCATTTTGAAGATGTGATTGTAACTGTAACCAAGACTCAGCTGTGTTTTCCAAGCATCCCCAGATTGAATAGTTGCTTCAGCAATCGGTAGTTTCTGAGCTAGTAGCAACGCTCTCTGGTGGTTAGAGGACGATTCTCCGCTTTGATGCAATGATACAATGATTCTCGCAAACCGCTGGCATTCCTCTTCCAATTTGTATATACCTGGTGTGTCCTGTAGATGGATGCATGTATTGAGACGGCTACTATATATCATGCAAATATAATATATAATAAGCGCATCGTAATACATATTTCCAGAAGCTAAGTCATTAATTGAGACCCCACTAGGTTGGATATATTTGTGATACCAGCCTTGGAGAGACACTCGAAGTTCCTGGGCTCGAGATATGAGCTCTTTAATTATTTGAAGTGGCTCGTCTGGTTTATGACAAATAACATCAGTGAACCTTTTGAACAGAGTAGGTATGGTAACAAAGATCAACACTATGGAGATAACCATAGTACTTCTTTCCGGCACAAGAGGATCGTCAGTGATAATTGATAGCAGGGTCGCTTTCCATGCTGGATGATCAAGGAAACAGGTTTCATTATTGAGTATTGCTTCCGTGGCCTACAAAGATGTTAAGCTCTGTTTTTATGTAAATTCTGACATGGTGAAAAGTATAAAACTCACCATTGGCCCAACATGGCCCATGAAGAGACATTTCTCGAACTCAGATGTATAGTTCTGTGGACCCCGTAATTTTATTATATAAGTTGCTCCTGCGGTGTGCTTCATCCACGCGTCCTCTCGACTAGGGTTGAGGAGCTGGGTATATTAAAAAAGAAACAATTAACCAATGTCGCCCAAGAGATCTGTAAGATCGGTACTTACTTCATATAGACCTAGCGTTAGCGTAGCGCAGAGGACCTCAGCTGTAATGTGCTGAGAAGTAGAATGAATCGCATCTTGTAACTTTGAGAGCGCTCTTGAATAGCATGAGAGAGCAAGGAACTCCCATTTTCTGTCGTCGGGGGCAAGTAACCACCTAACGCGAGCCAGCACACAATCTGTAGCGCTTCTTATTAAAACGTTTTGCTGGTAATGCAAAGGTATATACTGAAAGTATGACCAGTTTCTTCCCTTGAAGAAATGCGATATAATTTGAGGGCTTTCAAGAAGCCTTTGCCCAGTATACCGACCAACCCCAACTGAAGTTAGTAAAGATAAATCTATGAAATGTAGATTCGTTTTGGCGAGGACTGTTGAATATGTAGGGGTGAGGGTTCGCAAGTATGTCGTATCTGTCCGCATGAAGACATCTTCGGACTTGGTTTTTGCATGTCTTTTTGTCACATTAAATGTTTGGGATTCCTTGTACTTTGCTGAGCTATCACAAAGATCGTCGCGGGGTATGAAAAGGGGAAGTTGTCTGCTGTTGGGATGCCGATACTTTGGTTCTGCCTTCCTTTTCTGGGCCACTTTCTGCATGATATCACGTCGTGTTTTGGCGCGATCGACGGGCAAAGTAGTGGTCGGATTTATCCAAATAAAATTGTTACTAGCCATTGCGGCTGATCCGAGTTTCGCCAGCTGGATGACTTGAAAAAATGAGGATTTGTCCTAGTGCTATGCCATGATTTCTAGAGGTGGATATTTCGGGGTATCTTGCGTATTGTTGAATATTAGAGTCGTCAACAGAGAGGGTCGCAGTCAAGGATGTGGGAAATCCCAGAATCCTTTTAAACTGTACTATAATAGTACGTTCTAGATACTATGTAACACTGACAAACACTGTTGAAGTGGGGAAATTGCCTCAGAATCCACAGGCTACGACAAGTGGCGGGCAGCCTGTCAGAAAATCTTAGCATGTACTAATCTTAGCATGTACTTCGTATACTCCGCGACTACCAAAATTTGAATACAATGACCGAATTCTAACCCTATTACCTCTCGTTCACTAGAAACTAGAGAGCTACATATGGTTTATGTTGAATTATGTCAATAGATTGAGCGATATCAAATTACCATGTTGATGCGTTAGAATGCATACATCATGCAAGCCGAGATTTCCACAAATATTGACATTCTAGTGCATACATCACTCCAAATGCAACCATAAGCCACATCACAATTATTATCAACTCTGGAGTGACATAGTAATATTGAAAATTATCTCCGGACCAAGAACTTCTGTAAAGTGAGGACTATGCGGCTAAATAGCTAAAGCTGAACACGTATGTATATCTGGTACTTTACCTAAGCTATCACATGCATAGTCATCTACATATGACCTGATAATCTGATAATGCATCACGAATCATGAGTATAGTCGACTGGAGTTAAAAGACCGGTCTTTATATTGTATACAAAACCAAAGCATTGATCAGCAATCCTCTTAGGCACATAAGGAGATGTCTTCAGTATATGAAGATCATCTTTGACGCTTTGCTCAACACTGTTTTACGAATTAGAATAGTCTTTTTGAGATTGACAATATCTGCTTCTATAGAAGATTACTCACTTATCAAAAGCCCCGAACACCATATTATCAATCTCCGAATGATTTGGCAGACGGCTTTTATGGGCTTTTCGAATATCTACATCCTTGAAGTAACTCGCACCACAGTCTGTAAAGAGAGCTTCAAGTCAGCGTATACTTCTTACCTCGCTGTTAATGGACGATGCGCACCTGTGTAATGAATCACTATAACGCTTCTAAGACCAAGAAAGACGTCAAAGAGCATCACCTCTTGTAAGGCGGGAGTAACACGGCCAGCAGGGTTGCGCGATATAAGTATTTGATCTGCCATATTACACACGTTGCATTATATCATATTAAAAGATAACAGCTCGACATACCCTCTGGCCTGGTTTGCAAAAATAGATCTGAGTTCAGGCGGAAATCAACACAAGTAACTTTATAAGTTAATTTTTGAGCCCCTGAGGGTCGCAAACGGTCATCTTGTTTACTCACTGACAAGAGTCGTCTCGAAGACGCGACCAAGAGCTACCTGCTCAACGATTGTAGGGGCAGGGTTGTGAGTTTCAGAGTATTTCCTGTTTAGTAGAGGTCAGAGTCAATCATTGATAGTATATGGGAAATGTCAGCAACTTGCTTGTTTCGCTCAAGAAGCGTCTCGTGAAAAGACTGGGACATAGCGTCAGGTTAGAATGAGCTGCGTGTATTTTTAATATGCTTGATTAAATGCAGAGGTGTATAGCAGGTCGTTGACCATTACTTATAAAGATTGAATATTGGTAAAAGTGCCGCTTAATGATATACAATAATGGAGATCTGCTATGTGTAATTATTTACAACTATTTTCATCTTTCACATTCATAATATTTCTTGTATTGGTAATCTTTCACAAGGTTGGAGATTGTCTTTTCCAGGGTGCTTCTTCCTCACTTGGACTAGCACTTCCTGCCAGTATTTAATCGTACTGTAAGCTGGCGCAAGTTGTTGTTAGCGCCTGCTAGATTTGTAATTTCACTCTAACCATTTGTGGGAATTGTACCTTGGTCATTTCAGCGTGAGAGCGAGTAGCTTAGTGGCGATTGCTCTGTACAGCCACGGAACGCCTTCTTAATATTATTGATATCATACGATCGTATTTAGACTGAATTGGAATCGAGCTTGTATTTGCTATTTGGTCATTTTCGCCATTCACATCGGATTCAGTCCAAGTATTGCGACGTCGCCTTGTTCACAGTGGACGTGTTATTTGCCATCAGGTTTACCAAGCAAGTGCAATTTACTTACTTAAGAGTGGAAAATATGTAATAGTCCCCGCAGAAATACGCTACAGTGGAGACTAAACTATTTGAAGCAAAGCTCTCACTGATCATTATAATGCCTTATAAACCAGTTATGCACGACTTTCTATGTCTTACCTTACGCAGTTAATCAGGCCTCTCTGAGTCGGCCATTTTAGCTTATCGGTATATCATAATCTGAACCATGTTGTATTCAATCAAGATTATAAAAGCAGTCCAATACACTTCAGAATAGACAATGTAACGAAATCTGAGGCAATACATACACCACCAGCTTTCTCCTCTATAATTCTTTCCAGAAATTCGTTTTTCATCTTTCACCTCTTGAAATGGCACCGATAACTTCTTCCAAGTTCATGAAGGTCAGCGAAGACGTTATAATTGAGCTTTCGTTGACATTTCCGACGAACAACAGCAATCAGAATATCCCATCGCTCATATTTCTTCACTTCTGGGGTGGCTCTTCTAAGACTTTTGAGTCAGTCATTGAGACCCTATCACCATTTTACCCGACTATTGGAATTAGTCTTCGGGGATGGGGTGCCTCCACTGGTCCTAATGTAGCTACTGCTTACAAGGTAACGGATTTTGCGTCCGATGTGGAATCTGTTATTAAGCAAATGGAGCTGAAATCTGTCGTGCTTATCGGCCACTCAATGGGTGGTAAGATATCAATGGCAATTGCTGGGAGGCATCTTCTTCCCAAGGGTGTATTGAAAGGACTGGCTTTAGTTGGACCTGCTCCCCCAGGGCCTGTTTATTTGCCGGATCCTAGCATGAGAGACGCCCAGATACACGCCTTTGATAACATGGAGAATGCCCAAAACACCATTCATACTGTTCTCTCGGCGCCAGGAAACCTCACTGATGAGGTCGTGAAGACGGTCGCCGAAGATATGGTGCGTGGCAACAAGTGGGCCAAATATGCATGGCCGGCGTATGGCATGGAGGACGACATAACATATCTATTCGATCGTATCGATATTCCGGTTGTCGTGCTTGCAGGTAAAAATGACATACTTGAGCCGGTGGAGAGGATGAAGACAAATATTCGTGATAAGATTAATGCTATGCAAAATGGAAAGGCAAGCCTTGTTGTAGTGAATGGCTCGGGGCATTTAATACCACTTGAGAAGCCCAAAGAGGTAGCTCATGCTATAAATTGCTTCATTCAGACTCTTTAAAATAGTATTTAGACACAAGTATAGTCTTCTACCATATATAAACTACAGTTTGTAATATCTACATGTTTGATAGCCCATCCATTCGATTTTGTTACTTTACCCAATAATATCTCATCGGCCTCGTCACACAAACATAAAATTGTTGGATGACAGTGAGGGCCTCGAATCCCTATTTCTTACATCCTTGTGTCTTAATAAAGGATGTAGCAAGTAGTTCTAGATACATCAACACCCAGTACATCCGAGTACTTAATTTTGAGAATCAACGATTGATTTGTACATGAGGCTCTTCCATAGGCAGTCGCTTCAAAATGGTACGATATATTTATTTCCAATACTTTATAGATATGCCATTACATGCCTTTTTCAATTTTTCCACGTAATTGTAACCACTGAGCAATTTCTCGGCCAATAGTGTGAGGATAATCCTCTTGAAAGTAATGAAGACCAGGACCAAGAAACACAATTTTGGTGTTTTGTAGCTCCTCAACCAAACCTTTCACCGTTTCTTTTGTAATAACCACACCTGGCTCTGCCCAAAAGAACAACTTCGGGACCGTTGTATGCAGTAGCCAATCTATATACTTAATCACCTTTTCCCAAACATCTGCAGGGTGTCCTTCGATTGGAATATCATTGGGAAATCGCCAGAGGGGCTCGCGCGATTCCGGTTCAAGGTACGGCCGGCGATAATGCTCCATTTCCTCTTCAGAGAGGTGCCGCAAAACATTCAGTGGCAAGACCATTTCAATAAAAGCATTTTGGTTGATGAGCAGCTCCCGTCCAAGTTTGGGATCTCGAAACGGCCGAAAATGGCGTGCGACAGCCGGTGAAATACATCCCAGCTTGGTGCAAGGAGCACAAACTCAAAAAAATGCAATGCCGATGATACGATCTTCGTGGCGGCGCGCCCAATCAAAGCCAAGGGCTGAGCCCCAGTCGTGGATGACAAGTGTGACCTTTTCAGTCGGTAGAACTGCATCGAGAAAAGCGTCCAAATAGAACTGATGGTCTACGACTCTATATTCAAGTCCCAAGATCTTATCCGAATCTCCAAACCCTATAAGATCTGGCGCTATACAGCGACTCCCACTAGAGACGTGCGGGATAATGTTACGCCATACATAAGACGACGTTGGATTGCCATGCAAGAAAACGGTGGGGGATCCTTCGGATGTACCGGTATCGACATACGCCATTTCAGCGCCAACAATCTTTACCTTTCGCTTCTCGAAAGGAAACTCTGCAGAAATAGGCTCCGAGGAGTCGTATGCCATCATCACACGATTTGTGCTTTTTATTAGATATACAATCAAATGAATGGAAGCGAGTACGTATATAAAGCGCGAAAGAAATGAAAGAGAGAAACAGAGGGCTAGAGAAAGCATACATATGTGGGTAGGAAGTTCTCAGATAATAAGCTGGTATACGGAGCAGAGGCTGGAACCTCTTTAAATATCCGCATGTTTCAAAATGTTTACATTGGAATGTAATTCGATGACTTACCCACCGGGTTCTCCTGGGATTAGATTTCTATCTTAACTAATAAAAGCGCCATAAGTATAATGGCTTTCACGTTAAATCTTGTCCTAGAGGGCCTTGCTGTCAAGGTGTTGGAAGTGACAGGAGACGATGATGGCATCATGCCCGAACTATTTACATGGTACGAATTATTAGCTCAAATATTGGTGGAGACTAAACTCATTAAGGAAAAGCCCCCATTAAAGGACCTGCTTGGTGGAGACTAAACCTGCTCGGAAAGCCCCCGCAAAAGGGCGGATTTGCCTTCGACTTGCCTTCGACTTCGATTCGGCCACATCTTTTTCACGTATTTTCATCCATCGAAGTGTAACGAAGTTACTAAGTTCTGTCGGCCCATGCGCATGATTCATATGGAAAAAGTGAACAGCATTTCTCTCTCTAGGTCTTGCCATGCCTGCGTCAAGGCTAAGCGGCGCTGTAAAGCTAGGCTTCCAAAGTGTGAACGATGCCGCATCAAGGGGGTAGAATGCTTGTATACCAATGAGCCTCTAGTCTCCAACGTGGACGATAATCAGCCTCTTTCAGACAAAAGCTCTAAGAAACCAGAAATTTTAGAAGACAATCAACTGGTAAAATCTCGTCGAAAAATAACATCTCGCGATATGGAATTTTCCCACTTCACTCATCTAAACGCCCCTTTACATCTTGTTCGAAAGTGGTGTTATTCGAAAACTACAGGCGCTAGCTTGGCAGTATGTGAACCGAGCTTACCTGTTATAGAGTGGAGACAAGACCTCGCGACTGTCTATTATCTTGCGGCTCATTTGAAGGCTTTCCCAATTACATTCTCTCGGGAAGCAAGAACTCCTTTCATTCATTCCACCTTGTATAGCCGGTGGCTACCGAAGCAGATCAAAGATACATATGCCATTTGTCGAGCATATTCGTTATCAATAGACAATGACGAAGACTTTTGCTTCGGAGTTCTACATCAAAAACTTGGCGAATTGATCAAGGAGTCTCAGTCATCGCACTCATTTAGTGACTTATTAGCTTCTCTTCAAGCTTTAATACTCTACCTACTTATTTGTCTTTTTCACAAGGACCCTCAACAGAGGAGATTTGCAGAAACACATGTTGCTACTCTCAACCAGTGGACACGTCGTTTATGGGAGCAAGCTCCAAACGAAATATCGCCGAACCTAAGCGCATGGGAGGCTTGGGCTTTTGCAGAAAGCGTTCGCCGGAGCATTATAATTTCATATCTGGTTCGAGGCGTCTACCAGATCGCAAAATTTGGCTTCCATCCGCATTCAATGTTTGTTGAAACCCTACCATTTGATCGGCATACATGGCTATGGGATGCCACCTCTGCAAGGCTGTGGTCTGCACTTCCGAGAGATCCTCTGCACTCAATTATTTCCTATCGTGAATACACAGCTGATTTTGCAAATCAGTTAACAACTCCAACCAATTTATTTGAGTCGCTACTCTTAGTTATGCGATATGGGAAAGAACCAATCTATCATCGTCCTTGTAATAGCTAATTTATGAGCAAAATGTCAGAGCTACTTAAGGAGGAATTTGATTAGTGTTCAAAAACATTAGGGTCATATATATGATCTACAATTAAGAGTGAAAATATGTGAAGTTAAGTAATTCACTTTCTTCTTGCTGTTGGGATTTTCTGGTATACTCGTTAACTGTGACCTTCTATTCCCCAATTCCAATTCCTCTAGATCTGTGCTCAACAATCCACGAGGGGAAGAGCTTGTCAATCATGATTGAGAGGTTGCAATTATTGAGATTTGTTCCAGGGTTACATCCTCCCGTGACGCTACTCTCCAGTCTGCGTACTGGACTTTCCCTAACGAAACAGCAGCAAAGATGAAACGTGTGAGGCCACCATAAACGGCGCAGTAGATGAATGCGCCACGTACGTGGCCCCTGCGCGGATAGTGGTTGTGATCGATATTCACCAATAGCATCTCCTTCTCAAATTCTAGGGAGGATGGATGGTTGGGAGATTCTAACTTAGCATCTCCTCCTTTTTCAGCTAAAGCAAGAGCATCAGAGTAGTAGTTCATGGTTAGGGATAGGTGTTGTAGTATCGGTAGCCTATGTTCTTCTTATTTTTTTAAAAGAAAGTATAAATGCCCCTGCTTGAATGCAGGATAAACCCTCCCTGTCTTTGCTGCACTTAGTTAGCGGCAATTATTCAGAAATGTAATTGCTGCTAGGCGTGATGATTTTCCGAGCTATTGCGGAGACTAAGCCTAACAGGCAACTAATGCACTTCCCCAAAGCCATGCTAATATAAAATAGTCATTGCAACTACAAGTGCAGGTGGGGAAAGCATATGGCTCCTTTTCCCTTTGTAAATAAAATAGAACGACGAGATTTTCGGAGGAACTTTAATTTGTATGCTAAAAGAATTAATAAACTACTTCTATCGGAGCACTGAGTCATAATAATACGATAATATTACGTTGTAAATTGTCAAATAGTTACCTCTTAGTATACGAAGCAATGGCCTGTACCTCGAATCGCCGCCTAACAGGCTATAAAAGCTCGTAGATATTCTGTAGATATTCCTTGACCTTTTGTTTAAGTACAATTCAATTCGACACTCCCCTGTCGAAGCTATCTACTACTCTTTATCCATTAAACCATTTTTTCGACTATGGATACTCTTTTTCCTGAGACAACCATCGCGGGAGTCACCGTAGTTGACACTCCTGTGGTTCGAGCTGCTCAAAAGTATGCTCGTGCTCACCTGAATGAGATGGGGTTTAATCATGTAATGCGTTCATGGATATTTGGCGTTGTTGTTTACAAGAAGCTTCAGGAGGTGGGCGCTGTCTCGGAAATTGATCTAGAGGTACATGCTCTGAGCGCTATTCTCCATGATCTTGGCTGGGACGTGACAGGCGAACTTATTTCCAAGGACAAAAGGTTCGAAGTTGACGGTGCGGAAGCTGCCTGTGCTTGGATCAAAGAAGAGCAAAAAAATGGAAGAGCAGAACACTGGGACGATTATAAACTTCGACTTGTGTGGGATGCTATTGCTCTCCATACTACTCCCACAATCGCGCTGCATAAGGAACAGGTTATCAAGATCTGTGCTCTTGGAATTGGCGCAGATTTTCGAGGTCCTGGCTTAGACAAGAATGGTACGATTTCTGAGGAAATATTCGATGCTGTCAATAAAATCTTTCCACGCCTCGACCTAGCTAACGGCATTCGCAAAATTCTCTGCAGCTTTTGCCAGACTAAGCCGGAAACTACATATGGTGTGTACTATAGTTCGACGCCATTGGAACGCTTATTACTAATACTGCATAATAGACAACTTTCAAATGGAATTTGGCCGAAAATTTCTCAAGGGCTATAAAACAGAAGGTTTGCTTATGTATGATACAATCCGAGCAACTCCAGAATAAGTAGTGTCATAGTACAGTGCTTGCAAAGTCCTAGGCCCACGCATGTTACACTTAGCGGCACTGTTTTGGGGACCGCGTATCAAGCATCCAGGCAGGCGTAACCAGTATCTAAAGCAATAGGGCTTTATAACTAAATATACTAATACTTATAAGGCTATAATAAATAGCTTATCCGCCGTAATATAGCGCCTGGCTGATATAAAAGAGCATACCTGCTACATAATAGTGCTTACTTACTATAATATAAAGCGTTTACTTACTATAAAACAGGGCCTGCCTGCTATACGAAGCTACATACCTACTATAGTATGAAGCGCTTGCTTTAATTAAGCGCCTACGTACTACAATACAGCTCTTATAATTGAAATACAGCACCTGCTATAATATAGGATGTTATAGAGGATAAGCACAATATTATTCAAGTATATGTATATTAAAATACTTGTAGAGATGAGTAGTCAGATCCTATAATTGCGGGTGTAACCAACGTCGCTTTCGGGAGAAATTAATTTTATAGGCAGACAATTTATGTTGTCACATATGGAGGATTGACCGACCCAGCTTCAGGTGGAGTTACAGGCAGCAAGATTGTGGCTCTTGATGCTACAAAATTATAGACTTGAAGGAGAAGGAGTTAAACGAGAGAGTAAGATGAAACTAATATAATTATGCTAAGAGGCATAAGATACATAAGATAGCAAATGTTACCCTTGGCAATGATGGCTATATGATTGACATTCTACTTAATGAGCAACTATAAGGTCTCCCAATGCGCGCCAAATCTTTTATAATACACATGAATAAAACAAAAGCTCTTTAACTTGAACATACAAGGTTCTATATCGTTACGGCAGGGTGATATAGATACCAAGAACGCAGTATTAAAGCTGTTTAATATTTTAATAAGGCTGGTATAATTGTTACTGGTTTTTAGTTTGAGATTCCATTTCAAAGTAGTAAGTCAGGTTGATTGAGGGCCATTCTCTCGTCATTCACCTATTGTACCCATTCGCACTTTATCGAGCTGTACTATTCCTTATATAGCCGTATAGAATAAAACTGATATTTCGTCTTTGATCTTCATTCAACGTCTGTCTTGACCTGAGACCTATTACGCCGGTCTTTTACAAATCTTTATTTATTATTTGGTTCATGTTATCTCAATTTGCTCGATGCTTTTCCTGATATTAACAGAGAACTAGTCAGCCTTTCGCTCATGTGAAGAATCCACTTGTACAGCATGTGCTATTAATGACAATTTTCTTTTCTTTTTTTAATTTATAAAAGCTCCTTTTAAAATTGGTGACTTCATCAACTATATAGTTAATTCGTTATGTACTCCCTAACAACCATCTAATACCATCTATAGCATCTCGTATCCGTCTTTGGGTGGCTATTAGGTGCGGATACGTCGTCCAAAATCCATGAGGAACGGGCACGATATATGTCTATTCTTGTAGGTACTCCACACTCTTCCCGTAACACACGCTCGTAAATGAGACTGTCATCCCGCGCAGGGTCCATTCCAGCGACCTGAAAATAAACCGGGGGCAGAAATTTTTGCCTTGCTACAGTACCATCTGAGTGATAACAGTGGCTAATTGAGAATATATTGTTGTGTTGTAATGGCTTATCCCCTTTATATGTGTTCATGTATTGTTTCAAAGACATTGTGTCGAGTATTGGGGCAGGCTTGTTTTGTTCCATAGAGAGATAAAAATCCTTGTAACAATCGAGGACGTTATCAGGGTCATAATATATCCCGCATGCTAAGAACTGCCTAGTTAATGGAGGCTCTAGATCTCGGGCAAGATGCGCCACCTTATTCCTAATGGCTGCCCCGGCCGAGAGGCCCCCAATGATGAAACCCTTCTTCGGGTCGACATTCGCAGGCAGAATGCTTTTATTATTCTCAGCTGCCTTGCACGCAATAAACTGCACTACTGCGAATATATTTGTTGATGTCGGTAGGGAAAGGGTACTCCGGCGCAAAGTGGTGGGACGGTAAATGCAAGTGGCATTAAATGCCAATACCAGTTCCCGCGCAGTAGCCAGCTCCATCTCCGGGTATCCAACGCAATGGCCGCCGCCGTGAATAAGAATCACAATAGGAGATGGAACGGTACCAGATATAGCGGGCTGGCAGATGATTGTTCGAGATGAAAATGTGTCGTCTACTGGAATATCATATTCTTTCTCAACAATAGTTGTCGGTCGGCTGGCTGCAAGCAATTTCTGAGTATTGGGTAGGGTTGCCTGGACGGTTTTTTTGGAATGTTGGAATATCGCTGGTAATGTGACCTGTGGCGAGCCATTGCCTTTCCAAGCGGCTTCGAATTCGGGGTCAACGATGCCAGTGGGGAGAATTTCTTCGACAGTACATGGTAATTCATCCATTCTAAAAACACCACACAAGAAAGCCCCTAACAAGGAGGAATGATATGTAAAACCAAGAAATGCATATTCAAGTCGCAAGACTTTTGCTATAGGTTATTCAGATGGGGATATTGACGAGAGAGTGAGAAAAGAGACCAGCAACGTTATTTATATTGAATGTTCTAATAGTAGGGTAGAAATTAGTTACATGTCACCTTACAAGATAAACTCATCAGCGGCGTTCCAAGGAATCACTGCTTAATGTCAAGAGCAACATCCCCGCCATGTAGAAAACAAAATGAGGCTTCTCCGTAACCCTGCATAGTTTAGGATCTAGCGAGGGATCCAAAGTCACACACCGGATTGAGTCACACACAGGGTCCACCCGCTATATGGCAGACGAATTGAATTGCATTTCCGCTAAATCATCAAACGATACGCCCGAACGAACGAATTATTTCATTGAATAACATGCGTTTTGGTTTCGCTACTGCATCTTGATATAGCTGTGTGGAATAATTCTCAATGAGGCGACGCTGACTTGCTCTTTTGGTCGCGACGCATTTGAAACGTTCACCATAAATGCCCTAGCGCAAAAGGATATATGAGTTGTATATATCCAGCAAGCAATCTTCGCTCTGGCTATTTCTAGATTCCTCAATAACTGTATATGCTTCCATCAAGCCAGACTCATCATGGATGAAACCTGCGAGTTGGGTAATATGTGGGCTCCAGACCAACTCCAACCCACCTCTAGCCATGAGTTAGCCAGGGAACAGCCCAAAATCGTCCCGACGACCAATCCAGTTCAAGACAAGGAGCTTCGGTCAGCGAGCTTCCGAACATGGAGACTCTAGACTATCATTTTGGCATTGAGTATTACGGGTCTGATGTCTGCCATTGAGGGTACTATCATAACGAGCGCGCTACCCACCATCACAAACGCTCTGGGCGGTGGTGATTCCTACATTTGGGTCCCCAGCGCCTATCTCCTGGCGCAGGTAGCGATACATCCTTTCGCTGGGCAAGCTAGTAACATTTTCGGTCGCCGCAATTTTCCTACTGGGAGCCGTTGCCCTCTTCACGCTCGGAGGCGGCCTCAGCGGTGGTGCCTCTTCGATGGAGATGCTGATAATGGCCTGGACTATTCAGGGACTCGGCAGTGGAGGAGACTATCGTGACCGACATTGTCCCACTCCGGGAGCGTGGCCAATACATGGCCATCATGGGGATAGGTGCTATTGTGGGAGCTACCGTGGGGCCGTTTCTGGGTGGACTGATCACCGATCATGCTTCCTGGCGATGGTGTTTCTATATCAACGTACCCATTGGTGCTTGTAAGACCAGACCTCCTCTCTGTTGCCCGTCCGCTGTAACCTAGTTCCAGCCAAATTCTCCTAACTGACCATTCTCTAGTCGCTTTCGATACCCTGTTTGTTTTCCTCCTTGTCAAATATGAGAGCGATTTGAGCTGGTCGGCACGCTTTAGGCGCATCGATATCTCTAGTAATGCCATCTTCGTGGCCGCAATCGTCTCCGCCCTCATTGCGCTTACTTGGGGCGGTACCATCTATAATTGGATTACTTACCACATTATTGTGCCCCTTGCCCTGGGTCTTGTGGGCGTGTTGCTCTTCGCCGCTTTCGAATGGACCCCGCGGATCTGTCCTGAGCCCTCTTTCCCGCGAGGGATGGTGTTAAACCGCACCTCAGCAGCTGCTCTCGTCTTGACTTTCACCCATGCGATCGTTGCGTACTGGGTATACTACTTCCTGCCGATATATTTCCAAGCCGTTAAGGGCTTTTCACCTTTACGCTCCGGCATAAATACGTTGCCAAATGTGGCCGGTGGGCTTGTCTTCGCAGTTCTGGCAGGCGTCCTGCTCTCCAAGTTTGGCCGTCACCAGCCTATCCACTTGGGCGGGTTCGCTAATACCACTGCCTCCTTTGGCCTGCTCAGCATACTTGATACCAACTCAAGCACCGCGGCGTGGGTTCGCATACAGCTTCTAAACACCATCGGCAGTGGCAGGCTTGACGGTGTGCTCCTGCCCGCAGTTCAGGCGCCTCTGAATGAAGGCTATGTCGCCACAGCTACCGGCATTTGGAGCTTTTCTCGATATTTCGGCTGCATCTGGGGCGTTACTATCCCGAGTGCTTTGTTTAACAATGAGTGCCGCCGTCTCGCAAGCCGCATTAGCAATGCTGACATCGCTAGTAATCTGTCGGCTGGCAGTGCGTATCAACATGCCACAGGTGCCTATCTATCTAGTACTGAGGATACAGCACTTCACGCAGAAGTAGTCGAAGTCTTTATTGGATCGATGCGGACGGTTTGGTTGGTGGTAATTGCATTTGCTGCATTAGGATTCTTGGTTACTTTCGTAGCGAAGGAGATTAAACTACGGGAAGAATTGAACAATGACTTTGGGGTGGAAGACAAAGAGGATGCTGCAATCTCGCCAAGGACAGATGCTGAGGCTGTATTATCGCCCAGTTAGTGTAGTACCTATAAGAGGGATTTTATTTGGCTATGGAGATCGTAGAGGGGTGAGAAATCCGGCAGTTTCGGGTGCGAAGGATATTAATGTTTTCTAGTTAGAACCCTCGCCAAGTGTAATGTAGCGCCACTTGTGATGCGCAGATGCCAGTACCCCTCTACCAGAAGTTAAAGGTCAATTGCAGGGCTGAGTGCCTCGGACACATTGTCCTAAGATAATTTACATGGATAATACTGCCTCCCTCCCTCTATTTTTTTTTTTCTTTCTCTTTCTCTTTTTTACTTTTTCTCCCTTTTCCATTTTTTTTTAATCCATGCAATACCTTCAAGTTGCAATAGTATCACCAACATATTAGATTTTGATAGCACCATGCAGGAGAAAAGGGAGGATTACTTCCCAATTTACAAGATGCTATCAGAATCTGTGATATATTGAACTGGGACGTCTATGATACACGTTTAAATAGCTGGGATGAAAGATATTTTTATTTGGCTTTATATATTATATAATGCTCTCTATTTTATTTAGAACCATTATTAATTTTACTGACTCATACTAGGTATATGTGTGCCTGCCCCCCTGTGACGCAGTGGCCCAGCGTCTGACAGTATTCATGCTCGTTCATCGCATAAGGCAGTCGGTTTAAATCCGGCCATGGTACCCTTTTCTAGCTAATCTTCCCGTAAAATACAGCAAGCCTCGGCTTGTGTAATGACACAATACTAGCTGTGTTATTGTGTTATTTTTGGAGCTATTACAGTAACAACAACATTACTGCGTCAAGCCAGCCTATTTTAGCGCTGTTTAGTTGCGGTAATATTTCCTTTGCTGAGTAACCCATGATTAACGTAGCTTTACAATGGATATCTTTAGATTTAGATTTACGATGAATCTAGTATCAGAATACATGGTAAGGGGGACTTAGGCGATGTATATATACGGTGTAAAGTTGGACAAATAATACTGCACACTAAATGTCACAGTAAGATCATTTGGCTATGAAAATATCACTATAGAAAACTGGACATCCAACCGTCGAAAGAATTAAGAGTAAAAAAATAAACACTAGAACCGTTTGCAATAGACGTCTTTTGCCTCACGAGACAGACACCAATAATATTCCCCTCCACTAGTCCTGGACGTCCTTTTTGGGTCCTAACTTATGTCGGGTTAACCTCTGCACTTTTCTCACGTCATCTCCTCGTGTTTAGCTAGCGTTTGAGAAGTCAAAATGCCCTTCCTTTCCACTGTATATATGTGGCCTACAGGTTTCGCACACAAAACCTGGAAGAGCTGTCGATTCCATTGCATTGTTTTTCTCTAATCTTCGCGGTATTCAGACGGACTATATATTTTCTCAACCTAGTATTGTTACGCTCAGCTCAATTTTATGCATGGCATACATATCGAGCAGAAATGTTCCTTCCCCCTTCGTCAAGATGCCAGACAACCTCCAGAACACCCCCTCAAACATGATGAGAGAACTAATTGAGAATGTTGTGCAAATTGCCTGGGTTTCTAAATATTGGATTACTCTTAGCTTTGCTATCCTACTTCACATCTTATTTTTGGTTCGCACAGTGTCAAGGTTCCCTAATATAGCTAAGCACTTGAGAAATCGAGGCCTGTTTGCCCTTTTTTTTCACATTGGCGTCTCAACGATGGAGCTTCTTCACTGGAATTACACCCGTATCACAACTAGAGCCGAACCAGTCGCAAATATCATAGATATTATCCTCTGCGTGGCTCAGGTCACCAGCACAATGATGATAACAAGGCGCCTGCAAAAGGGACATCCGGATATGGTCAGACCCATCTTTCAAGCCGTTATGCCGTATCGTCTTCCTTTGACAGTTGCGGCTTATATCTTTGAAAGCTCAATCTTGCACCGCGCGTCTGTCATGACAAATCGAGGCTTTCTCTACGTTCGAATTGGAATACTTAGCTTCTCCATGTTTGACCAGCTCAAGGGCTCAAACGCATCAATATACACCCTAGGCAGCTATTTGGGCTCAACCCTGTCTACCTTGGACAACGACATGCCGCTTGGATGGGCTATGTTTGGCTATTGTGTTCTGATGACATCCAAGCTGTCGCGCTGGACAACGCATCAAGTTATGCCAAGGTGAGATAGTCTCAAAAAGGAACACTTGGGTGCTGCTGCAATGGGAAGCTAACAATGAAACTTTAGTAGCCCTGAAGTTCCAAAGAAAATGAGTGCGATGAGATCGCAGCTGGTGCGGCTTCTGCTCTGGATTGGACTTGCCGATCTGAAGATTGTTAAAGCCTATGATGACGGATCTTTGTTTGGTCCTAATGCTGGAGAGAAGGAACATGTCAATTGACTGTCGGCCAAGATTAAGCATAGAGAGAGATAGGAATATGATGGATAACAAAAAAATCATGCCCGTTCAATAAATTCAATGCACCAAGTGTATAAGGGATAGATAGAGCATGGACTAGTGAATAAATGATGACATAGATTCAATGCTTGCTACAGCTATACTGGTCAAAGACTCTTCAAAGCTCGAACGGAGAAAACATTACGAGGAAAATATTGATTGAAGGTTCGAAACGTTGACCCATAAACATTGACCCATAAACATTGACCCATGTACAAGAGTGGTCGAAGACCAAGCTTCGAGTTGAAGTATGCCATTGTTAATTTTAGCTTCCTCACTCACTTAGTGCGGAACCTATCATTAGATTTGCCATATATATGTTAAAAGGGGAAACTCTAGTCTGATTTGGCTACGTGGATCATATAGATTTGGCATATATAAGAGTTTTTGCCTCCCAACTTCTTGACCAGTTAACAAAGAACTTTCAATAACATGAATAACTTACTATAGTCCCTTTTTGCTATTTGTAAATGTACGAGTCTATACTGATAACCCGAGATGAACATAAACTCATTCGCTACGCGCCGGCTTACATAATTAATAGAAAAGAAATGGTAATCATTTTCTCGCCTGTGCTGGTCTTTCGGGAGGATAGCTCCATCAGAGAACCTTAGAATTGAGGCCATTTATTTTTGTTGTTTCAAGTATGAGCTTGCCTATCTCTAAATATAGCTATGCATTCGAGGGGTAAGAAAAATAAATAGCGTTATGGTATCGGTGAACATACATATGACAACCAGAAAGGCATAATACCTCTTGAAATAACCTTAAATGTGCGGAAAGTATGGATTTCTCGCAACTCCAAAGACGAATTTGTGAGTCCCCAAGTATATACATTAACTTATCTCTCTGCTGACCTTATATTTATCTGAATCATCCAAATTTTTGCTATGATAAAACTCTCGGTTTGCATGTTTCTACATTTGCTATCTCTGAATATGCTACACGATTACCAATTGTATAAAATTAATCCTACTCTAACCACTGTCGCTCTTTCAAGAAAATGACCTAATGCAATAATACTGCTGGTCCTTCCTGTAATCTCAATGTAATTCCTGAGGTTTACTCATGCATTGCTCTAGGATAAGTATTTATAGAGAAGGATGTTGAACAGCGACCCAAGAGAAGAATTTGATCTAGATAATGATACCAAATATTCTTTCTACATATATATATGGGCTCCTGCTCCGCAATCTTTGGTTAGACAACCAAAACGTTTCCATATCCCGTGTCAACAAAGGGCGCAAAGCGTTCCCTGTGGGCATACGACTTCTAATCCAGCCATAGACAAGCACCTTCTACCTATTCTTATGGTTAAATAGTGAAGCCTGCTGATGAGGAAATTAATTCTGCAAGATCATATTATTTTGAAACATTATTTTCACTGTACTGAGTTTAGCTCAATGAACTGTTTATTGGATGGATTATAAACGATATATCAAATGATTGGTTTAGTGAGAAATTCTTCATGCCTTCCTACGAAGTCTCAATCTTTGCTTTCATCTCACCAAATTCTCTACTTCGGGTACATCTTTCCTTAGTGCATCAATAATCTCAGCCCATACCTGTTTCTGCAGGTTTGCACCTTGCTCTCCTTTCAACATCGGCGCTAATCTAAGAACAACAGAGACATTAGCAATAAACTCTCAATACGCGGGCAAGGATTTGATGCTTTTCAAGTAGTCAAACGTACTCTTCGATAATATCGTCACGCCAGAACCGCCCATGGCCTGCATTGCCCGTTGTGGTACCGCTGATATACGTCCTAGCACCTTGCTCCGTAGTCTTGTTGACAAAGTTATTAATGATCCAGAAAAAGGGCTTCGTATACCAAGGATAGCTCCTCATAATATTTGACTGGGTCCCTCCAGGACAAACCGAGGTAATGAAGACATTTGGTTGACCGTTCTCGCCTACTCCTTCCTGTGTCACAAGCCCCTCCATTCCGTACATAAGGAACAGCTTGGAGAGGCCATACGCTTGGAACGATGAGAATTTGTTATTGTATTGCAATACAGTCTGCTCGCCAGAAGGGTCCGAATCAACTTTGGACACCATGTAGTGGTTGCTGCTGCTAACTAACTCCAGCACCGGGGTGAATGACTTTGTTTTGCTACTCTTCAACTTCGGGAGGAGGAAGAGGCTCAATAGCAATGTTGACAGAGCGTTGATTTGAAGGGCAGTCTCCCATCCGTATGGAGATAGTTGATGCTGTGCAGGCTGGATGCCAGCGTTGAGAAGCGCAATATCAAGGTGGTCGAGGTTCTTGCAGGCGCGTGCAGCAAACTCTCTGATGCTGTCATACGACATCATATCAAGAGGCCAGACCTCAACGCAGTCTTTTCGGCCAGTCTTGGCTTCAATCTTTGCTTTTGCGTCTTCGCCCTTTCTGACGGATCGGACAGCTAAAATGACGCGGTCTGCGCCAAGTTGCACGAACTTGACCGAAGCTTCGAACCCTACGCCTGAGTTGGCCCCAGTCACGATGACATTTCGGCCTTTGAAAGAAGGCTTGGTGTCTTCAGGTGGATTCCACCTTCCTTTGGAACCCATTGTGGTTGAGGTTTGCTATTGCGTAACGGAGGAAGATAAAAAGACAGTAGACATAAAGCCGGTTCAAATTGCTTTGTTACCGTGAAGTAGGTGGCTATCGTTAGCAAATATTCATTTTGAACATTGCATCCAATGCATTTCATCTCAGTGCAAGCGAAAATGCAGAGTCCAAATCAAGGCTAGAGGACATCTTGATGGAGAGTGGCCGGCGCTGATAATACTGCCCGGTCCGTACCTGCCCGCATTTCTCGTGCTTACAAGATGCCTGCAACGGCCGCTCCTTCTCGCCTTGATCCCACGGCCCAGTTACTTGGGATTTGGTACTCGGTACTACTGCCGCTTTGCGAAACCAGGGTCTATTTTACCGTGATTCCAAGACTGCGGGGAAGTACTCGTACTTGGCAACGGGGTACCAAAAACGTGGACTTGGGAAGGATCGTGTCTGGGTCCTTCGGGTCGTCGGGTCTCCACTTGAGACTAAGTTAGCCAACGAACCTGCCAGGGTCAATCCTAGATCCATGTTTCAGACTCTAGGATTGTCCCGCATTGAGAGCACATAGATATGTCGGACCGGATCATCCAGTTGCCCCCACCGGAGAAATACCTGAAGCCGAGAAAGGGCTCCTTGTCCGTCTTACAATGAATCCTGCAATCCTGCCCGTCTGACTGGCCTTTGATTCACAATTAACCAGCAGCGTTACGGTGTTAATTCTGTACTTCATAATATCATGATTCTGACTTTGGCTGGGCATTTAGAAGTCAATTTCTACTAAAGGTCTGGCGTAAAGCGACCTAAGTTCCAAGATGTCTTATCGTCTGTAAGTGATATCCAAAGTCACTATTTAACAGCGTACTCATTTCCTCAGCATCTCCGTTGGCAGATATCATTGCCTCCGTTGGTAGATATGCGTCGCCAGAGAAGAGGCTGTCAGGCCATAATCTACTTTTGTACGTGCGAGAGATGTTCTCACATAACATTTATAATGATAGCGACTAGTAGGCACCCGTAGTTTTTCTATGTGAACACGGCAAATAGACTGCCTGGTGATCGATTTCATAACGTAACTCTTTTTTTCCCTCGCTCACTACAGCCTCAAACATGGCAGCGCTATCAGCCTTGGGAAGGTTGTTGACGGTTCCAACTTTATCATTTCAGTTTCTGGGCCTTCTCACTGCCTTTTTTTTAATCAGTGGCTACCTCATACGCCTTGCTCTGCTCCCCAGGCCAATCCCTGGTATTCCCTACAAGAAATCTTGCGCTAAGAAAATCGCTGGCAATGGCTTCGAGATGCTTGCATGGAAACAGAAACATGGAGAAATGTTTGGCTACTTGTCCCAGTTGGCCTTGGAACTCAATGCCCCCATTTTCCAGATATTCGTTCACCCGCTAGGAAAGCCATGGGTGGTTATTGCCGACAACCGCGAATCCAATGATATCATGGCTCGAAGAACCAGCAGAGATTTCGATCGTTCCATCTTCTTGGGAGACCTCATGTCATCTCTTTCGCCCGAGTTTCACTTCCATATGCCAACCGGTGAAAGATGGAAATCGCATCGAAAGCTAGTGTCTGATACTATGTCTCCTGCTTTCTTGAGCGTGGTCGCAGGTCCACAGATGTGGAAATCCAGTATGAAAGCCATCGAGCTCTGGCAAACCAAAGCACGACTGGCTGAAGGTCGGCCATTTGCGATAATAGAGGATCTACGCAAGGCAGCGTACGAGATAATCTGGACCACAACTATGGGATTCGAGACAGGTGTAATGAAGGCCCAGTCTGACCTACTTTCTTCATTGCCAAAGTTTGAGAAACTACCGCACAAGGATCAGGAAATCGTTTTCCCCGTCGCAACAGATCCGCCAATTTTCAAGGCCGGGATGGCACTCAATGACACCCTACAAGACGGAATTCAATCTCTTGTTCCTACTCTATACTTGTTCTTGGCTTACAACGCAGTCCCTTCACTGCGTGCCGCGCGAAACCTCAGGAATCGTATGATTGAAAGCGAAATAAAGAAAGCAGTCGAAAGATTCGCCAACAAGACAGACCTCGAATGGGAAGACTCAAGCAACATGCGTCGATACATGAAGAGTGCAATGGATATGGTCATTGCGCGAGAATTGCAGTATGCCCGCAAAGAAGGCCGCACACCAGAACCTTTGAGTCGCATTATTCAGGATGAGCTCTTCAGTTTCATGCTCGCTGGAAACGAGGTTTATACAGTGATCCTTTGGACTCTAAAGTTCCTTACTGCTCACCAGGACGTTCAGACCAGGCTACGAGAAGAACTTCATGTTCAATTAAAGCAGGCGCTTGACACCGGTGCTACGCCTTCTTCATCTGAGATTATCGCAGCCAAATTGCCTTATCTCGACGCTGTCATGGAAGAATCGCTTCGTTGCGGTGAGATAACTCAGACCAATATTAGGACGAGTCAACGAGATGTCGTCATTCTGGGCCATCATGTTCCCAAGCATACCGAAGTGTTGATGCTCAACAATGGCCCGGGCGTTTTTCTGCCTCCGCTAGACGTTGATGAGAGCCTAAGATCAGAGACCTCGAGAGGCGCAGTCGAAAAAGTTGGTGAATGGGAGTCGAAGGGCATGAGAAACTTTGATCCCAACAGATGGCTTGTTTCGGATGATCAAGGGCAGATCTCATTCAATCCTTCTGCCGGAGCAAGACATTCTTTCGGAGCTGGTCCTAGGGGTTGTTTCGGTAAGTCATCCATGTCATAAATGAATAATCAAAATATCGGACTGTTCGCCTGGCCGCTGTACACAGACTGTCGATGCTAATTCAAATTTTCCTTAATACAGGTCGCAAGTGGGCTATGCTCGAAGTCAGGATCATGGTATCCCTCATTATTTGGAAGTTCCGACTTGAGGAAATACCCGCGGCTTTGGCGAGCTTCAAGCCTAAGCCAGGGCTTGCACACAGGCCGGAGATGGCGTACGTACGTCTCAACGCTCTATGAGAGTCTGGAGTTTAAGTAGTCAGAAATGAATATTTCAATCACACCAGTCATTTCCCATCATCTACCATATCCCTTTCATCGGTTGTTACATTGGTTGTCAGCGATTTGCCAAGAGTTAGTTACTAGGCGATTTCTATTAAAAAGAAGATTAGTTAAAGTAGTTGCAAGAGTTAGTAAATAATTAAAATAGCAATGCGTTTGCGAAACTATACTAACATCTACTATTTCTACTATAACTTCACTTTTCTAGGATGGTCTTATTAAGAATTTTTAATAGTTACTGGTAAAACAAAATAACCATTAGCAACCTAGTAGCTAATTAACTATCTTAGATATTACTTTGAATAATGAAGGTAGGGCTATTTACATACTTTATTAGCGGTAAACCACTGCAGCAAAGCCTATAATACCAATATGCTTAATAATACATGGTTCGAATATTTATTTATCTAAAGTAAAGGACTAACGAATCTTTACTAGATCTTCTTTAATTCAGGACATCTGGCTGTATTAAGGCTATCTTGCCAACCTTCTAGCTAGATTAAGCCAACTTCTGCTATGTAAGTTTCTCAAGTGTTTATAGTTATGCGTCGGTATATACTTAAATTCTTTTAAAACGCTCCTGTTCTATTATATTATTGCCAGGTGTAAATTATTCAATATTAAAAGCAACACACAAGGCTACGAATCCATCTGCGTATCCGCTAACAAACATGAGTACGCATTTGCCTAATGAGGAAGTTTGGGAAAATAATATTATTTAGGCAACAATATGCAAGTTAATCCTGTTGATAAATAGTTATATATTAGTTTACATAGACTGACTGCAACCGGATAAGTGTTTACACGTATTAGCGACTAATATTTACAGCGCTCTTGTACTTCATTTTGCATTATTAATTTATAACCACTATAGATAATTGCAACTAGTAGTACAAAGTCGAACTTATTTATTAATAACTGCACTATAACTTTGTGGCTGCACTAGCAGGAATGAGTTCTAGATTATAACAGTTATCTAGTGTTACTATTGTTTTATCTTTGCAATTATTTTATGTATATCTTTATTTTCTTTAGCCTTACCATTATTAATTTTATTTACACATGAAGTATTGGATTTGCAGTATACAACAAAATGCATTATTGGTATCTGTTATGTTCCGGTATAACAAGCTGTAAATCCACGATTGTGGAATATTTTGTTTGCAACCATCACGCCGAGCACTATACCCTGTACCTGTTATAAAACACACCCTTGTTACTCGCCACCATACATATACATAGTATAAGTATTGAGCCTGCATGCTCCGCGTACTCCGTATACTCCGCATGCCCCTCCCGAAATGTTTGCCAGGACGGTCTACGGGTGGGAGATGCAAAAGCGGGGTGCAAAAGTGAGAGTATTATTTTCTCACCTAGCTTTACAGATGCAGTAATATTCTTTAAAAAAAAATGAAAAAATTAATTTATAAGAGTCTAATAGAAATCCCTCCGCTAATTAATACAGTCAGTCAAGCAGCTACCAAAAACAGTTAGTGAAGGATTTGAGGTATATAATAAGTACGCGCCAAATCCATTTTTCTGGGGAAAACAATATTCCTTCACTGATTGTACGCCTTCACTGTATTCCTTCCAACAACCAAAATCTGGATCCCTTTAGAAATGGGTAAAGTGCTTGCGTTCAAAATTGCGCAATAGCATTAAAAAAAAAAAGGATCTACTACAATCAGTTGTAAAAAGAATAACACTAACTTTAACGCTACTGGTCATTGCAGGGTGGCTAGCTTAATGTTACTTGAATCCTATTATCATGCTTAGACAGTTTATTAGCAGGCTTTATAATCCAATATTTCAAGGGATTGATTACTGACGTAGTAATTATTAAAGCCTTTTGCCAACTGCTGTCAGTAACACTTGACCATAGAAATATAGTAAATAGGCTTTTATTATAATTGGACTTCGGAATAATCCACAAGATAGCGCGTACAATTTGTCTCCTATTTCGAGTGTCGGTATTAGGGGAGCTTATCAAGCAATATTTATAACATACTTGGGATATTACTGGGCAATACATATTTAGCTTACAACCAGGGTAAAGAACAATGTATTTTAAAATATAGCTAATATTATAACAATAAAATATATTAATATATAGTTATATTATAATAAATACACTGCAATAAATACACTGGAAATAAGCGCTATGCTGTATCGGACAAGCGCCATATTGTAGCAGATAAGCACTATATTATCCCACTTCAAGTGCGAGGCGGTGCTAGTTATTCTTTTTTGAGTACTGGTGTTGTATGTGCTACTTGATAAATGCTTGATAAGCTATCTTGATATGTTGCAGGTCTGATAACGAAACTACTTTATACAATGTTAATGTTTAGTTAACCCCAACCTTATCTGTTGAGCTATAAGTTTATTAAAATATATATACATGATGCATTTATTTACCAAGAGCCCTGTAATGTTGATTAGTGTGTGCAGACGGGCAATTCCTACGGCTTCAACTTCTCTTAGCTATATGGTACATCGATTGCTGACCCCCGCCCCATCTTGTTCGCACGTTGCCTCCCATTAGAGTAACGCCGAATCCTGGTACAGCTCCTGTTCTGTACATGCTCGTTCCTGGCTGTGGTGCGGCTAAAATGCGCCCCACACAACGGACATAAATGATATGCACGGCTGCTAGATCGTTCTCGTTGGTGTCTCTTCAAGTTGCTCGACGTTGTGAAAGCCCGGCCATTGCATCCATGATCCCAGCACCTTAGATCTGAGAAGGATTTGCTGCGCTCTGTTGTGGCTGCTTTCTCATCCCCCCCCACTGAACTGCTTGATTGACGGTCATCGGCAGGGCGCGGGCGACGTGACACTCGATGCTCGCTACCAGCTGGGGATGTCGTGCGATTTGTCCGGCGGGTAGTCTGTCGGTACTCAGGTTGCGTCGAAGCTAAGAAGATGGGATCAAGATTCCACTCTCTGTGCATGTATGACATATCAATTAGTCCCAAAATCGGATATGCGCGTCTTGATACATTGGGCGCTACTGCCGATTGGCCTCACATTGCATCTTGGCTTCCGTATTGGCATAAGTCATCGCTCGAAAGGGAGATAGAATTCAGGAAGGTCTCCTCTAGTTGTAATGAATCGGTGTTTGAAATGCAAGAGTCTGTTTCGATTCGAGAGTGCGAGCCTGAATGAAAGAGAGAATGTATTAGTCTCAGCAGGTATTGGTACCTTTAGCTTAGGCAGAATTTGGTATGTACGAAGAAAAGGTACACAAAGATGAATATATTAAAGCATACTATACAAAGTTTCATTGCTGTGGGGAGGCGGGCTGAAATCAACTGGAGGTAAAAACGTCTGCAGTCCAGACATCCAGTCTAAGACAAAAGGTGAACCTTTGTCTGTGGTATGTGTCGAACTCATTTCTAGGAAACCTTATTGGATATCGATGGCGTAAAGCTGAAAGAAATGATGAAATACATATAATTGCAATCTTAGCAGTAGACGGGGACATTAAGCATTTATTATTTGTGACTAGGAGGTTGATATATGTGGAACAATGCCGGCTAAGTTAACATACAGTTGCCCGAATAGGTAAAACTCTTGCTGCACGTTTATAATATGAGATTCAACTGCAACTGTGAAACATATCGACATTTACATGGGTACCGTTGCCCACACTGTTTTATTTGTATAATCGGGCATAGTGGCTGATATTTACATATACTATACACCTTACTCCTGTCAGAAACTCGACGTTCTATTGTAGCAACCCATCCTCCACTAGACAAGATCTACAAACGTTTCCTATTTCCACTATTAGCCAATTACCGTACATAGAAAAACCAATGTATTCTATATACAGTCTAGTAATAGGCAGCCGTCCTTATTACTCCGCTGAGAAATGATATCTTTGGCCAAGCCGCTATTAAAACAAATAAAATTATTGAAGCAGGACGGCTAAATCGGATACATACTGTAAGTCCTGGAGCGCTAATGCATACACTCCTCTATTTCTTATTCTTGTCTTAGCAGTTACGTCTTCCTGTTAATTAATAGGGTATAGCTGCCGAAACTATTGATGGCTTGAGATCCTTCTTGCAGGGGTCAGCGTCTGACACGGATTAGCCAATGCATGTAGAACCTTGTCTAGGATTTTAATATATTCTGTAGAGCAAGTATAAGCTAACTAAAATTAATTATATATAGAAAATAGTTTCATATATTAAAAGGCCAAGAAGAATTTTAAAATTTGGAAAATAAAAATAAATATTATATGATTATTATAAATTTAATAATAAATAAATTTTTATTTATTTTAAAATATAATATAATATAATATAAATTATTTTATATTATATAATGAAAATACTTTATTTTAATATATATATATATATATATATATATATATATATATATATTATATTTATTAATATTGCCTATAGTTTAATATAGTATTTGCAGGATTTTATTATATAATTAAATAAAACTTAAAATATTTTTATTTATTTTATTTAACCAAAAATTATAATTTATTTTTTATATATAGTTATATAGATTATTAATTGCTTGACAATTATAGTATATTGTTTTTAATATACAATTATATATTTTATAGTTTTTTTTATAATAAATAATAAATTTTAGTTTTTAAGAAATATATATTTTAAATCTAATATATTAGTATATTTATATAAAATTAATATATTTAAGTTAAAATATAAATATGTAATTTACTTATCTAATACTACATATGGTTGTATTATACAATAGCTCTAGATATAGTAGTATTAGTAATATATTATTATATTATTTATATTTAATATCTCCCTGATATATTTGCTAATATACACTCAAGGCTTAAAATTAGCCCAAGGAAATTTTCGATATTACTATTAATTCAGAAAATCTAGTCTGTTATACATGGCAGACATTTAGGCGCAGCATTTTAACTTTTGTTTCCTTGCACGCTTAGATACATTATCTGTTACAAATCTGTTTACTGTAACAGCTAACTCCCTTATAAGCGGCTGGCTCTGTTACAGTAATTGCCACGGTTTCGATTATTGGCCTAACTTTTTTCCCTATCCGGCTTAACCAGATAACGGATTATTACATTATCTCACATCAGCTTATGCTTTGGGTGAGGTTGGGATACTGATGACTCTTGTATTTCCCCAGAATATGAAGTGCCCCTTGTCCGCGATGCTAGAAAAGCATCTCCAGAATGTATAATTACTTTGTTTTAACAAGCCATTCAAGAAACCGGATTGGATTAGACATCTGGCCGATATTCCCTGCTACTTCAAATCTTGCATAAATAACGAGAAGAACTTACATATTGTTGAAAATCAGATAATAGCCCTTTTGTGTGGAAGCCTAGTCGTGATTACAGAAGATTTCCATTCTTTTCGCTAATCGGAGGCCTAGCCCAAACCTTACAGGGCTTATAATCAAGTTCCATTGCCGTAGCAAATACAGTATTCTTCTGCATTTGAGTCAGGGGCTCTAGGGACCTTGACGTATAACACCTAGCGGTTGTGTAAGCTAGCCATAACAAATGCCTGAAACTTTTCTGTCTGGACCTAGGTCACTAAACCAGCCGGATTATTGAATAAGGTCCACTTGGTGGTCTCCAGAATGTGGGCCTAAGTCGATTGCGTTTAAGGTGTAGATAAGTTTGCTACACTAACTTCATATTGCGGTGCTGATAGCAAGTCGTAACAAGCGTGCATAGGTATTCATAATTATAAATATTTACCTAGTTTAAATAGAAGAGATAGCCAAGGCAGAAGTTGACAGAAAAGTAGATTGCCTTCTAATGTACTACGCTTCCTGTAATACAACCCCCTGTCTGTACATATGGATCTTCAGCCATTTTCGCCTGATGCAAAATATACAGTAGAGCTTTATACCACTTGACACCTTGCAAACTCCTTATGATATATCGAGATATTAATTAGTCTCTTATCATGTGTAATTATTTAGCTTCCACATTGTCTGGATATTGTTAATTAAACAGTTAATAATAGTAAAAAACAACATATGCAGTGTATTAGTATTTATTTTATACGGCTATATCCTGTATGTATGCTAAAAGTATAGCACACGGCTTACCCGAAAGTGGGCGTCTATATAGCAGCTGCACAAGAAAGCTGCTTGTAGCTGTTAGTTTTAGCTGCTACTCTTAATCTATGCATACGATCGTTTTGAGCAAATAATCCGAGGTACTCAGTATATATGGATAGAATTTTTGTTTGTCTACGTCCCCAACCTGGATTTAATTATTGAGGATCAAATATATTTGATTGAAGACTAGTCACTTATGCAGTTATAATATTTTTTTTAAAGTAGTACTGAAAGAGCATTACGGGGCATTTCAGATAACCTTGCGAAAAATTAGAATCCGGAGTACTCCGTACAGAGTTATTATTATGCAGGAATGATCCTTACTTGAACTATAAGAAAGTGGTGGGGGGGTTCAAAATGAATTGAATCAATCTCTTGGATATCTACACCACGTACCACGTGTACGTAGCACGTGTTGTGGGATGAGATAGCACAGGGGTCGATTTGATTCTGAGGACCACCTGGCCGTGGCTTGTAATGATTACATCCTTTTCGGCTTTGCCATTCCAGAAAAGCGGAACCTGTAATCCTCCAATCCTGCAATCTACGATTCCCCCATTCCAGGATCTTGTAGCATGTACCCCACAGCTGCGAACGTAGGCAAGGGGTCTGCAAAAACGTCGAGATCAGAAAAAAAAATTATCGGCATCCACCAGTAAAATGAGAGTATCCTCTTTCCTAGATACTGGGTTTGGAATGGTGTGTACGATTGCGATGTAATGTGCCGATCCCTCATTTTTAGTCCCTAAATCTTTTGTAAACCGCTTGGCGGGGTGTATATGGTGTACGGGGCCGTGTGCACTGTTGCAGCTTTGGGTGAACTAAGAGAAATCAGTGTATGACTGCCGTGTTCATAGATCCTGACAGACAGATTCCTTCCTTTTAATGGACGGGGAGATTGTATGCAGTAGAGAGAGGTTGAGGATCCTGCGTTCCTCACGACGGACTTTTCAATTGCCAAATCTGTGACTCAAACACTCTGTGGTAAAGCACTATACGAGTCTGTCTACATGTACCTATTATACTTGATATTGCAGCTATACGCGCATCTACTCCCATTCATCGTGAGAGCTATTGAAGCTTATCATACTCCCTTCTATCCAATTGTGACTCCCATATTTTCCATTGCCGTACTCTAAATTGCTTTCAAGTACTAGAGGGTAATAGCAAGATTCATTATCAGACATCCGCAAGCGACATTCTCTTCACTGGTGGTTTATTCCTAGTTCGACGCTGCTAAAACATCACCCGACCGTCGCATTGCTTTCAATCATGCTCCTGGACGAGAATGCTCTACACGCTATGATGCGTGAGGAGCTCGCCTCTGCTCTGAATCTAACCTCGGAGCAGTTGCTGCTGGATCAATCCTTCTTGGCCCAGGGCGGCGACTCACTCAGCGCCATCCAGTTGATGGCCAGGTGTCGTGCCCAAGGTATCGAGGCAGATATCGTCGACATCTTGAAGTTTGACACCCTGTCCGAACTTCTCTCTGAGCTCGTCACAAGAACGTCCACAAGCAGCTTAACGAGCGTTCCATCACCCACCGAGTCTGAGCTGTCAGTCTCGGGGAGATCAGTTACCGAGATTAGTACTCTCTTTGCTCAGCTCGAAGCAACCGCGCCGCCCTCTGTTGGTCATGTCCAAAGCATTGGACCCTGCTCGTTGATGCAAAACCGAATAATCATTGGCCAGGCGGTACATCCAGCTGCCTATCACTGCAGCTTCATCCTCACCGCGCGTACACGAGATCATAGCCCCCTTTCTACTAATGATGTTGCCAAACATTGGCTGTCTGTCGTCCAGCGACATCCCAGTCTCCGAACAACCTTTATTGAGAGCACCGAGCGCCCAGGCACTTTTGACCAGATTGTTTGGGATCAAGTACAGCCTAGTGTGACCATTCTTCAGGATGAGAAGCAGATCGATCAAGCCCAGGCTGTTAACAATAACACAGCCGAAATCGGTCACCACATGTACCTTGCAGAAATGACGCCGAACAAGGTCATGCTCAGATTAAACATTTCTCATGCCATTGTCGATGGTCGGTCCGCCGGCATCGTTCTCCGAGATCTTTGCGATGCATTCTCAGGCGAGATGACTCCCGGTCAGACTCTGCGCCATGCGGATTTCGCGATTGCGGAGGACCAACTCGTTGATCGCACCACTGAAGACTTTTGGAGGGCTTACCTGCAGGGTGCCGAAGAAACCTACCTCGCAGGAAACAATGTCACCAACAAAGCCAAGACTGGCCTCCACTCGCTGCAAAGAAAATTGCACATATCTCCCGAAAAGACGCGCAAATTCTGCCATGACTACGGTATCACAGTAGTCAACGTGTGCCAGGTTGCCTGGGGCATGGTTCTCCGAACTTTTGCTCTCAAAGACGACATCTCATATTCCTACATCACTTCGGGGAGGCAGACAAAATTACCAGGAATGTCTGAGGCTGTTGGACTCTTTATAAGCAGTCTTGTCTTGCGTATGGACTTCGCTAGCAACATCAAAGTTCTAGATCTGCTTAAAAATGCGAATGAAGATGTGCTCCGACAGATGCCTCATGACCGAGGCCTCAGGAAAAGATCATCAAAATGGGGTAATTCAATTCTGTCATTCCAGAGAGCGTGGCAGACAGAAGCGAGCGAGAAAGATTCGCTTCGCTTTGAGGTGCTGAGACGCCTCAGTCCAACAGATGTGCGTATCTCCTCATACCCCACCCTCTTTATTTATCTGTTTATTTCTCCTTTCAATTTTGAGAATGAGAAAGCTATTGCTGACATGTAGAACTAGTACGATCACTCTCTCAATGTTGAGATCGGAGACGACACTATTATAGTGGACTACGACATTTGGAAGTCAACAACCGATGTCGATTACGCGAATAATATCCTTAGCGCATATCTACGGGCCATTGAGTTCGTTCTGGGTAATCCAAATGCTGAATTTGGCGAAGGGGATCTCCTTGGACGGGAAGATTCGAAGTTATTACAGCAGATAAACGGGATACCGCCAACGCCCAACTCAACCTGTATCCATACCATAGTGGCAGAAGTGACTAGCCGTCAGCCCGATGCTGTGGCTGTTTTTGCGTGGGACGGCACCATGACTTTCCGGCAACTCGATAGGGCCGCAAGTGCCCTTGCGAATCACCTTTCTAACCTCGGCGTTGGTCCTGAAGTTATGGTGGGCATGTCCATGGATAAATCTCGCTTTTCTTCAGTCTCAACACTTGCTATTCTCAAGGCAGGTGGCGTCGTACTTCCATTGTCGACTCAACAGCCGCTTGCTCGGCTACAGATTGTCCTCAATGACACTCGAGCAAAGATCATTCTAGTTGATGCTGAACAGAAAAAGCGCCTTTCCTCTGAGGAGCTTCCTGGGTTGCACCTTGTTGAGATTACGACCGGATTTTTGGAAAGTCTTCCCTCGGTTCCAGACGGCCAAGTAATTTGTCCTCAAGTTGGCACAAGCAATGCTGCATGGGTCGTTTACACATCTGGTAGCACAGGTGTTCCCAAAGGCGTTGTACTTCAGCATAGCGTGAGTTAAAATTTTGCTGACCGTGCTCAACAACCGGAACATCAATCTTCGTACTAAGCATTCTTCTACAGGCATTATGTTCAAGTATTGAGGCCCATGGGACGTCATTCGGCGTTACATCAAACTCGCGTGTTCTACAATTTGCCTCGCATACGTTTGACGTTATGATACAAGAGACCTTCACGACTCTCTGTAAAGGGGGCTGTGTATGTATTCCTTCAGAACAAGATAGGCTAAACAACCTGGAACAAGCCATTATATCTATGGAAGTCAACTTCCTTTCACTAACATCAACCGTTGCTGGGCTCCTCAATCCCGCACATCTTCCCGCGATTAAGACTGTGATTTTAATGGGTACGAATTGCATAAATCTCGGTATTCTCTTTTGTGAAATGAAAAGTTGCTAATTATCTTTTTTTTCTTTTTCGATTCATAGGTGAACCTGTTAAACCTGCTGTTTTAGACCTCTGGATGCATCATGCCGACTGCTACGAGTCATATGCACCTTCTGAGTGCAGTATCTACGCCACTTGTTCTCCTCAGCCGATGAAAAATTTGAAAGAAGCACCAGTGCTCGGAGCTCCTCTATCTAGCTGTTTCTGGGTCGTTGATCCTAAAAATTACAATCACTTGCTTCCTTTCGGGGCACCTGGAGAATTGCTTATTGAAGGGCCATTGCTGGCCCGTGGGTACCTGAATGACATTGAAAAAACAAACAAGTCGTTTATCATAGACCCTGATTTCGTTAAACGTCTTGGTCTTGGTTCTGGCCGTCGCATGTATCGTACAGGTGGTAAGTATTGATCCTGAACACTTGACCTGGTTGATGATGTGAATTTATTAAAGTCATGGCTCTAATTAAAATATCTTCATTGCAGATCTTGTGAAGCGGAACAACAATGGCACATACTCAACCCTCGGGAGACGAGATATGCAAATCAACATTCGAGGGCAGCGTGTCGAAATTGGTGAAGTCGAATACCACATTACTCAGCGAGCCCCTGGAGTGCAAGCTGTCATTGTGCTTTTGAAGCATCATTTCGACAATGAAAAGCTAGTCGCTGCTTTTAGCTTGGGCGAGGATGCAGCAACGTACGATAGCCTGACCGTTGAGGAAGGTGGCGATGCTATCGACAAACAAGCCGCAATGCTTGTCGCCTCAGACCTCCAGCAATACCTAGCACAGCATGTCCCAGATTACATGATCCCTCGCACTTGGGTGCCCCTCGCGAAGTTGCCTGTCAACACATCGGGCAAGGCTGATCGGCGGGCTGTTTCTACGTGGATACACGGTCTTAGTGACGAAGAAATCGCCTTGTTTTCTGATTTTGAGCAAACACAGACTGAGGAAGACGTGCAAGCAACGACTACTGAACAGAATATCCGGCAAATCTGGAGCAAAGTTTTGAACGTGCCCGTCTCACGCATCAAGTTCCGGCGATCCTTCCTCTCCTATGGAGGTGATTCAATCACGGCAATGCAAGTTGTCTCGGCGTGCCGTCAGCTTGGTATCTCACTATCTGTACGACAGGTCTTACAAAGTGGAGGTATTTCGGTACTTGCGCTGGAAGCCGGAATGGCGTCGCCGACCAACTCTGCACACATTCCGGATGAGCCATTTGATCTCTCGCCGGCACAGCTCATGTACTTTAACGAGATTGGAGGATTACGATCTGACGGTGACTACCGGTACAATCAGAGCGCCTGCCTTGAGTTGCAGCAGTCAGTGCCCCAGACCAAGATTGCCGACGCAATCGAGGCGTTGGTCGCGAAACATGCCATGCTACGAGCACGCTTTCATCACAGCGAGACTAGAGGATGGCAGCAACGCGTTGAGAAGCAGCTGGCCGAGTCCTATCACTTCCACACACACGTTTCAAAAGATGACGAGGCCGCACAGGAGATTCTACAACAGTCCCAGACTTCGCTCAATATCCAAGATGGTCCCCTATTCGCTGCTGATTTGATCGAGATTAAATACCCAGAACGACAAATCCTCTTCCTGACCGCCCATCATCTCGTAATCGACCTGATGTCGTGGAGAATCGTGCTACAAGACCTCGAGCAGCTCCTTCTGGGTGGAACAGCACATGCTTCCCACTCGATGCCGTTCCCAGCATGGTGTGGCGCACTTGCTGAGGAAGTGCGCCACCCCAGCCACGACGAGGTTGTGTCTTCCGTGCCAGACACTGCTTCAACGTGGAATTACTGGGGCATCGGACCGGGACAATATACGTCGTCAGAGCAAGTCTTTGCCACTTCTGAGATCGACCAGCATACAACCGACTTGCTCCTAGGGCCTGATGTTCACACCGCTATCCGGTCCACTCCGGTAGACATCCTTCTTGCTGCACTCATGATTTCCTTTCAACATGCGTTCCCGGACCGTGTGATTCCCGAAATTTTCATCGAGGGGCATGGACGTAGTGTTCCGATGGATCATGATTTGTCTGACACAGTTGGATGGTTCACCACCATCACTCCACTGGGCGTCAGCCACCATAATGATGACCTTGACATTGTATCTGCGGTCAAGCTAGTTAAAGAACTCCGACGAACTAGTGCGGATCGGCAAGTATCTGATTTCGCTAACCAATATCTAACTACAGAAGACAGGAAACGATCTACATCATATAGCACCCGTGAGATTATGTTTAACTATCATGGGCACTTCCAACAGCTCGAACGTGCCGAGAGCCTTTTCCGCTTGGATAAACTCCACGCAAAGCTTCAAGATCCGCAATCCGCCATTGCTTCGGTAGGAGGGAGTGTGAAGCTGCAAGCAGCACTAAATATCGAAGTATCTATCGAATCTAGAAAGATGCAGATGAGATTAGGCTTCAGTAAAAACTCTCACAGAGGCAATGAAATTCGGCAGTGGGTTCAAGACTGTAGCCGGATGGTTTCTGAGGTAGTGAATGTGCTCCTTCACACATCGCCAACTGTTACTATAAGCGATTTTCCACTTGCTCGTCTTAACAGCGACCGAGATCTTGTCACAGTGAAGGAGCAATGCTTGTTGCCGGCCGGAATCACGTCGTGGCAGGACGTTCAAGATATATTGCCGTGTTCTCCTATACAGCAAGGGATCCTACTCAGTCAGATGAAGTCGCCTTCTACCTACTGGCTGAAAGAAACTTGTCGTGTGCTTCCTACTTCAAATTCAAATAGTGTCGATATCGACAGGCTTGCCAATGCTTGGCGTGTTGTCGTCCAACAACATTCGATCATGCGTACCATCTTCACTTCAACGCCACTTCATCAAGATCGATTATACCAAGTGGTACTCGCATCTCCAAATGTTACTATCAAGGTTGTTACTTGCGTCGAATCTGAAGTGCAGCAGTGTCTAGAGCAACACTCGCTTCGAGATTATCAGCCTGGACAGCCGTTACACCAGTTCCTAATTGTCACGACCACGGGTGGCGATGTATATGGGCAGTTTGAGATAAGCCATGCTCTCGTGGATGCATCATCTGTTCAGCTCCTGGTGGAGGCTCTGCTAAGAGCGTATGAGGCTCCTAAGGCAACAGCAATTCAGGAATCAAATTACAGCACGTACGTCTCTTACCTCGAGCGTCGGTCCGAGGAGGAAGACCTACAATATTGGCAGAACTTGCTTGGTTCCGCACAGCCATGCAATTTGCAGTCAGATCAAAACCTTGGCGCACTTTCGAACGATGCGGATGATGCCATGAAAACACATTCGCTGAGTGTGAGCGAAGTAATACAAGATACGATGGCTGTGTACAACTTCTGCCAGACGCACAGCGTCACTGTTGCCAACGTTGTCCAGTTAGCCTGGGCGTTAGTTCTAGCATCGAGGGTTGATTCAAGAGACCAAATATCATTTGGTTACTTGTCCAGCGGTCGTGACGTGCCTATCGACGGTGTAGATGTGCTCATTGGGCCCATGATTAACATGATGATCTGCCACTTTGATGTTGAGTCTATGTCTGGGTTGACCTCGTCAGAGGCTGTTCAGGCCGTGCAAAACCGCTTCTTGGAGGGCTTTGATCACCAGAGAGTTTCTTTGGCCACGCTACAACATTCTCTCCAACAGTCCTTGTTCAACACTACCATCTCGTACAGACGGGCGCAGGGTGCAGGTCACACCAAACAAGCAGGGTCGCTACAACTAGAGAGGATCGAAGTAGACGAATCTACTGAGTACGACTTTAGTCTAAATATATTGGCATCAGACACGGGCATTGAGTTTGATCTCCAATACTGGTCTTCAGTTGCAAGTCCAGGAGCAGCTCAAAGCCTAATTGCTCAACTCAGACACATCGTGACCCTGATCTGCATGAACCCGGCCGTTCGCATCGGTGATCTCGAGTTGCTGTCACCCGAAGATCAGCTAGCCATCAAAACAAGCAATAGCATTGTTCCTGCCGCAACGGAGAACCTCATCCACACTATGACCCATGATGTTGCAATTCGCCAACCCGACGCGGTGGCTATCAATGCTTGGGATGGCACAATGACCTACGCTGAAGTCGAGGAGGCTGCTAGCCGCCTCGCGCACTATCTTGCTACGTCTTTCGACATTGGTCCGGAAATCAAAGTTGGAATATGCATGGATAAGTCCATGTGGACTGTGGTGGCAATGCTGGCAACGCTCAAGGTGGGCGCCGTAGTCTTGCCGTTGTCGACGCAACAGCCACTTGCGAGATTGCAGCTGGTGTTGAACGATACACAAGCGCCTATTATCCTGGTTGACTCCAAGCAACTAAGCCGTTTATCAAGTCTCGATCCCCATCTCGTTCTAATGGATGAGGAGCTGGTAAAGGGTCTTCCTGCTCTCACAACAGAGAGTCTCGGCGCCGAGGTTCGACCTGACAATGCTGCATGGATCGTGTACACATCTGGCAGCACCGGCATTCCAAAAGGCGTAGTCCTTCAACATCACGCATTATGCACGAGTCTACTTGCACACGGCACTGCGTTTGGCCTTGAGGCGTCCCACCGTGTCTTACAGTTTGCATCGCACACTTTCGATGTGACGATCCAAGAAGTGTTCACTACGTTCTTCTTTGGCGGATGTGTATGCATCCCATCCGAAGAGGATCGACTCAACAACCTAGAACACTCCATTCTTTCCCTTGGTGTGAATTTCTTATCGCTCACGTCGACTGTGGCCGGACTGCTCGAACCACAACATCTCCCTGCCGTGCGACAGGTCATTCTTTTAGGAGAGCCAGTCAACCCCCTCGTTCTTGAGAAATGGCTCAAACACGGAGCTACCGTCCTTGGCGCATATGGTCCTTCAGAATGTAGCATTCAAGTGACTACATCAAAGCAGCCCTTTGCACACCGTAAGCAGGCGCCTGTGCTTGGTGTTCCTTTGGCGAGCAATTTCTGGGTTGTAGACCCAACCGACCCTGACTACGAACGACTTTGTCCAATTGGAGCTCCGGGTGAGCTTCTCATTGAAGGTCCGCTGCTCGCCCGAGAGTACCTCAACGACCCAGGAAAGACTGCCAAGTCTTTTGTTGTCGATCCTGCATTTTTGAAGCGATACCAAATAGGAGGTGGAACTGGGCGACGCATGTACCGCACTGGCGACTTGGTACGGCAGAATTATGATGGGACCTACACTATTCTAGGTCGCCGCGACACCCAAATCAAGATTCGCGGCCAACGGGTGGAAATAGGAGAGGTCGAATATCACATTGGCAGGCACTCCTCCGGGGTCCATGCCGCTGTTGTCCTATTGCGAGGCAGTAATCCCGACGATACGAAGCTCGTGGCGGGCTTCAGCCTCCCAAGTCACGCTGGATATAATAGCACCACTGTGGAGGAAGCTCAAGATGTTGACAAGCCAGCTGCGATGCTGGTCGCTTCCGAGGTCCAGCACTACCTGTCACAACATATTCCAGTATACATGATTCCACACCTTTGGGTTCCTCTGAAAAAGCTTCCTGTCAATCAGAATGGAAAGATTGACCGCTTGAGTCTATCAAAATATATCAATGGTCTGAGCGCCGAGGAGTTGGCTTCGTATTCTGATTTCCAGTCCGTCGACCCCCAGGCAGGCGATGAACAAGAACTTCCCGCGACACCTGTTGAGCGACAGATTCGTGAAATTTGGTCCAAGGTGCTGAACGTCAGGAACATCACCTATCGCCGTTCTTTCCTGTCATATGGCGGTGATTCGATTACGGCAATGCAGGTTGTGTCGGCATGTCGCAAGTCAGGTCTTACTTTGACTGTCCGTGAGGTCCTGCAGAGCCACGCTATTTCTGAGCTGGCACTCGTCGCCCGTGACATAAAGAAGCCCGCTCTTCTTGGCGAGCAGCTCCTCAGAGCCACTGAGATTCCCGATGGGCCGTTTGATCTTTCACCAGCTCAGAGCATGTATTTCAAGGATATCGCCTTAGATGGGTTGCAATCTCGAGGAGATTATCGTTTCAATCAGAGTGTTGTTTTCCAACTTCAAGAGCCAGTCCAACAGCAGGCCAAGGTAGCTCGTGCAATCGAAGTCTTAGTTTCCAAGCATGCCATGCTACGTGCCCGCTTCCAAGCCAAGACTGGTGACAAGAAAGGCTGGCAGCAACGCATCAACAATAATCTCGTCGGGTCATACCACTTCCAGACTCATGTTCTGCCAGATGACGAGGAGGCACGAGCAATAATTCGATCGTCGCAGGCCTCACTAGACATTGAGCACGGCCCCGTCTTCGCCGCAGATTTCATTGAACTTCCTGACCGCCAGCTTATCTTCTTGACTGCCCATCATTTGGTTATCGATTTGATGTCTTGGAGAATCATTACCCAAGATCTCGAGCATCTGCTTAGGGATGGCACTACTACATCGGCATCAGAATCCCTCAGCTTCCCTTCGTGGTGTGCCGTGCTATTACAACAAGCGCAACAGCGTTACGATCATGACAAGGGTGCTATGACAGTCCCAGATATCTTAGAGATAGCAGACCATGTACCCTCTTGGGACTACTGGGGAATCAAGCGTGGCCAGTACATATGGGCAGACCAAGCTTTTGCGACGGCAACTGTAGATAAACTAACCACCAGTCTACTCCTTGGATCGGCAAATCAAGCACTCCGAACCTCGCCAGCAGACATCTTGATGGCTGCTCTTTATGTCTCGTTCCGCAAAGTCTTTACCGATCGATCGGGTCCATCCATCTTTATCGAAGGTCACGGCCGTGGCGGTGATGCCTCGTATTATGACTTGTCGGAGACGGTGGGATGGTTGACCACCATCACGCAGCTACGCCTTTCCCATAACCAAGAGCAAGACGGCGCGAGCGCAGTGCCTCTGGTGAAGCAAGTCAAGGATGTCCGCAAGCTTGACATGGAGGGTCAGGCTCTTGCATTTGCCTCGCAGTATATGCTCCAGGATAATGTTGCCGATAGAGTAGGTCCCATTGAGGTTCTCTTCAATTTCCACGGTCAATTCCAGCAGCTTGAACGCCAGGGTGGCTTGCTTCGCTTCGATAGACTCCATCAACCAGGCGGACAATCCGATATATCCTCAACTGGAGGTAAGGTCAAAATGCAGGCGGCACTGAACGTCGAGATTTCGGTTGAGGACGGCCAAGCTCAGATTAGCATTGGATTCAGCAAACACTCTCCCAAACAGGACGCTATCCGTCAATGGTGTTCAGAATACAGTGAAGCCATCGTCGCGACTGTTACTGAACTAAGCAATACCATCCCAACGGCTACCGCGAGCGATTTCCCACTCGCCCATCTCACCAACCCTGACCTCGCCCTAGTGAAGCAACGGTGTCTCGACCCAGTCGGTGTTGCTTGGGAAGATGTCGAGGATGTCCTACCATGCTCTCCCGTCCAGCAGGGCATTCTGCTCAGTCAGCTTAAAGCGCCTTCGTCCTACCTTTTGAAGCAAACCTGCCGGATCTTACCGGGTTCCAACACAATCACGGGCCAGATAGACACTAGTCGATTAGCAACGGCCTGGAACCACGTCATACAACAGCATTCAATCATGCGCACCATCTTTACTAGGGCGCTGCTGCACCAGGATCGCTTCTACCAGATCGTACTAAAGTCTGCAGAGGTTGAGGTTCACACCATTGAATGTACTACAGATACCGACGTTCAAGAATGCGTCGAGAGACTTGCGGCTCATAGTGGAACTCACCCTGGTCGACCACAGCATCAATTTACGATCATAAAAACCACCAAAGAGGGCCATGTCTACGGCCACTTTGAGATTAGTCATGCACTTGTCGATGCCTCCTCGGTGCAGATCCTTATCGCATCCATGTTACAGGCATATGAAGGCGTTGCTATCATCCCACCTTCAAATTACGGTTCATATGTGTCTTACCTTGAAGAGGCCAGCTCCGAGGAGGAAGACCTACGCTACTGGCAAGGCCTACTTGCTACAGCGGAGCCTTGTAACCTGCAGCTGAACCAGGCACCTTTTGCAGAAGTTATAGAGGTAGAGGAGGAAACCGAACCGGTCGTGGCTGTAGTCTTGCAAGACCTTTCAGAACTCCAAAACTTTTGCCGGACTCATAGTGTCACACCTGCCAACATTTTCCAGTTGGCATGGTCAATCGTGCTCGGGTCCCGTATGGATTCCCCCCAGATATCCTTCGGTTACCTTTCAAGCGGAAGAGATGTTCCTATCGACGGCGTAGACACGCTTGTCGGACCAATGATCAACATGATGATCTGCCACCTCGAGCTGGATTACGATATGACACCATCCAAAGCGGCCCAACAAGTCCAGAACCAGTTTCTCAAAGGCTTCGATCACCAACGCGCACCTTTAGCTGCTATCCAGCACTCTCTGCATGCATCACAGCAAAACCTGTTCAACACCACCCTGTCATATCGACGAGCCGCTGCCGATAGCGCCGGCCATGGACAGTCAATCCAGCTTCAACAGGTCGATGCAGCAGAATCTACGGATTATGATTTCAATTTAAGCGTCAATGCTGCAGACTCTAGCATTGAGTTAGTCATCCAGTATTTGCCAACGGCCGCCAACAAGGGCGCAGCCCATCGGCTGTTGTGCCAGCTGAAACATGTCATCGGAGCACTCTGCAGCACCGTCAACGCAGACACGCCTCTGGGCGACCTCGAGCTTATCTCCCAAGAAGATGAGAAGCAAATCAGCAACACTAACTCCCAGGTACCTGCTGCAGTGGAGACTTGTATCCATTCGCTTTTCCAAGAGATGGCAGCCTCTCAGCCATCAGCCGAAGCCATATACGCATGGGACGGCACAATGACATACCAAGCACTCGATGAGGCGGCCAGCAGGTTGGCATATCATCTCACTGGTCTTGGTATCGGCCCGGAAATTATGGTTGGCATGTGTATGGACAAGTCTCGCTGGGCAGCAGTGTCCACACTAGGTAAGTACATATCTGTTTATGCGCGGCATGGGTTGCTCGTCGGTAAACTAACAAAACACTTTCAACAGCAACGCTGAAAGCAGGCGGCGTAGTCCTACCATTGGCGACACAACAGCCTCTGACGCGACTAAACATGGTCTTGGAGGATACGAAAGCACCCATCGTCCTCGTCGACGCTGCGCAGCAGGAACGATTAGCCGGTGTTGGGCCCCAACTGATTAAGGTTGACTCAGTGCTGCTCGACACACTTCCTGCTCCTCCCACAAATCGACCTCTTTGCCCCCAAGTCGACACCAATAATGCTGCCTGGGTAGTGTACACATCTGGCAGTACAGGCCAACCCAAAGGAGTCGTTCTCCAGCATCGTGCCTTGTGCTCGAGTATTCAATCACATGGTGCGGCTTTCGGTGTTGGGAGACGCTCTCGCGTCTTGCAGTTTGCCTCTCACACGTTTGATGTGACAATCCAAGAGGTATATATTTAGCTTTTTTCTACACGAGGTGTAATATATGTCAAAGACTAACGTCATGTCACCACAGATGTTTACCACGCTATGTCGCGGCGGGTGTGTATGCATCCCGTCCGAAGACCAGAGACTGAACCATTTAGAACAGGCAACTCTCGATATGGGCGTTAACTTCCTATCCTTAACCTCGACTGTGGCCGGACTTTTAAGTCCAGCAAGACTGCACGCTGTCAAAACTGTCATCCTTATGGGAGAGCCAGTCAAGCCTGCTGTCGTTGACTTGTGGAAGGATCAGGCGACGGTGCTCGAATCTTACGCGCCTTCAGAGTGCAGTATTTACGCAACCTGCTCGCCTCGATCCATGACAAACCACAAGCAGGTTCCTGTTCTTGGTGTTCCTCTGTCAAGTTGTTTCTGGGTCGTCGACACCAAGGATTACAATCGATTATGCCCCATCGGAGCTCCAGGTATGAAATTAACCCAACCCAGCAATTAATACTGTCCAGGAGACCACTCACTGACCTTGTGCCTCTGTGCAATTAGGTGAACTTCTTATTGAGGGACCTCTTCTCGCCCGGGGGTACCTAAATGATCCTGTCAAGACCGACAAGTCCTTTGTGACTGATCCTAGCTTCCTTGCTCGCTGCGGACTCGACGGCAAGTCTGGCCGGCGTATGTACCGAACCGGAGATCTGGTACGCCAAAATGAGGATGGCACTTATACCACACTTGGACGCCGCGACATGCAGGTCAAGATCTGGGGTCAGCGTGTGGAGACGGGTGAGATTGAGTACTGGGTGGTACGATCACGACCTGAAATCCGCACCGCTGCAGCCATGCTCGCTCAACTTGGCACTTCCCGAGACCAAGGCGTACTTGCCGTGGCCGTAGATTTCACAGATGAAGTCCTGGATGAGATGAAGGCGGATGCGGACGGCTTCCTAGAGCCTTCTCCAAGCCTCTTGGATACATTTGAAGAAATCCGCAACAGCTTAATGGGGGTCCTGCCCCGTTATATGGTCCCAGAGTTATTTGTACCCATGGCGAGCTTGCCCCTCAATTCGTCTGGAAAATTGGACCGACGCGCGATCCAGGGAGCCATTTCTTCACTGAGTAGCCAGGGCAAGCTGGAGAGCTACCTCCCCAGCACAGGCATCAAAACAGAAGTGTCGAGCGCGACTGCAAGAGAGCTTCGAAGTCTTTGGGCTAAGGTCTTGGGCCGACCAGAGAATACCATCGGAGCCAACGACAACTTCTTCCACACTGGCGGCGACTCGTTGATGGCCATGAGACTAGTGCAGTATTCTCGCGACGCCTCATTTTCACTAACAGTTGCTCAAGTCTTTGCACATCCGCGCCTAGAGGACCTTGCAGGAGTCCTAGAGAAGTCATCAAGCACCGATGTACTAGACCAAGGTCAAGGACATGGCGATCCACCTCCTTTCTCACTATGGTCAGAAGTTCATACGCTCGAGAAGCCAGATGAATTGCAATCTCTCCTTGCAGACGTGGCCGAACGATGCGGCTTAACTGTAGCGCAGATAGAGGATGTCTATCCCTGCACACCACTGCAGGAAGGTCTGATGATTGCAACTGCTCGTCGATCCACAGCGTATGTTGGTCGCCAAATGTTTACTCTTGACGAAAAAGTGGATGAAAATAGGCTGCAGGTCGCATGGCAACAAGTGACCGCAGTTGCGCCAATTCTTCGAACAAGAATTGTCCTCGGACGAAGCTCCGGGTCGTTACAAGTTGTAGTCAAGGATACCGTCAACATTCCATGGCACACAAGTAATTCATTAGACGCCTATCTTGACAAGGATCGCGCCATGGGGATGGCAGACGGCCAGCCACTAATGCGACTCGGATACGTGGAGGCTTCATCCTCTTCCAGGAGAAAGCGATACCTAGTGTGGACTGCACACCACGCCATATACGATGGCTACAGCATGCAAATGCTGTTCCAACAGGTCGCAGCAGCCTACCAGCAACAGACTCTGCCTCCCACGGTGCCCTTCTCGCGCTTCATAGGATACCTTGGTAATAACGCCAACAATGATGAGGCTGCAAGCTTCTGGCGAGCTCAATTGTCAGGGAGCGAGGTGACTGCTGGCTTCCCATTACTCCCTCACCCCAACTACCAGCCGAGGCCGACACAACTACAGAAGCGACAATTACAGTTGGGCCAGCATCAGAATCCTCATGTGGCAGCCTTACTGCGCGCAGCGTGGGCCATGGTTATTGCCCAGTATGCTGGCGGTCTTGATGAAGTACTTTTTGCAGTCGCACTTTCTGGTCGCAACGCTGCTGTCGCTGGGATAATGGACATGCTAGCCCCGACAGTTACAACTGTGCCTTTGAGAATTCATGTTGATTCCAGCTCAGGCGTGGGCGAGTTTCTCGACAAGGTGAAGCAACAGGCCATTGAAATGATGCCCTTTGAGCACACGGGTCTGCAGCGCATCAAGCAGCATGTGCCAGACCTTGTACCAGCCCTTGACTTGCACCATGTTTTCATTGTTCAGCCATCACTAAGCGGAGCTGAGAGTGGCTCCGATGGTCTTCCTGAATTAGTGCAACAACCTCTAGCATCTGAGCCTTTCCATACCTCTGCGCTGACCGTGGAGTGCATCATGACCAAAGATCCTAGTCGAGTCACAGTCGAAGCTCGTTTTGATCCAGCCGTCGTATCGCCCCAGGCCATGAATCGAATTCTCGAATCTTTTGCCCATGTCGCTGCTCAGCTCTCTCAAGCTGAGCCGCACCTGCGGATTAGCGATATCCAGACCTTGGCTCCATCAGATGTAAGCCGTATCCGAGTAAAGAACACACAGATGCCACCGAGACCAGAAGGGTGCCTACATGACGGTATCCTAGCCAAGGCACTAGAACAGCCCTTTGCCGAGGCTGTGTGCGCTTGGGACGGTAATTTGACCTACGCAGAACTAGACCGATGGTCTGCCCGACTTGCAAATCATTTGGTGGACATAGGCGTCGCGCCTGAATCCAACGTGGGACTCTCCATGGCCAAGTCCAAATGGGCCGTGGTTGTTATGCTTGCCATCCTACGAGCAGGGGCAACAATAGTGCCTCTTGGTATCCAGCTTCCTCCCACACGCATTGAAGGCATCATGCGCGACGCCGAAGTCCGATTTGTGGTTGCCGATGAGCAGCAGGCGGTCCGTTTAACAGATAAGGGAACCCACATCGTCACTCTCGGATCCACATTATTAGATGACCTTGCCTCAAATTGCAGCTCATCGTTCACCACGCGACAACCCAAGCCAGTCGCTGGTGCTTTCATCATCTATACATCTGGCAGCACAGGTGTGCCAAAGGGCGTTGTTCTTGAGCATGGTGCTCTATCGGCGAGCGCCCAAGCTCATGGAGCAGCCTTTGGTCTAGATGCTAGCTCACGTGTCTTGCAGTTTGCTGCCTACACTTTTGATGTGTCGATACAGGAGAATTTTACTACTCTTCACTACGGCGGTTGTGTGTGTGTGCCTTCGGAAGACGACCGTATGAACAACCTCGAAGGGTACATAACAGCAACGGGTGTCAACTTCATGTCCCTGACATCGACTGTGGCAGAATTTTTGGACCCAATCAATATTCCAACTGTCGAAACTCTAGTTCTTCTTGGCGAGCCTGTGACTCCAACGGTCGTGGACCTCTGGTCGGGCCATGCATCCGTATTAAACGCCTATGGGCCGGCAGAATGTTCAATCCATTCTACTTGCTCATCCCCTCTCATCCACCGGAAGCACGCATCACAGATAGGACGGCCTCTACCAGGGTTATGCTTTTGGGTTGCGGATCCACGCGACTATAATCGGCTCTGTCCACCTGGTGTTGCGGGCGAACTACTCATCGAAGGTCATTTCCTCGCTCGCGGATACCTCAACGACCCGGCCAAAACAACGACTTCGTTTGTTATCGATCCCGAATTTGTTCAGCAATATGACCTTGGTCGCAATCGCCGCATGTACCGCACAGGCGATCTCGTTCAGCAAAATGACGATGGCACATACAATATGCTTGGTCGAAGGGATACGCAGGTCAAGATACGAGGTCAGCGAGTAGAATTGGGCGAGATTGAATACTGGGTGCTGCGATGTCTGCCGCATGTTCGTCGCGCAGCCGTAACTCTGATTCCCTCCAGGGGGGGTGCTGGTCGCCGGGAAGGGACTCTCGCCGTGGCGATAGAATTCGACAAAGAGGGTTTGGACGGGATTGTGCCTGACGAGTTATCAAATAGTCTTCTAGACGTGGCAGGATCCGAAAAACTCCAGGGCCTTTTCCAACAGCTGTGCAGCAAATTGAGGGAGGTTGTACCGAGGTACATGGTGCCGGACCTTTATATACCAATGGCAACATTACCACTCAACAACTCGGGGAAACTCGACCGTAAAGTCATTCGTCAAACGCTTGCGAGCATGACAGACCAGGTTCTCGAGACTTATCGTCCCAAGCATGAAACCAGGCCAAAGGCAGAAGAGGCGCTTCCAGAGGTTGCACAGGAACTTGCTCAAATGTGGTCCACTATTCTGGGAAAGCCCGTTGATACAATTGAGCTTGAGGATAATTTTTTCACTCTTGGCGCGGACTCCATGTCAGCAATGCAGCTCGTTTCAGCGGCAAAATCAGCCGGCATGGACTTGACGGTGACTCAAGTATTCCAAAACCCTGTCCTGCGCAATCTTTGCAAGCACGTGGAGCGAAATGCTTCTGCTCGTTTGACGAGTGTAAATGGTACGAACCAAAAAGATAGTAACCGCGAAGAACAGGTGGTGGTGTTGGACGTTACGGCACAGGATGCAATCAAAGCTAGCCTGCCAAACCATAAGGTGGGGACCATCATCGAGACTACTGACTTCCAAACTCTCGCCATATCTGAACACACACTCCCTGAAGGCAATGGCGGTCTTGTTATGTATATGACGATGGCATTTGATCGGAAGGTCGACAAATCCGCCGTCCGTGCGGCCTATCAACACGCCGTCGACACAACCGAGATGATGCGAGCGACCTTTGTGCAATATCATGGTCGTACGTACCAGGCGATTCTCGATGGCTTCACCGGCCCATTCCAAGAAGAATATGTGTCTGGTTCAGAGAATCTGGTAGACTTCTGCCAGTTGCTCATCCAGAACGAGCGACTCAAAGCGCTACCCTTTAACGAGCCACCGCTCAAAGCCTGGTTTGTGCAGGGAGCATCCAGGGACACGTTAATCATTCGGCTGTCGCATGCGCAGTACGACGGCCTCTCACTTCCACTACTGCTACAACAGCTCGATGGGGCTTACACAAACAACAAATCTGGTAGCAGTCAAATGTCTCACTTTATCAACGCTCTCCGATCCTTGGACAAAGAATCTGCTACCGATTACTGGCGCGGACTCCTTCATCAATCGATCATGCCTGTTCTGCCTGGAACAAGACCACGTCCTGCCGCAGGTTTGAAAAGGGAGACATTGATGGCAGGGAACGCCATTAGATCAGTCGTCCCTGCTTTCAAGCACCGTCGCGCCGGGGCCACTCCAGCCGCATACGTCAAGGCGGCATATGCAATGGCCCTCTCCAAGCTGACCGCGACAACCGATATCGTATTTGGTCATCTCGTCTCGGGTAGATCATCGCCCATTAACGGCATCGAGCAAGTGATTGGGCCCTGTGTCAATTTTGTTCCGATCCGGGTTGATGCCTCGTCCGCCGAATGGGAGACGGTGCTCACCCAGGTCCAAGCCCAGCAGGTCTCGACTCTGCCACACGAACACCTCGGGTTCGAAACTATCTTTAGAGAATGCACCAGTTGGTCACTCGTCAATGGCGACCATAGCGAGCATAGCCTCAATCAGAGTCGTCCCAGGTTTAGTACCATCCTACAATACCAGAACCAGTCTCTTGATGCGAGCCACACTATTAGAATGTATGGCGCAGAATGCCGGATAGCTTACGAAGCAACACCGGCCAATATTACGGATATCTGGGTCATTGTTGAGCCCCAAGGAAATGGTGATGAGCTGCATATTGTTGCTGGGTATTTTGAGGAAGTGATTGATTCGGCGACAGTGCAGCGCCTGGTGGATTATCTTGTAGAGGCCATGAGAGTTATGCAAGAAGGCAAAATTATAAATTCGTAAGACAATGGCTGAATAACGGAATTTGAGAGGTGGACGGTCGGGTGGGTTTTATTTGACTCTATTATCGGAGAGCATTGTATGGCATTGGAGACGGTTGCGTCACTTGGATTTCTTCATCATTCAACTTGTTTCGTTTTCGTTACAAATACCTAGTATTTAAGCTTCAAGCTATACATAAATATAGATGCATAATTATTATTTTAGATGATAGAATACATTTTGCTCCATAACGACAGCCTTTTGTGATAGTTCATGATCTGATCTTGAGTCGGTGTCGGGGAATAGTAGACGCTTGTTACTGGGTACTCTATTTCATTATTCTCTTTCCCTTACACTTCTTCTCTCAATATACACAAATAAATCTATGGGAAAGTTTTCATTAAAAGACGCGAGCAAAATTGTAATAGCGGGCAGGTAACTATCCAATGGATATCGTAGGAATAGTAAATAGTCAACACACACGCCTTTGCTTTCTACCTTTATTCGTCTTGACTTCGATTCAAGAATACGATAATATGTTTTTGCATGTAGTTTTCATTATATATAAATGCATTTCTAGCAGCTTCTCTCTATCTCTTTTTCAATACTTAACCCAACTTTTCGGTCCCAGAAAACGACGTTGAAATGGAAGAGCAATTATTGTGTTAACACAAACACGTATTACGTATCCATGTAATCTCTATTCAAGCCTATAGTTACAGTATAAATTACGCATGGCCATTCATCTGGCCTTTCCAGTGCTCCAACTTCCATTTCTCAAAGTGCTCCGACTTCCAATTCTTGGCACGATCATTTGCCTCCATAATGGCATCCCTCGCTCCAGGCCAAGCTTTCCTACCTCGCCCCTTGTTGTCAAACAGTCTTAGAAAATGAGCCGAAACAATGCCAGTTACCATGATTTTGTACAATTTGCGGTCGGTCCACCATAATCTCCAACAATCCTTACTAAACCAGTTGCCTAGATGAGAGTATATACGTGTTCCAGCAACATCATTCAGCCATTGATCGTATTCTATGGCGCCCATGATGCCCGTCAGTTTAACATCACCCTTCTTGATCAGCTTAGCAAGATCTTCCATGAAATCATCAGCACTACGCTCCATTTCGGCTTGTGGCGGTAATGGATAGTTGCCGACCCAAAGCTGCGCTAGGGCCATTGTGATCAGGTCGTAGAGTTGGAAGTTGGGCCGCTTTGCAATACAGGATCCCAAAAACGCTAATTGATGTGGATTTTGAAGCGAGATGAACCCTTGGTACAGCCGAGCGACTCGCCTTTCGTCAGTGTAACGCGCCGGGAGCATTCCAAAGCTCGTGGGCGCGAGATTAGGGTTGTAAGGGTCGAATTCACTGGGCATCAACGAACCCAGATCAGGTTTCAATCCAGTACACAGCAAAATAACATCGACATCGTTTGCTTCCGTTCCATCGGAAAACTTGACGGACCTGGGGCCACTGATAGAGCTGATATCAGGTGCACTTTCCGCTCTATAATATGTGGTCAGTAAAAGATATTTCATGTCTCACGAGCATTCAAAATCGCTCGAGCCGATAAGAAATCGTAAGCTGAATAGTAGCATCCGATTCTAAGTACTTGGATCCTGGAAGACCTAAATCCAGACCAACTAGGATGGCTAGGATGGCATTGGGGGGGGACGGTTACTAACCTTCCTTCGATGAAATGGCTTGCTAAATCGTCGCTGACCACCGGCTGGATAGCGTGGGCAGCAGGCAATTCTCTACCATCTGCACATGCCTTGTGTTTTCTCAAGGCTGGATAGCATGCATCTTGGAGCTTCCCAAACTCTCTTGCAACAATGGTCGCGGCCAGTCCTTTACTGATCCTCTGAAGCAGATAAATTAGCATCAGGAGTCGAAACGTGAGCGTAAACTCGAGCACTCTGCCCTCTTTGGTGACCCGCGGTATAATGACGGCTTGATGGCGGTGAGAGACGATAACTCGCTCAGCACCCTCGCTAATGAGAGCCGAGACGGAATCTGCCGCAGTGTTTCCCAGTCCGACTACGATGACGGATTTACCCTTGTATTTGGTCGGATCTTTGAAAGCTTGCGAATGAAGGATCTCGCCTTTAAACTGTTCCTGACCTTTGAAGACCGGAATTGAAGGTGTCTTGAAAGAGCCTGTGGCAACAACCAAACGGTCAAAGTCAAAAGTCTCATCGTTTCGCTCATCTGTACTTCCAACTGGGCGGACGGTCAAGCGCCATTTCTTCGTAGCGCGATCATAAGTTACTGAAACAACCTCAATCGAAAATCGGATATGCCTTTTGATATCAAAAGCTTTGGCGTATAATTCAAAGTATTTTTGTATCTGATCTGCGCTTGGATTCACTGGATAATCTGTTCGCAATTTTTAGTACGGTCTCACCAGTAGCTTTTTTACGGCTAAGCATAGTTAACTTACCGTCTGGCATTGGAAAATCCGACATAGCCCCCTGCACATTACTTTATCAGCAATGAGTCACAACTATCAACATGACTCCGAATAAGCCTACCGTGAATTTTGAAGTGTTAGTATACGTATTTGGCAACACGCTGGTCTGCTTGGTATTGGTTGTTTGCCGCCATAGACCGCCGACGCCCTCGGCGCGCTCGAAGACGGTCACTTCGAAGCCTTCTTCAGCAAGGTTCTTAGCGGCTACCACACCCAGCGGGCCCGCGCCGATAATGCCTACTCTCATCCCTAGGCCAGCGGAGCCGTGATTTGCAGCCATTTTCGCCGGTGTGATGGTCCTTTCCCAAAGCAGAGTGATAACGGAGACGTATGTGGATTAACCGCGCAGTGTATAGTACGCTGCGGCAGCCGTTCAATCAGCTATAAGAGCTTTTGTGCGGTACTGTGTCACAGCAAGCAAAGCCGAATTATAGAGAAGCATAATGTAAGAAGGGGATCCCGTAATCCCTCAATGTCTAAGGCAGTTGAATCCGAAGGAAGGAAGGATTTAACAGTTATGGTGGCAGGTAAGAATTCATCCGGCAGTCCGCAGCCATGGATGAATCCTTGGTCCGCCTCAGTCCCGCTGCTGATGCCCCACGTGGCTTCGAGTTTGCCGTTTCTCCATCTTCACGTGGCGTCGAACCACAACAAGGGCGATCCCGTATTCCGCTTTAGCTCCCTTGCTAGGATCCCTCCCCGAGGATCCGAAAACACTATATCCACCCCCATCCCCACCCTCCTCTCCCTGTCAGTAGAAACCCCCACCGCTGGCGATTGCTTTGAACTACCCGAGACTTCATTAAATCCTATTTAGGAGTGTGTTGCTTCTACCTCCTAAAGGGTTTCAATTAATATACAAATTTACCTCGCTCAAATAACCTTCAGTCACGCCAACAACTAGCTGGCATCTGCCCTTTAACACTCCAAGTTTTACTCATTCATACCACCCGTGTGCTATATTACGCATATCAAAAAAGTGGTTCCATCAAAACGTGTGGCTTCTTCAACCATAAGAGAAAATATACCAGTCAAATTAAAACTACCCATTGTAGCACATCATGGCTTCACCAGCGGACGTGACTATCGGAAATTTAGCGGGAAGATGGGTTCTGGTGAGCTGTCTTTCTTCCCCGATGAGCTTTGCTGATTCTTACTGACTGACGGCCGCGGCTTACACCTAACAGGACAGACAACTGTCAGACAACCTGGAAGAAGCGCTGACGATTCAGGGCGTCCCTTTCCTTATCCGTAAAATCATGCTTGTGGCAAGTGTTACGGAGACAGTACAGGAAACCGCAAATGAGGACGGGATCAAGGGTTTGCTAGTCACCAAGGCTGCTGCCGGCCTCAAAGGACAAGCTGACGCTTTTGATGGAACTGGCAAAGAGATCGTCATGGGTGGCGGTTATTTTGGTACTGAGGTACGAGTACGCTCCTGGTGGGTTGATTTATCGTCTGATTCGAAGCCCAAAAATCCGGCGGGGGAGCCACTGGATCCATATCTGCTCAAAGATTGGCTCACGGAAGGGCCAAAGGGCGTTCCAGGCCACTTTGCCGGCAGTGGTGAAAAGGCTGGTATTAGGGATAATATGTTCTGGGGATTTTGCCAAATCGGTGGGAAGCGATATCGCGCCGTCAAGTATTATATTCGCAAGGGAGACCAGGAGGTTAGAGCTAGGTTGGTCTTTGGCTGGCTCGGTAGAGAATAGAGCCTGGCGGTTAGAATACGCCACGTTTTCTGAGACTGAAGTAGATTCTGCCTTTTCTATATACTCCAAAGCTAATGTAGGAGGACATGGCTTGATCTACATGGGTGCGTAGATGTCTGCGTTTTAGGCCAGCATACATGGACCAATTAGATATGCTTTTATTGCTCTTTTAAATCGATATCGGCTTGCATCTTTCTCACGTACCATATAAATATGTACCTGTGTGTGGCCTGGTATAAGAACTCTAAATATCTTTTACACTGCCCCATTTCTTTCAATTTTGCATTTGACACAAATTTACAAAGTTGTAGATAAATAGTGTTCGCGGACTAATCAACGAGATGTATGTATGATAAAATCATTTATTGCGCATCTTTTTAAAAGTCTATCTTCAGGGAGATAGCCGATTCCATAGCCTTCAAATTATATCGCTTAACTGCGTCCCTTAATTTCTTCTTCAACACCTTTCCAGCTGCTGTCTTTGGTAGCTCTTCCACCAAGAAGGTCCGTTTGCGGAGCCAGTGACTTTCGTCTAGCTGACTCTGGACATATTGATCAAGCTCTAGCAAAAGATGTTTATGCTGCTGGTCAGTAATGTCTTGATTAGTGGCAACTACGAAAGCCAACGGACGTTCACCCGCCAATTCATCTTCGACTCCAACAATTGCTGCGTCGCTGACAGCAGGATGCAGACGCAGAACGTTTTCGATCGCTGAGGGACTGACTTGTAGACCCTATTATTGCCGTGAAAGGGAATAGGTTAGTCAAGATGGAACGGCAGTGGGGGACGGCATCTCTAATTATATAGGGCGGACGTTTCTAGACGAAGACGACATACCTTTACTTTGATCATATCCTTTACTCTGTCTACCAGGAATAAGTGCTCGTTGCCGTTTGTTCCTTTTCGGAAAAATCCAATGTCGCCGGTAGGTAGCCATCCATTGACCAGGAACTTGGCATCCTCCTCCTCGCTTTCTCCTAGATACCCGGGAATTTGTGTTGGCGACTGGAGATATAGCTCCCCGGGAACTTCATGATCGGTAATTTCTCGTCCTTCAGCATCAATCAAAATGGCTTTCACCGAAGGCAGCAGCAATCCGCTGGATCCTGGTGCTATATCTGAACGAGGAGTCAAGGTTACAGGAGATACGCATTCAGTCAGTCCTAGATTCGATGGCATAACGTTCCTTTATCAGTATTTTTGTATCCTGTCAAATGTCAGAAGTGAGAGCGAACTTACCATAGCCTGCAAGAATCTTCCATGTGGGCTGCAACGCATGCATCTTCTTAGAAAGACTATCACTACATGCAGCTGCCCCCATAACAATTTCTCGAATCGAAGAAAGGTCGAATAATTGGAATAGGATAGGGTTGTTGGCGAGAGCAGCCACTACTGGAGGCACCTTGAAAGATAAATTTAGTTGGCTGTTCGGCCTTGAGTTCGAGCGCATTGCATCCACTTACCAGGTATAGCCTCTCAATACGATGATCTTGGATAGATTTAAGCACCACTTGCATGTTGAAACTACTGTGAAGCACAGAAGTATTCCCTCTAAAGACTTCTGAATGAATGGAGACAAGTCCAAAGCCATGGCTTAGAGGCAATACGCCAAGGGCTACTTCTATTGGAGGGGTGTCGGCTTTCACCTCGGCCTCATAAACGACAACTTGAAGGATATTGGAGATAACATTGGCGTGCGTGATTTTAGCGAGTCTCTAGATGCATGCACCCAAGGTTAGCAAGGATGGACACTGTTCTGATCGCAAGAGAACGTCTGGGGAGATCGAACAAACCTGTCGTCCTGAAGTACCGCTCGTTGAGCATAGGTACGCAATTTCATTGAATGTGTCTCCTTTGTACATCCAACGGTTTGGCAGCTTTTCCAAGACGCGGCCATCTGTCAAAAGTTGCGCCAAGCTCTTGATCTCGACGTTCAAGGTTTCATGAAAAGAGGCACTCTCGGTCATAGAGTAAATCTTTTCTGGTAATTTAGGAAGCCGATCAAAGATCTGCTTACAAACAGGAAGCAGCTCCTCGCAGACAACCAACGCTTTACACTGCGCCTTTTCCATATGCGACATGATCTCAGGCACGCTTGTAGTTGGCTGAATGAGCAAGCAGGTGCCTCCAATGCGATGCACTGCCCAGCACACAATCAGAAAGTCAATCTGGTAGATTACTATTTAGCCATTTGAGCTCAAATCTTCTGTCATTCCTAGTGTATCTTGTGATGGGAAGAAATACCGAGTTTAAGCATACGACGCCAACTACGTTTGCTTCGGCTGAATTTTCATCATCTCGTGACCATCCAAGGTCCTGTTGTAATGCTGCTGCGAGTATATCCACATTCTCAGCTATTTCCTCTGTGGTACAGGTTCTGCCTGTCGAGGCATCGACCAACGGTGGTCTAACGGATGCTCTTTTGCGTCTGCCATCAAGCACGAAGTCACCAACAGTGACCCTTGCTGGAATTTGAGGGCTAATATCGGAGACCCAGCAGGGTGGGAGGAAAACCATTGTCTTTAATTGGTAGGGAGTTATCAAATACGTCTAAATCAGCAGATTTTGAGGTCAATTTCACGTGCATAAGCCAAATGTTTGGATAAGAATGAATGTCGCGGTGTTTTTAAATTCCAATCCAGTCCCCAAAATATGATGTATTGGTATAAATGTCAAGCTGCCAGGATCATCGGGTAATTGTGGATCCTCTCTGGATATGCAGGATTGGAGAGATCCGGGGTTCTCAAAGGTCGGGGCTACAGGGAATGCAGGATCGAGTTCGAGTAAGGGATCCAGTGGATCAACTGGATCAGTTGCTGCCAGCCAATCGTACGATTGGTTAGTATTGAGAATATTTCTGTGTTTACAGATTAGACCACCTACTGGTCCTGGCGTTTCAGGAAGAGCGCATACGGTAGATAGTAAGAGAAAGAGGAAGTGGAGCTTAGGCGCTCTGCACATGTGAGAAATTGCAACAGATTTGGTGAGCTAGTAATCCGCCCAGCTTAAAGGATTCACTTTTCCATGGCGTCTTTTCTTCTTTTCTACTTCTTCTTGTTTTCTTCTTTATTTGTTGTTTGTCTTCATTGTTTTATACTAATTCCAGGTATCTTGATTTGGACAAGTTTTCTGTAGTTTTGTCTTCTCGCTGGCCGCGCTGTGGCCTGTTGTGCACAACATGGACCCAACTTCAAGTCTCACCCAGACCGTGGTAGCCAAGGCTCACGAAGCCGTTGGCCTAGCTGCTTCCCTTTTGGATACTATATCAGATCCAAAACTACTGTCTCTTCAAGATGCTGTGTCAAATACGTCTGAGGCATACTCAAGTGTTCAGTCTCCATATTGGGACTGGATCCTATCTACCATTTTGAAAATGTGGCATCTATACGCTCCTAAAGTCTTAGAAGTCGCTGCTCGTGTATCTCCACCATGGTTTATCTCGATCCCATTATTACTTTTGTCAGTGCCGGTAAGTTGAAGCCTAAAGAATACTTCAGCAACCTTCTTTGAGCGTTGAGAAAAGCTGACTATAGTAGTTGATTGGGTATATCATATATCAACTCTACTTTCACCCTCTTGCCAAATATCCTGGCCCGTTATGGGCGAAGCTTTCAGGATCTCGCAGAGGGTACCATGCGTGGCTCGGAGACTTGCATTACGATATGTGGAAATGTCATCAAAAATATGGTTTGTATTACACCTGCATCAGATCCTCTGTTAAACCAGACAATTGAAGGCTAACAATGTTGGTGCATGCCCGTATGTCCGATATTCACCCAATTACTTAATATTTAATACGTCACAAGCTTGCAAAGGTTTGATATTATGGCATATCCTTTCAGTCGATACTGCCGACTAACATCTACGTCACTTAGATATATATAGCCATGGAAAGAACATGCAAAAAAGTCTTCCGTATCTTGTAATGGTGCACAATACTCCGAGCACCTTTACTTTGATAGACAAGAAAGAACACGCCTGGAAAAAGCGCATTCTGAGTCAGAAATTCTCGGACTCGGCTATCCGTTCGTACGAGCCAAAAGTGTTGACGCTCGTTGATCGACTCTGTGATGTTTTGTGCCCCAGGCCGTCCGAGAACGACAGTGGCGAGTCGGCGATTCCGCAAACCAAATCTGTTTGGTCTGAACCGTTCAACATGGCTACCTGGTGTTAGTCGTAACTCAAATCCCTGTCTTCTCCTTGACATGATAAGCTTACATGAATCTGAATAGGCGATAATTTGTTCTTTGATCTCATGACAACTGTTGTCTTCGGCGAATGTTTCGATCTCATTCGTAGTCCGTGGTACCGTTATGTCCCCGAAGCTCTCGCGAGATCGAACCAGCGCGTCAGTGTAATTGTGCAGTGGCCAATGATCGCATTCCGCCGTCTCGACAAGAAACTATTCAAAGATTCGGTGCATGGCAGAAAAGAGTTTTTGCGATTTGTGCACAACTTGGTGACTGATCGATTGACTCGAGGGGCCGGGAAGGGAGATGTCTTCTCTGGCTTGCTTGATGCCTTGGACCCTACCACAGGCAACAAGTTAAGTCGGGACGAAATCGTAGCTGAAAGCATCCTGATGATTGTTGCTGGTAAGTAGATTCTACTTCATGTACACTGTGTGTCAAAGTACGCCTGGCCTCTTTTGTACTGACAGATTCGTACACAGGGTCTGATACCTCATCGACTCTTCTGTCGTCCATATTCTTTTATCTGGCAAAAGATCCACAGAAGAAAGAAAGATTGGTGAAAGAAATCCGCTCGTGTTTTCCGACTCGAGACGATATCCATCTAGGTGAGAAATTGAATTCATGCCGCTACCTGCAAGCCTGCATATCCGAGTGCCTACGGTTGGCTCCACCAGTCGCCTCTGCGCCTTTCCGCGAAGTCTCGCCAGGCGGTGCTGTTGTGGACGGCCATTATCTTCCCGCAGGTGCCAACGTCGGAACCGGAATCTACAGTATTCAGCACAATGAGCAGTATTTTCCTCATCCGTTCGAATTCATCCCTGAACGATGGTTGGAAAAGGAGAATCCGTATGGGATCAATCAGACGGAAGCGCATGTGCCTTTCTCTATTGGTCCAAGGGCATGCCTAGGGAAGTCTTTGGCAGTCACAGAAGTCTCCCTCCTGATGGCCTACATTTGCTGGATGTTGGATTTCGAAATTGCTGAGAGCTTGAAAGACGTCGGTGGCGGCACTAAGAATGGCAGACATGGAAGACATCGACCAGGCGAGTACCAATTATACGATCATATCACTAGTGCGCGTAACGGGCCCTGGATTAAATTCAGGCGAAGGGGTTTGGAGTTCTAAGGGATGGCCAGCGTCATCAATCACATCATTCATATCACGACTCAGACAAAGAATATGAAAAAAATATATATAAGTGTTTTTTATGTCCCACGACAGCTTGATGCTCTGATCTTGTAGTTGGCATTGTTAAATTTGAAACCCCCACTAGGTCTGACTTTTTGATATAGGATATTAAAATTTAACTAACATCATTTTTCATCGATATGTTATATCTTAATAAGTCACCTTATCTTTAACTATGCGGATCCATAGAATACCACAGTCTATTCAACCTCATTTAAAGACTAGCTTTTGACATATAGGTTCTTGCCTGAATTAAATGAGGACATGTCTTCAATTTTAATTTGTGAAGCATATAGTATTGCGATTGTTGATTCAGACCACTATGTGGCTCTTTACGCAGAGATGCCTCTGGCAAATATGCAATTTGCGTAAATATTAAGACGACAGAGCATCTAACCGCAGCTATATCGGCCAAAAATGAATACCTGACGGGGACGATGTGGTTTTTTCTGGCTGGTTGTTGACACGAAAGCTAGAGGACGGTTCCTTGCGGTATCATGATTTCCATCCTCAGTATCCACGACAGCTGCGTCAAACACATTGTCATGCCGACAAATCTCTTCTTCACTTTCTTTAGAATTGGCGTGAAGTCCCTAGAGTTAGTTATCAGTCTGATGGACATGGCCTGATAGCATTTCTGAGTCTGACGAATAACTGACATTTTCTTTGACTGGTATCTCCTCCACTCTCAAAAGCCCAGTTTCCACTTCGGCTCTCACAATAGGCACTACTGAAGATGGCTGAAAATGCATTGTGTAGACAAGACAAGTCTCAGAGCCACGTGCTACCTTAGACATTATGCTGGCTCAACCATTTCGCTCTAACTAAATATTTTTACCAGGGACAATGGAATTTAAACCAATGCCAGACTAAAATATCTGTTTAAAGTGTGAAAGTTTTAGAACAGTGAGTAACTGTATGCGTATGAATGAACTGAACGTCATCTAATATAATGTTCAGGTTATGGCGCACCCAAATCTAAATCAATCTAACAGGCGGTTATGTCATAACAATTAGATGCTTCAAAGTACGTAGGTAATTTAATGGGGTATAGTCGTAGATACTGAAGTGGCAAGGTTACTCAGCTGTCGGGTTATGCAGCTGCAGTAGGATGGCCAGATTGTAGAACTATTAATGCAGGATCCAAGGAATGCAGGAGGGTCAGATCTCTTTCGGATGTCAAGCCCGGAATGAATTTTGGCCGGGGGGATTCAGCAATGTCACCGAGGTGGCTGACGAACACTTTAGTTTCGTTTCAGCTTATCCTGCCTAATCTGAATATACATTTGCTCAGTAGGAGTTTTAATGGCACCGTTACAGCTAATGATGTGCAGAATTATCCCAGATGAGTGGTTGTGTTGTTTTGAAATCCCCCAAAGACAAAATCATGGATGTATAGCTGAATCAGACTGGCAGGTTGGCGATTCAAATAATTTCACAGATAAGAAGTGAGCCGGAGGTTCCTCTATGAGATTCAATGGCGCTGATTTGCTGTAGCTTTCCTTGTCACTGGCAGAGCAATCACCCTTTATACGGTCCTATTATTTACAGGGCATATAGCTGTCCTGTGCGCAAGGCGTGATTACGACTCTCAACTCTCGGTGGTTTAATTAGCAGATGGATATAAGAGCAACATAACAAGTCTGAGTTTAGTCATTCCGATAGTGGCATGAGAAAAAGGATCAACATGGTAATTTGTTACAAATCTACTACTATAAATTAAAACTCAAATGTAATTACACCCACCCGTAACGCCCGTATATGAGAAACTATACTCAGCATAACCCGAATGAGATATGCATACAATACCGCTACCGCTACCCGAGACTCGTTCGATATGTCGGATTAAGAAGGACATTCATCTCTTGGTCTGGCGCGTAAGGCGGAGCCTGTTTGGCGCGGAATATGCTGTTGGTAAAGATGCCATGGTGAAATCGGCGCGTGGCTTTTCGCTCTCGCTGGCGCACCTTTTTGCTGTACGCTTCAAACTCGCTTCGCTGTATCGTGGCGTAGAGATATCGCGGATGAACTCCAATGGCCATACCGCCTTTCTGTCCAAAGCCAAACAATTGCAGAGCAAACGCCTTCATGTTAGGCTTGCTTAATGTCTTGTTGGGGAAAATGAGGTATTCGCACTGTTGCAGCTCGCTGTCTATGTTGTCACCATTCCGATTGCCGGGAATGCGTCCGTCATGCATCATCTGAATGCACCCATTCAACATCCATGCACCTGCTGGTCCTTTCGGGTGCCCGGTCAAGGATTTCTGGAACACGACAGGGATGATATTGCCCTCCTTGCGACCGAGGTGCCGCAGCTGTGCATTGACCAGCCCGGCCTCATTCTTTTCATTGGCCTTTGTGGACGTGCCGTGGAAGGATGTGACATCTAGGTCATCCACGGTCAGACCCCATACAGCGAGGGCGCCGCGGATTGGTGAGATGCGTTCATCGTGTGTCCAGAATCGATTGCCGTACCGATTGCGTGCCTCGCAGCGATCACGCTCAGCGTCAAGTTCGATATCTGCGAGTCGTCGTGTTCGGTGCTCCTCAGTGACTGACTGTGGTGTGTCAGACAAGGCAGCCATATCGGCCAGCTCCTGGTCAAGGCAGTCAACATGAAGCTTGCGCATCTCCTGAATCCGCTTCAGTCGATTTTGGAGCGCCTGGCGACGGAATGCCATGCTCATCCAGGGTGAGTCCAAACCTCCGTTGGGTGATAGTGTCTGTTTCGCAGCACCCAAGAGTCCACGTCCAGGCGCAGGGATCGAGCGACCGGCTTTGTCCATGGCCATGAAGCTCATTGCAATGATACAATGGATCGGAAGGCCCATTTTTAAGGCCACGCTCGCAGATGTTACCACTTGGATTCCCGCTCCTTCAGACTCCACAAAGCCTGCACGGGTTGAAGTCGCTGGCCGGCTCATCTCCTTGGGCTCGCGGCCTGCAGCCAAATCTTGGTCCACGTTAATGGTCGCCTGTAGATTGGCGAATTCGTCCGCTATTGATTTCATCATATCATCGAATGCGCCTACTAGGCACACTTTGGCTTTGCCTGTTTGAATCAGGTCGCAGGCTGTGTCTAGGGATTCCATAGCTGTAGCGCACGCTCCAACCGGCGTTCGGTTGGCCCCTGATGCTGATAAAAGTAGCATGTTGATCCATGCGGTACCAGAGTTGATGAAAACTTCTGAGAGCACGTCCTTAGACACTGGTTCATCCTTATAGCGTCCTTTTAAAATATTGCCGAAGCTATGAGAGCCTCCAAGTCCGGACCCAACGCAATTTGCAACGTCACCGACATGGATATAGTTGTAGAAATCGAATGCGTCGTCGATACCAGCAGATTGCAGCGCTTCAGCGGCTGCTACAAGTGCATAGAGAGTCGCTCGGTCCACCTGGCTGACGACATCTTGAGGGACGCCGTATGTTCGGGCATCCCAGCCCACGGGGATCTGGCCGCCGACGGTGTGCTGCGTGGCGATGAGCTTGGGAATCATGATCTTGGCCCCCTTGGTGAGCACCACTTTCATGCGGTTGTCATCTTGCTCTATTGGCGTCAGATGGATGTTATCTCCATGTGCCTTTTTGAGCTGCAGTGCTATTTCACGGCTAACCTCCAAAGGCTCATGATCTCTAGTGATCTCAATCTCATGAAGAGCTTCGGCAGCACTCCACGAAGGAGAACCTCGCACTTGCTCCATGAAACGGATGCCAGCGTGCTCCAGCATGAAGTTTTCGTATTTTTCTCGGATTGCTGTGTCTGCAATGGGTTTCCCAGTCTCTTTATCCAACCAGCCCGAGAAGAGCTGCCCGTCTATTACACCCGAATGGGCCTTGATCAAGCCCATGGCCCAGGCTAGCTCGATGCAAGACTCTGGAGAGAGTCGTCCATTCACTTCCATGTCCCATCTGACTCGCGAACTGCCGAAAGGTCCGACCTCACCAAACCCAGCAACGACGACGACGCGATCCAGATCTACCATGCCTTCCAACTGAGCAGCGAGAGGCTGAATCTCACTTTCCCACTCTGGCAGTGGAGGGAAGCGGAGCTCAGGATTGATCTGCACCGGCTCGTCGGTCGTCCTGGTGCCCGAATTGCCCTCGTGGTCTACTAAATCCTGGGCTACGGCCCGCCGATCTTCGCTGAGTTGCTGAATTGCACCACGGATGTCGTTGGTTACACCCTTGATGTCCGGGAAACGACCCATGCCTCCACTGAAATCAGCAACTAACGGCTCGTCCATGCACAGCTGAGTGATAGGTGGACTTAGTAGTGCTAGAATGTTGAAAGCCATCTCATCCTGTGAGAAGGTTCGAATACCACGCTCCTCCATCCCCTGTGCTACTGTGTCGATATCAGATGTCAGCCTTGTCCCTCTGGTCCATCCAATGATGACACCGCAGACCTGGAGGTATTGAGCCCAGTCTTCTGAGTGAAATTTGTTTAAAAGACTCTCAAGTCCGAGTTTTGACTCTGCATAGAGACCATCGTTGCCCAGACTGCCATGATTTGGCGAGAGAGGAACGATTACCTGGGCAGGCCGTGTGATGATGCCCCGGCTTTGCTTCTGCTGTTTGATATGCCCCAGAAGACGAATGGTATTTGTGAGCATCAAGCGATGAGCGAGCTCTGATTTAGCGTCAATATCAGATATACAACGTCCGTTCTCTGATATGGCTGCGAATGGGATCACAAAATCGAGATCCATGTTCAGTCCGTCCTCAGCATATATGTACTGGGCTAGCGCTGCTAAGTCTCGGACACTCGCCTGGTTGAAAGGAACAAGGATCAGCTTGGATTTCTTTCCTCCACGGGCGGCGTACAGGTCCTGAAAGAATTTTGTGATGGCCGGGGAGTAGGAACTGCTCGTAAGCACAACAGTGGCGCCTGCAGACAGCAACTGGCCCACGAGCTCGCAACCGATTGAGCCTGGGCCGGCGCCCGTGACGAGAACGGTTTGCTCTGCCAGTGATAACCCCAAGTATCTTGATTCAATGAGTACTTGTCGCAGCGTAGATGAAAGCTCTTCTCGGTATTGCCAGCCATCTGGCCTCTTCCGGCCAAGCTGGAGGTGACGTAGGTCAAGCTCGCCCGTAGAAGCGTATGCGGCGAGAGGTCGCCGAGTCTGACGATAAGAAATCTTTCCGTTTGCCTCCACCACGGTGCTTGGAGCCCAGGAGACACTTGGGTAGCGTACCAATGCAGGAGCATTGACTCGAGCTTCGCATTGCGAGAGCACGCCGCGTAGCACCGCAGCAACCTGCGCATCTTGTGTTGTCCCGGTCAGATATCGCACGACCTTGAGAAGCCTTTCATGGGTCCTGTTGGCTATCCTTTGACTGAGTTGACCCAGAGTTTCATCGTCATCTTTATCTTGGGCGTGACTGACGGGCTTAGTGGCTAGAGCAACCAATTGCAAGAGATCTTGCATGGCCCAGTTCCACCAAGAGTCAAAGACTCTGGTCTTGAGCGGTGTAAATATGGGTAGCACACCAGAAGAATACACTTCCCCGTGCTCTGCCATCCACCCGTCGATCTGTTGTTCCAACTCAAGTATGCGCTGTTCAAGGTTGCTGATGGTATCCCGGGACTCGTGCATGTTGAAACCGAGAAGTCTTGTGTAAAGTGCGGCTTGTTCTTCCCAGGCCATTCTCTGCCTTCCTTCTATATGATCGAGGGCTTCTGTACTAATCATTGCCGGAGCACCACTAGTGGCAGAGGACCCTGACACATTGACAGGGAGCTTAAGACCGTGCTGATCCAAGTATTTCGTAACAATGCTATCGAAGAAGGCCTTTGCTTCGTCTTCTTTCAAACGATTCTCCAGTTGCTCGTTGACTGCCCTCAAGAGAATACTATTCTGACGACCTGCTTCAAGCCCCCAAGTTTGCTTTAAATACTTACGCACTACGGAAGCTTGGAAAGAGGCAGGCAACTTCTGTGATGTCATTCTATCAATGAGAGAGTTTGACTTTTTGCCCAGCTTTCCAGAGTACCTGGACTGCAGACCCTGGCAGAGCGCCTCCAACGCCATATCTTCGGCGCTGTCAGGCAGCAATGAACCAAATTCTGTATCGAGATCGCCAAGAATCTCATTCTGCAAGGTCGACCGGCCTGCACAAAGGATTTTGATAGACTGCGTCATGCTGGAGCTGTTCAAAGGCTTCTTGAGGGCAACAGCAATTATGGCAGCAACGATGTCAAATGTCGTGGGAGGTGAATCTTCAATCTCAGCAGAATGATGTGTTGGTTGTGCTGCCGTTACATTATCAAGAATGGTATTAATGCTCTGAGATGGGCGAGGGACTGCTTCCTCAGAGGAAGTTGTCTTTGTTGTACCAGCGGATGGAGATGAGGGTGCATTATTCCCAACCTCAATAAGCTGTTGTTTGTTGTATGATATGGCGTCGAGGTTTTGGTGAAAGGTGAGTAGCTCACGAGATAGATCGGTAGCTGTGTCTTTGGAGGCATATTTTAGGGCGATAGTTCGCTTCGCCATGTTAGCTAGGGTATTCGCTGGGCCCATCTCGATCAAACGTTGGGTGTCGCGTTGCCCCAGAACAAAGTCTTGAGTGTCGATCCATTGGACAGGATAACAAAACTGATGTGCCAAGAGCTCGATGAGGAGCGTTCGAGCAACCTCATGGTCGCTCTCCTCCGTAGAGGAAGAGGTCGTTGTGAAGTCAAATGTCTTGGTCATTGTTTCCAACAGAACAGGTCCTGTTGCCCGACTGAGAACATTGAGCAAAGCACGCAATATTGATACCGGGGGAGATATCCAGGTATAGTGCAGACTATATGGCGGTAGCACCAGATAGATTATCCCAGTCTAAAATACCACAATACCCCCCTAGATGACTATTCCAAGGCATGTGGGTTACGATACAAGTACCCATAAGTTGGGTTGGATAAAGGCTCGCTGTTGTTGCGTTGCAGCTAGCCCACTGGGAGGCATGCTTGCCGCTGCCCTGGCTCAGGAACCCGGCTAAGACACAGGATTCGGGTCAGCTAATGACACCGGCAATTTTGACTGGAGTAAGGGATTCAGCTTAGTCTCACCTGTATAGAATGCGTTTTTTTTTGTTTAAGTCATTCCTTAAACTACAACCATACCCCATTTTTGTCTATTTATTACCAAGTGCATCCTATATTCCGCACAAGCTCATGAGCACTAAGATACAGCTTACAGGAATACGGGATTTCGGTGCATACATGCCGCTGGCGACCTTGGCCCGAATGCAGGATTCAAAAGCCACTAATGGGAGGGGATGACCAAAATGATCCATTATTCCCTTCCAATAACCCGGATTACACCCTTTTTTTGGACAGTAGCCATGCATCCCCCTGGTCATATATACTTTGAATGGACATTCCCGTGCTTTGTACCATAATATAGCTCGCCTTGAATGCATTATGTATATTATTAAATCCGTAGTCATCAATATAATGATTTATATTTTAAAAATACGCCCTTGAATATCAAATAGCACAATGTCTATACCAAATACATGGTAGGGGTTATCCTGTTTTCCTCCAAGGCCCGTTTTAGCTATTCCCCTCAAGCGCCTGACTCAACATGCTGTAGCTGCTTGATAGCATAGTCTTCAGTGTCTGCTTTTTACAGAAAGTGTCGACGGTGCATTCTCATTGGATTCCTTTTACAGGCATTGACACCGTTGTTTTGCGCATTTTTATTCAGGACAAACAATCTTCATATGTCAGCGTCCATGGATCCATCATCGTCGAACTCACTATTCTCAGAGGTAGAATATACCTCTACTGACGATCTGGGCGGAGGGATACCGCATATTCGCGTTGAAGAGTTCACGAGGCCTATTGAGATTGTCTTCTCTGCCGATCTGCGCTACCAGTGGAGCGTTGCTGAAACGCACCGCCATCTTGTACAGCAAACCATTGTCACATTTCAACACGATCTTGAAAACAACACCAATGAAACAGATAGGCCCGAGTCTGTCCCCGAACTTATCTTGGCCTTTCTCTCCGTTTTAGTGAAACAGAATCAAGATGCATCGCCATACAGTCGACATGAAACCGAGTGCATCAAGGAGCTGGTAGATGCCTTTGAGCACGACTTTCTACAAGGACGCAACATACATGTATTCGTCGACCAACAAGTCAGGAGCTCTCAAAAAAAAAGACAAGACATGATACGAGCATATCTGGCAGCACTAGCCGCTACCGGTCGCCAGGCATCGAGCACGTGCAGGAGTTCAGCTTTGCTTAAAGGCTCTCGTGAGTCCGGTGAAACAAATACGTATGCAGCCTTCGGAGGGATATGCTGTGATGGCGATCTGCTAGAAGAGCTTCGTATTCTGCTAGTGGACTATAGACATGTAGTCGAGCCTCTTGTGAAAGCGGCAACTGGGACATTATTGGAGTTGTTGGCCACATCAGACGTGTCTACACGACAGCAATATAACCAAGGTCTCGATGTCTTGCAGTGGCTGAGTGCTCCAGACAAAGGCAAAGCTCCATCCCACGAGTACCTTCAATCAATAGCAGTCAGCTTTCCCCTGGCTGGTTTAGTTCAATTTGCCAACTACGCAATCATCTGCGACCAGCTTGGGTTGACTCCTGGTCAGGTTACAGATTCCTTGCGAGGGATGGCAGGACAGAGCTCAGGAATCATTGTCGCCGCCACGCTCGCGAGTGTCACTGATTGGGAAAATTTCCATAGCGGGTTGGTTCAAGCAACGACGATATTGTTCCACCTAGGATCCGCAGCTCAAGAAAATACGCCAAAGCTGAGCACTTCGCATCTACACAGAGTGTCAGAAGAGGTGATAGCAAATGGCGAAGGCTCGTCATGCACGCCCATGCTACAGATCGTTGGATACCCTCAGGAACAGCTTGACCTCAGCATTATCAAGCTGAACAACCAGCTTGAGCCGAGTGGCCATGTTTTCATCGGCATCATCAATGCGCCGTTGGACGTGGTTATAACGGGGCCAATACTTTCCCTCTGCGCCCTCGCCTCGACTCTGCGCAAGGTGAAAGCTCCCAATGGCCTAGACCAGACCCGGATCGCAGCGTCCAAGCGGAAGCCAGACTTCTCTTTGCGTTTTCTGCGAACATCTGCGCCATTGCACTCGATTCATCTCGCCCGAGGTGCCGCTCTCGCCACAACAAGGCTAGCACACGTTCACATGGCACCATCCAATATGGGGTTGCCGATATACCACTCCCGCACTGGAGCTGATTTGCGGAGTAGCGAAGAATCTGATCTCATCCCCAAATTGGTACAAATGGTACTATGCGAGCCTTGTGATTGGCCAAAAGCAACCCTCTTCCAGGATGCCACTCACATAATCGATTTTGGCCCTGGTGGCACTTCAGGTATTGGCTCTTTGCTTCAGAGGAGCAAGGATGGTACAGGCGTGCGAATACTTCTAGCGGGTGCTGATGAGGTTAACAAAGCCGAATATGGTAACCGTGCAGAGCTTTTTCACCATGTGGCGATTTCGCCAACAAGTTGGCTACAGGACTTTGGTCCGACTCTAACAAAAGATGCAAACGGCACGATTCAAATCAGTAACAAGATGACGCGCCTTCTAGGGCTGCCGCCTATCATGGTAGCCGGCATGACGCCAACTACAGTATCATGGGAATTTGTGAGCGCCATCATGAATGCGGGTTACCACACCGAGCTGGCAGCAGGAGGATTGCATTCGGCCTCAGATTTTACCCAAGCGATCCATAAACTTGCTCATAGTATACCTCGCGGTCGTGGTATCTGCATTAACGTCATATACGCCAGTCCAAAACAGATGAACTGGCAGATACCACTCATACGGAAACTGAAGTCTGAAGGTCAGCCCATTGACGGCATCACTTTTGGAGCAGGAGTTCCCTCGCAAGAAGTGGCTCAAGAATACGTAGATATGGGGCTACACTACCTATCGTTCAAGCCAGGATCATGTACAGCAATAGAGCAAGTCATCAATATCGCTAAAGCAAACAATAACTTCCCCATACTCCTGCAGTGGACTGGTGGGCGCGGAGGAGGGCATCATTCATACGAAGACTTCCACTCCCCTATAATTCAATGGTATGGACGCATCCGCCAATGTGCCAATATTGTGCTCCTAGCTGGAAGTGGGTTTGGTGGCGCAGAAGATACCTACCCGTATCTGTCTGGAGCCTGGTCTACAGCCTTTGGTCAACCCCCCATGCCATTTGACGGAGTCTTGTTCGGCAGCCGTATGATGGTTGCTAAAGAAGCAAAAACGAGCCGCGGTGCTAAAGAGGCCATCGTCGCCGCTCCCGGAGTCGATGACGAAGGATTTTGGGACCAATCGTACACCAGGCCGTGTGGAGGCGTCATCACCGTTAATAGCGAAATGGGACAACCGATTCACAAGTTGGCCACGCGGGGTGTTCTCTTGTGGAAAGAACTCGACGAAACTGTCTTTAGCATCACCGATAAAGCCAAGCGGCTCGACAAGCTTAAGAGTATGAAAACATACCTTGTGGAGCGGCTAAACAAGGACTTTCAGAAAGTGTGGTTTGGGCAAAACGCCGACGGCGAAGCCGTAGACCTTGAAGACATGACATACGCTCAAGTGTTGCGGCGTCTGGTGCAACTGCTTTATGTCTCCAAAGAAAGCCGATGGATAGACCAGGGATATATGCAGCTGACCCTCGATTTCGTCAGACGTATGTACAGCCACGCGCCAGCTTCAGGATCTTTCCCTAAAGCTCTGGAACTGGAATTGGTAACCCCACTGCAAGTAATTGACACAATTTGCAAGCAGTGCCATCGGATAGCGGACAAAGTCATAAGCTACAGAGACGCACGGTATTTCATCATGGCGTGCAAGCGAGTTGGTCGGAAGCCTCCAACCTTCGTGCCCGATATAGATGAAGATTTCGAGTACTGGTTTAAGAAGGACTCCCTTTGGCAATCTGAAGATCTCGCTGGTGTTGTGGGCGAAGATGCGGGGCGTACGTGCATCTTGCAAGGGCCCGTTGCAGCAAGATACTCAACCATCATTGATGAACCGGTTCAACAGATCCTCGATGAAATTCGCAAAGGCCACATCTCTAGAATCTTACGGGATGACTACGATAACAAGCCAAGCATGGTACAGCCCATGACTGACAATGTTCCATGGGAACAACCACTAGAGCCTTCCTATTGCACTGTCTATCCCGAAGGTGGCAAGTTGTATTACCAGATCCCGACATCATCCCCAGACAATCAATTACCCAACGAGAAAGAGTGGTTCCAGTCTCTAGCAGGTCGCCCCAATACTTGGCTCTTCGATCTCATTATGTCAAAGGATATCGTGCATGACGCCAAGTTCGTTGCCAACCCAATCCGTCGAGTTCTTGCGCCAGTTCAGGGGATGCACGTAGAAGTGGCGCAGACCAGCGACGAGAACTTCATGAAGCTGGCTCTCCATGAGACAGAGAGTGGAAAAGTTATATCATCTGATGACGCAACACAGTACTCTGTCACTATCCACAAGGAAAAAGGTGTCATAATTGTGGAATTCAATGTCCGACATAATGTGGAGCTAGTTACCTTGCCAATGGTATTCAAATTCACACATCATCCGACAGCGCCTTTGCACCCCATACAAGAGGTAATTGAAGGTCGAAATGAGCGGCTACAAGACTTTTACTGTCGACTATGGCTAGGTAAAGATCTCAAGGGTTCCATGTGCCGCTCAGTGCCGGCATGGTCACCGTCTGGTCTTTATCAATCCCCCCTTGCTCCAGTCATAGGCAAGCAGCAGGTTGTGACCAGCATGTCAATAGAGGCATTTGAGAAGAGTATACATCACTCAAGACAGATCACGTTGCCTAAAGGGCATGGCGGTCCCATTGCCAGCATCGACTTTGCTATGGTAGTCGGATGGGAGGCGTTGATGAAGTCTATCTTTGCTCCAGCGGTCGATGGCCGGTTCTTGGACCTAGTCCATCTCTCCAACGAACTCATCCTATTAAACGACATTATATCCCTAGCCGAGGGAGATATTGTAAGTAGTAGCGCTCAAATATCATCCATCAGAGACGAGTCGATTGGGAGAATTGTGGAGGTTGAGGCCGTCATTTCCAAGGCTCAAGCTCCGCTTGTGCGTATCACATCGGAGTTTTTGTTCCGCCATAACTATGCAGATTCAAGTGTTTGCTTTAAAAAAAGGTCAGAGCCCCTATCAAAGGTTCACATTGACACTCTTTCGAAGGCTGCCGTCCTTAAAAGCAAAGACTGGATCCGCTGGAGAGATGTTAGTGCCGACTTGCTCGGACGGGAGCTCGTTTTCGATGTGCAAAGTATCGAATACTTGGATGGAAATGCTTCGCCTATCTCTGGTAGTTGTATACAGACATGGGGGACCATCTATGACCAAGGAGACAAGCGGGTAGTAGGCGAGGTCCGTCACCAGCAACAACGCCAGACCATAAGCAGCAGCAGCTCACCACTAGACTATTGCCGACGCCACGCCCATCCAGTAGATAACCAGCAACATCTCGAGCATGCACAGAGGCTGGGTTTGCAAGACAGGCTCGAATTTACGGCTCCAAGCAGCAACCTGGCCTACTCACAGGCGTCAGGTGACTTTAATCCCATTCACACGTCACTGCCATTCGCCAAATATGCTGGGCTTCCTGGCACTATCACCCACGGAATGTGGGTTAGTGCAGCTGTGCGGGAGCTGATTGAGAAAGCAGCCGGATGCAACGAACGAGTCCGCATGAGATCGTATAAGATCTCTTTTTTGAGTATGCTACTCCCCGGAGAGACCGTCAGGGTCACCGTCGATCATGTGGCGATGAAGCAAGGGCTTCGCGTATTATCTTTCGAGGCGAGCAATACCGTCACAGGCATCAAGGTCGTCGGCGGCGAAGCTGTTGTAGACCAAATAGAGACGGCCTACCTGTTTACGGGGCAGGGCAGTCAGAAAGTGGGCATGGGTATGGATCTCTACGCCAGCTGTGATGTAGCTCGGGGTGTATGGGACAGGGCCGATCGGTTCTACTATCAAACTTATGGTAATACTTGATCTCCAATCAATTTCTTTTAGTCAACATCGTTCGTAAATATCGACACATACTAACATACATTCACATAGGCTTCCGCATCAGCGACATCGTGAGACACAATCCCAAACAGCTCGTCATCTACTTTGGAGGTCGTCTTGGCCAAGAAATCAGAAAAAACTATATGAACATCACAGTGGAGCATAAAGGACGTACACAGCAAGTTCTGGGTGACATAAACGAACAAAGCACCAAATACGTCTTCCAACACAGCGATGGGCTCTTGTTCAGCACCCTCTTCGCACAACCGGCGCTGACCGTCAATGGGCATGCTCAGTATCAATATCTCCAGAGCAAGGGCCTTATTAAGGCCAACGCTTTGTTCGCTGGCCACTCTTTGGGAGAGTATACTGCTGTCAGCACCATCGGTCAAGTCGTGCCATTTGAGACACTCCTATCCATCACCTTTCTTCGGGCCATTCTCATGAACTCAGCCGTGACACGGGATGCCCAGGGTCACTCTCAATTTGGCATGGTGGCCATCAATCCCTCCAGAATTAGCAGCAGTCATGTTGATAGTGCGGTCATGCGTCACATTACCAGCAAGGTTGCCGCCGCGACTGGCGAGTTGCTGGAAGTAGTAAATTACAACATTGAAACACAGCAATATGTCGCAACAGGCTCACTGAAAGCGCTAGCATGTCTATCAACTGTCATTGAACAACTTGCAAGCGGCGGCAAGGCGCCTACTACTCACAATACGATCGTCAACAATATGCTACACAATGCCGGTCTCGACGCTATGATAAGCACCGCAGTCACGAAGGTTCACGAAATGACTTTTGGATCGTCCGGAACGCGGCTAAAGCTGAAACGTGGCGTTGCCACCGTACCTTTGGAGGGTGTCGATGTTCCCTTCCACAGCACTCTACTACTTCCTACAATGCCTGCGTTCCGCCACGTGTTAGAAACTCAGATCTCAATAGTAGACGCCAAGCGTTTGGTGGGCAGGTGGGTGACAAACGTCACAGGGAAGCCTTTTGATATATCGAAGGAGGGTATACAGGAGGTGTACGAGATGACAAAGAGCCCAGTGCTTAGAGACCTACTGGAGAAGATGAGGGTGAATTGCAGCGTGGAGGCAGTGGCCTAAGTTTAGAGCAAGGATTAAATGTGAGATGAAGGTTATAGTTTGGTATGGAACTTGGGAATGTTGATATAGCGTTTTGATAACTTTTATTTTATTTTATTTTTCCAGTCGCGGTGGCGAATTGTTTAATGAAGTTTTCCTGTCATATCTCAATGTGAATGTTACAGTTCTAGTATAGCTTACGACCTCTCACTGATATTTGCTTATATTCCTCAAGGAGCATTTAAAATGATAGACTGGTGGGTAAGGCTGCGCTTTCAACGTTAGGTGCTCTTTAGGATTTAAGCGATGACCAGCTAGAAACAGTGCTTAGCACGGCAGACTAGCTATTTGTCATAAAGGCGCGGCCATGACGTTGGAAGGGAAGATTGTTGCAAAAAATATTAATGTCATAGCATCAATCAGGAAGAGAGTATGACTGCAGGTATGTATCTATATGGTTGATACGCCAATCTTGCTTACTTTTAAGCCACATAATATTTCTGAGAGCTAATTTATACAGAATACTAAGGTCAGCTAACCAGTCTACGATTGTTTTGCAAGTTTGGGAAAGAGGAAGCTCCAAATCCCAAATGTTGACAAGCTACAATAATGTATTCAGAGTAGATTGCATACATCATTATTTAGCCAATGCATGAAACAGTATACTCAGGTTCAGGACCAAATTGCAAGTGGCTGATATCGAAGGAATGACCTTGGTCAATAATTTCCTTTGTAGTTCTGCTCTTGTACACAAGCAGAGACATAGATGAGAGCGTTGTAGGATGTAAATTATCCCAAGTGTGCAGGACGTAGCTGTGCAGGACGTAGCACTGCAGGATCTGCCACTTCAGGATCTAGAATTATATGATCAGGATTTTGTGGATTAAATGCACACTACGGCATAACACCCTATTAACGTATTAATGTGAGTGGATTAAAAAAAACTGATATTAAGTCAAACACAGATTCAGAGACCATTTTTAATTTAATTTTTTCTCGCTCATTTTATTATCATACCCCCCTGCGTGTCATTAGTTTCACCCCAATCTGATCCTTTACATCTCCCCCTGACCAAGTAAATGCCGTCCATGCTTATCAGAGATCCCACAATCCTTCATTCTGCTGCCCCAAAAAATCTTCTGATTCCTGGTACATTCCCCCATATCGTCTAGATCTGTGAATCTCAGTAAGCAGTCCAGCGACATTGAATTCTCATTTTCCAACAATCTGCTTCATCGCCTTCAATCCAGTACCATGGCGGCGGTAGGCCCAGAGTCCACTAGCGATGCTCCATCGTCACACGCTGTAGACTATCTTGCACAAGACCAATTCCATCGACGATTCATACTGCCCGCCACGGCGGATCATAGCGAGCTGCAAGTTAGCTACGCGGATGTTGGGCGCAATCCGAAACAAGGCAGCGATGGCACACATTATCCGACAATTTTATTCATCCCAGGGATGTTCGCATCGCGCTATCTGAGTGTCTGGATGCACGCTATCGCAGAGAAGCTGGGCGTCCGGGTTCTGGTCGTAGATAGGTAAGGCTCTCTTAAAACGCCGCTACTTCAATCCCTATGGACTAAAAGAAATTGAACCCTGCAGGCCGGGATTGGGACATTCAACCGCAGTGCCTCTCGACCAAAGAGTTAATACATGGATAGAGTTGGTGCCTCGCCTTCTGGCGCATTTACAGATAGAACATGTCGCGCTGGCATGTCACAGCGCCGGTACGATTTATCTTCTAAACACTCTAGTCCGATGTCGTGAAATCCTTGATCCAAAAAGGCCACTGGTTGTCTTAATAGGTATGAAGAACCATCAACAGCGTGATGAGGCATGCGAAATAACCCGTAGACAGCTCCGTGGATCGATCCGGCCCATTCCCAGGTTGCGGCTATGCAGATGGCGCAGAACCTGCCAGCCAGTGTATTTAGCATTTGGCATAACATACCCAAGCTTGTATCGGTCGGCGAGACGGCATTCCAAAAAATGTCCAAATTGCTGCCTTTCAGCAGCGGTATCAGCACTACGGAGACGCCATCACTGGTAAGAAATCGCCAGAGGATAGAGAGCGAGTATGGGATGCCTCTGGAGCTTCAGAAGGAACTGCAGGCCATGACCCTCAAGTCAATGTTGAACGAAAATTTAGTCGGCGCAGATAGCGAGCTACTTCAGTGTCTCCGAAAAGGACCAGCGGGGCTTTGGGGAGAGTGCGAAGACTATGAGCTCTTTGTCAAGAGGCTGGCCGAGCTTGAACGGGGCCGGCGAGCACGCGAGGGCGATAGCAATGAAGAAAATCTCAGAATTGACGCTTATTTTGCTGAGACCGATGTTATGATCGGGAAAAATGGTCAAAGGTATCTGGAAGATTGCTGGAGAGGTAGCAGGGAGGACGATTTTCACGACGTACTAAACTTCACGGCCACGACCGTCGACGAGACAGATCATGACAGTGTCGTACAATCCGTCATTGTTTTGAAGCAGATATTCCTCAGTGCTGGTGGTACAATGCCGGCTGATGTTTAAGATAAAGTCATAAAATCCAAAGCATGCTTGTAACCCTATGAGCTGAACAAAATTTGGCCTGCACGCCACGAGTCATATCTATAATTTGATAGCCTAGGACGTAGTGTAGTAGGAGAAGCTTAGCTAGCTACGATATGGTGCAATACTGACCTTGCTAATTAATAATTTGATCGTTGTGGGGGGAATTTGACCCCCGTGAACTTCAAGCATACAGCATTACTCTGGTAGTTTCAATACTACTACGTATTTCATCTTATGCCGTGGAGAAAGCTAATATGTGTTTACGTGTAGATGAGATGCTCGTATCACCACTGCAGACTTGCGGCCGAGAAAAATTGCAGTATAGCAATACACAATGTCAGGATTCCGCTCAGGACCATAGAAGCTTATAAGGCAGCTAGTAGGTATCTTCCCGGGTGCTAACTTTCCAAAATACCCCTTGCTGCCCATCATAAAAGGGTAAAAAAGGGCCCAATGATGTCGACACCCCCATAGCTCTGGGTAGGGGATGTTCTATAGATAGCTGCAAGACTAGCCAATCGGGGTCATTCCACCAGGCATACTTTATGGGGGTCTACATACCAGGAGTCAGGGTCACGTAATAGGGCAGCGGGAGCGAAGGGCAATCCCGCGCCTGAGGATATCCACTAGGAGATTACAAAGTGGAATAGGAATAGATGCATCGGACGAACATGAAGCCGCTGGGCTTGTCCCTTGGATTTGATGGATTAAGTTCACACATGTCCGATGCTACTAACAGAAAGAGAACTCCAGCTAGCCGAGACACCTAAGTCTGAGATGATGAATTTTTATTAATTTGCTCTATGAGTGGCGTCCCCATCTCATTTCTTCCGGTAGCCTTATCATACCAAATCCCAGTCGCATAAAGAATGTGTAAGATCATTCATGAAGCCATGCTACTCTTGATACTTTCCACTATCGAGAATTTTTATTTTGTGGTCGCATTCGGCGCTTTGCGCGGTAGAAAGGTGCTCTTGTCGGTTACGGCGGGCAGTCAGGGCAGTGTAACAAGCCGTTAACAGACAGCCTTGTCAAGGATTTCTCACAATGACCGTGGCTGGTGAAATTGCTCAGGCTCTCTCACGAAACCTGAGACCAATCTTCCTTCAAGTAGCTGTGTTCTCACTGGCATATGGTGGATACATTATGTGGGACAAGGCTGTTGAATTAGTCTCATGGTTTCTTAGCGGTCCTGGGCGTAACAGTCGGATAATCGCTTTATTCATGCTGATATTAAACTGGAAGAGTGTACCGTTTGTATGGACTGTAAGTATCATTTTCCACCCAACTGAACCCCTCCTTGTAACTTTTTACGCCTTCTTATTGACTCAAATGCTTATTGCAACATAGTTTCGCGTCTTTAGTGCCCTTACCTGTCACTTGGTCCTGCGTGAGTATCATGCGCATAGCCCTGACAAGCTGTTTCACTACAGCATTTGCCAGTCGCACGCCACGCTGTATGACATCGATTACAACCTTCACAAATCTAACTCGACTTACTTTGCCGACCTCGATGTCGCCCGGATACATCTCGCCGGGCACCTGCTTGCGCGAGGTGTGAAGGCTCTCTCGGAAAATTCGAAAACGAAGCTAGTTCTGGACCCCAGAAACCCGACGCGGGCTGCCAAAGGTAGTGTTTCTGTCAGTCTTGGTGCTGTTCATAGCAGCTTCAAGCGGGAGATCAAACCATATCAGCCCTACGAGATGTGGACACGGGTTCTAAGCTGGGACCGAAAGTGGTTCTACATGGTCTCCTACTTTGTCGAGAAGGGGGCTGTGAAGCCGCGGTCATGGGATGCTGGCTCATTTGGGCCTACTCGCAAGACTAAGGGCAAACCCGAGAACTGGGAGAAGAAAGTCTTTGCGACTGCTGTAAGCAAATACGTCTTCAAGATCGGTCGCTTGAGCGTCCACCCAGCCATTGTAATTGGGGCGAGCGGGCTGCTTCCCGAACGTCCGGGGGGCTGGATCGTTGCCGACAGCTGTATGAAGCATACGGCGAGCAGTACCGACGCCGAGACCAAAGATGTAATACAGGAGGCAGAATGGGATTGGCGGCGCACCGAGGGCGAGCGCCTGAAGGGTTTGGTGCACGCAAAGCACTTTGCTACTCTCGACGAGCTTACCAGCCAATTTGATGGAGGCGAAGATGGAGCTTTTGGTAAATGGAGTTTAGGTTAAACTCCCTTAACTATTATGCAAAAATGGTCACCATTCACACTTGGATCATGACAATAGCCCCAATGTATGAGAAAGCGTTGTTATACTAGCGACTATTATCTACATGACATTACCTTAATACGCTACTGGCAGCTCAATACCTTCTTCTCTTAGTCTTCTGCGACATAATCATCCCCCTTAGCAGCAGGATGAGGTGATGCGCACCCTTATAACGTTGAGCTATCTAGTATAGGCTTTAGCTACCCTATTCCAACTCTGTCAATCATATGCTATAATCGTCCGGATTTACTCGTGCCTATCACATTGGCACTCTGGGCGCGACGAACAGCGTATCATGCCCTCGTGCTAAAGCTGAAGGACTATTGGCGAACAACTAATAATGGCCTAGTGTAATTATAGGTAACATAGTTAAATTGAGTTGAGGCTGGGACATGAATGTTTGATCAAGCCAATTCCGTTGGACAATAATATTCATGAAGCAAGATTCATAACAAATTACAGTTTACGTGAACTAGTAGTAAACAGACAGTTGATTATTTATATAAAATTATTATAAAATGTGAAGTCCCAATTTAATACATAATAAAATATATAAACTCAATAATGTAGATGTTCATTTTATGTTTTGTAGAACGCAAAGATTGTGTGGTTGATTGTATCAGTTTCTGCTATTCTCTATTAACCAAAACTAAAAATACATTTGCCTAAAACTTTTTCCGCATGTTAATTTACATTTAGAAGCGCCGTTTATAAGCGATGAAAGATACAGGCCATAACGCCTGATTTGACAACACCTTACATATATATATATATATATATATATATATATTAATACAGCACCACATGATATATAAGACCATATGTACTCCATAGAAGAAATTGCTGTTAAATGGATGTTAATCAATGAGGTTGCCGACTTTTGGCCCCGCCAGGTTGAGATCCCCGGACCTGTGGGAGAACCCAGAAGTCCGGACCCACAATTCAGAGGAATGCAGGATCGAGTCTTAGGATAGTGTCCCATTGCCCTCACTTACGAGGCTGCTATTTAGGTGGTCTTTCCAGCATGGACAATGCCGGGCAGTCAGGATCCGTATGTTCCATATAGAAAAACAAACTAAATATTTCAAAGTTGCTACTTAGCGCTGCGACAATCAGATTCTTCAGAATAATGGAGGATCGTGCTCTGCACAACATCAGGGTGTAGCTCAAGTAACTAAAATCTGATCCGAGCAAAGGCACCCATTAGATCTGATCCTAGTGGAAACTCCCAGTAAATTCTGAGCACAGCAAAAACACCTAATACGGCTTCGGGCTACTTCGTGTAGATATGCAATGCGGAGGGTTGGCTGCTCCGCTCCCAACGGCGGCTTAGCATGCATCTTTCGGCCCTGTCGCTGCCGACCAGCCGTTTGGACGCAATTCTCTGAGTACATGTAGTTATGGCATTTTAACTTCTTCTTCTTCGTGACTGTACCTACAGACTCTGAGTCTCTCGCAACGACGACGACGGCGACGACGACGACGACGACGACTTGCCATGAAGCTCAACTGTCCTGTAAGCGTCCAAGATGACTTCGGTCCCATTGTTCGCGGCTGCGGGTCCGATTTCGACTTCACGCTGCTCTTCGAGGAGAGCATCCTCTTCATCGGGCCTATGCTGCTTGCAAGTGTCCTGGCTATCTTGGAACTCGCTCGTCGGTACAACCACCAAACACTTTTCAGAGGTGGCATTCTGCTGTCGCTAAAGCTTGTACGTTCTCAGCGTAATGACCTCCTCATATGCATTGCCTTCCACCCTTTTTCTGGACATATATGATCTAAAACTAACAAATCTTGTTAATGATGGACCGCAGTTTATTTGGATTGGCCTTATTGCATCACAAATTGCGTTTCTCGTCGTCGTTTCGACCCATGGCCCTCGAACGAGAGCTTCGATTGCTGCAGGAGGCATCGGTATAGCCTGCACGCTGATACTGACATGCTGCTCATACTTGCAACACGGTCATGGCACGCGCTCGTCGTCGGTGCTTGTGCTATATCTTCTTTGGACGCTCCCGATGGACGCTCTGCGCGCCCGTACCCTCTGGGGCACCGTAGACGGCCGCGGTGCAGCCATCACAATTATCACATACGCATCGTTTAAGCTCTGCGCTTTTATCCTAGAAATCATTTGGAAATGCGAGTTTGCGTTACAGAGCGGCTTGTGCGATGCTCCTGAAGAGAAGCATGGTATCATCGAAAGAGCTCTCATGCTACGCGTGATTCCACTCTTCGCCAGGGGCTATCGTATCCCACTGCAGGCTCAAGATCTGTACAAGATTGCCCCAAGATTAATGAATGGTTGGTCCATCATCCTATCAATGTTTAATTTCATCCGCGCGAGCTCTAATCTAACATATGGCGCAGGGAACGAAAAGGAAGCGACCACTGCAGGGCTCGTGATAGACATTTTCACATCGAATTTTTCAGAAGTATTGCTGGATCCTATTTTTCCTCGCCTCGGCTACCTCGCGCTTCAATTCACTCAACCTTTTTTGGTTGAGCGAGCAATAGACCTCATATCTGATACGAGGGGTCGCAATTTCTATCTGAACGGCGGTAGGTTGTTTCTACACTCTACATATTCAGAGCTCGCCTAAGCTAACAGATGTCAAGGTGGATTGATTGCTGCATATGGAATCGTCTACATCGGCATTGGGGTAACATTTTCTATCCCTCAAGACATGCATCTCGGGTACTAACAATCCACGCCTACAGATCATGGCTTCAACTTACGAGGGAAAGGCTGCTCGCGCAGCAACTCTTGTCCGTGCCGATCTTTCCACGCGCATATTTCAGCAGTCTCTAAAATTAGACCGCACTGTAATTTCGAAAGACTCGAACACGACAATGATTACGGCTGACGTGGAGCGAGTGCAAGCCGGCGTCCGAAAAATGCATGACCTTTGGGCCAACCTTGCGACTGTTGGTCTTGGTTTATGGCTGGTTGAATCTCGTCTTGGGCCTTCATCTCTACTCACTTTGGCGCTGATCTTTGGTGAGGAAAGAATCCACTACAACGCCAACCATCATTGTCTAACCGAAAGATGCTAATCAATGGGCTCCATAGTTTGTCTTGTCCTTACTGCATGGTGGTCGGCTCGCGCCAGTAAATACCAGGAGACGTGGCTCAAAGCAATGGAGACACGACTCCATAAAACTGTCCAGGTCTTGAAAGGTATCAAAGTCATCAAGCAGATGGGCGGTTCTCAAGCTATTTTCGAGCTGCTTCAAGCTGAGAGAGCTTCGGAAATCGGACTATCCAAACGTTTTCGCCTAGAAATGATTGCCATCATCACATTGTGTAAGTGTCGATTGATTGCCTACCAAACCCATTTATCAGAAACTCATATTCGCTGTAGCCTTCTCTTCAATCACTACGCTTCCTGCAATAGGCCTGGTCCTACCTGTCGCCCTCTCGAAAGCGCAGGATGGTCAGCTACTGAGCGCCCGCAATGCATTCGCCGCCCTGACACTTTTCCAACTTGTGAGCTCGGGTATACAAGATGGCGCTGCTCATGGAATGCAGCTTATGGTAGCTATTGGTTCCTTGAAACGAGTTCAGGCATCCCTCAATCAGCGCATGTGGAAAGATGGGCGACGGCATGCGGGAGACGAAAGTACTGACACCATCGTCGTGGGATCGGAGTCAAGCAATAATAGCACTGCTGATTATGCGCCAGAGAAAGAGCCGCGCGAAAAGCGCATCGAAACAGAGTTCGCGATGACGTTGGACAAGGTCACTACCAAATGGAGCGATGAAGGCGACTTGATTGTCAAGGAAATCAGCTTCAATATTCCACGAGATGGACTTACCGTCATCTACGGACCAACAGGCAGTGGCAAATCAACATTGCTGAAGCTCATGACTGGCGATAATCTCCCCGTGTCAGGAAAAGTCTCTACTGCGGATCGGCATATTGCATTCTGTGATCAACCACCGTGGATTGCAAATCTCAGTATCAGGGACAACATTGTCGGTGCTCGTCCTTTTGACGAGAAACTGTACTACACTGTACTAGACACGTGTGCCCTGGATCGCGATATCAGAGAACTTGCTGAAGGCGATCAGCATATGTGCGGGTTGAATGGCGTGTCTGTTAGCGGCGGACAGAGAGTTCGTATTGTATGCGCAACAACCAACTGATTAGAAGTGACGCTTGGGTTTGCTAACTTGTTTACGCAGGCTTTAGCCCGAACATTGTATTCAAGAGCAAATATTGTAATCCTTGACGATTGTTTCGTGGGATTGGATGGGCGCACAGAGAAGCATGTGCTCGACAAGCTCTTCGCGTCGGATGGCATCTTGAGTTCCCGGGCGACAATCTTGGCTACAAGTTCACGTAAGCTAGCCCAACTCGCATTGCCCAGTTATGCCCAGAGACTAATATTTTAGCAGCGAGATACCTTTCCCTGGCAAACCACGTTATCACTATCGACGCCAACTGCAATGTTGTACGAGAGGGACAATACATTGATGTAGGGGAGTACACAGGCGTCGACCAAATTGAGCAAATGGAATTACAACAGCAGAACGCCGCACTGGAATCTCATCGAGAGGACGATTCTGAGCTCTTGAGAGTCGCAAAGGACGTCAGCGACACCACTAACAGCGGCGACCTGGCTGTGTACCAATGGTATTTCCAAGCTGCCGGCAAGCGAAACTTTGCCCTGTTCCTCATTTTGTGCTCGCTTTTCGTCGTTGGATCGACCTATCCCCGTATGATATTTCCTCCATTTCCCCCTTTCTCAGTCCTAGATAACTCCATGACCGATAGATCAAATGCTACCGATCCAGACATGTTTTACGAAACCGTATTGCTGACTATACTGGTGCACAGAGATCTTTTTAAGAAGCTGGACAGAAAAGACCCTCCAAGGCCAGAAATCAACTGTCAGTAGCTTTTACGGAGTCTTATTCGGTGTAGGCTCAATGGCGTGGCTCGGTTTCTACGGCGCCTGCATCTGGCTATTTTTGCAGATGGCGGTCCGAGTAGCGCGTTCATTCCACACAATGCTTCTTGAAACAATGCTCAAGTTTGTCTAACCATTCTTTTCTTCTTCCTCTCTGTCTGCTATTACTAACGTCTCGGCAGTGCTTCAATGGATTTCTTTGCCACAAATGATAGTGGGCGCACTCTCAACAGGTACGTGTCAGGCTAAAGCTGAAGGAAGAAAAAGTAGCATGACATGAACGAAGCAATATAGTGACTGACACTGGCATGGGCAATAATAGATTTAGTCAAGATTTGCAGATCATCGACATGGAATTGCCCCTAAGTTTCATCGGAACGGCCATTTCTACTCTTACCGTGATTGCTCAGTGTGTGGTTATTATTGTGGAATCACCCTGGACCGGATTCGCCGTGCTCGGTCTCGCAATTGTTCTACTTTTCGTTTTCCGCGTTTATCTGAGGTCAACACGAAGACTCCGGTATTTGGACATTGAAATGAAAGCACCAGTCTTATCGCTCTTGATAGAATCCATCGACGGACTTGCTACCGTCCGCGCTTTTGGCTGGATCGAGTGGTATGTGCGAAGAGGGCTCAAGGTCTTGGGCCAAGCGCAAGTACCTTTCCACCTCCTTCAGACAGCTCAAGTCACTTTGAACTTGTGGCTCGATCTCCTCGTTGCGATGCTGGGTATAGTGGTCACTTCTATTGCCGTGGGGACTCACAGCTCGAGTGGCGGCAGTCTGGGTCTCGCCTTGCTAAACATTGTGGGACTCGGGCAGTCAGTGAGAATTGTCGTCCACTTTTACACCTCTCTCGAAATTACCCTTGGTGCCGTGGCCCGCATCCGGGACTTCGTCTTGCAGACCGAGTCAGAAAATGCTGGGCGGCAAGAGCCGCCTCCTGAATGGCCACGAATTGGATCTATCGAGATTCAGAACGTCAACGTCTCACATTCGTAAGTGCTACATATTTTCAATAAAGCTATCACACCAAAGTAGTTACCTAATGTACTTAATAGGAGCTCTCTCCCGCCCGTCATAGAGGGATTCGAACTGAACATCGCGCCCGGCTCCAAAGTTGCGATCTGTGGTCGCACTGGAAGGTATGTTTATTATAAACCGGCTCCCACCAACTATAATGATAAAGATGCTTATTCAATTTTCATTTACATTTCAACAGCGGCAAGAGTACATTGTTAAACTCGCTTCTTCAGCTCGTCCACGTCTCAGCTGGTACCATCCTGATTGATGGCGTTGACATTGCGACGCTCCGCCCCAAAGATATCCGGACGCGCCTTGTGACTCTTCCCCAAGAAACTCTCAAACTCTCTGTGAGCATCCGTCAATATGCAAAGGTTTACGGTATCTCCAACGACAAGGACATTATCCGTGGGTTGACTGAAGTCGGTCTTTGGTCCATCGTTGAGCGGATCGGTGGCTTAGATATGCTCCTCACCGATGACAGCCTTTCTCATGGTCAACGGCAGTTGCTTGGGATGACTCTGGCGTGTCTCCAACGAGGCAAGATTGTTTTAATGGATGAGCCAACGAGCCAGTAAGCAGTTTATTATACAACAGTTGTCCCCTTCCACTTCAAAAATCAGCATGCTAACCATATATTCACTCAGCGTCGATGTTAATATCCAATCACAATTCCACCGCGCCATCTTCAATACCTTTTCAGAAAGTACTGTCGTGTGCATTACGCATCAGGTAGACACAATCCTCGACTTTGACATTGCAATTGTGTTGGATCGCGGCAAGATCGTCGAGCACGGGAGTCCAAGAGCGCTGCTAAATGAAGAGAATTCTAAGCTGAAGCAGCTGTACTCCTTGCAAAAAGCGGAGGCTGTCATGGTTGAGAAATTATCTGATAGCGATATACAAAATGAATAGTTGGTAGCGTCTCATTTGTATGGAAGCTTGTCATGGCTCAGCGCCGTGATTTGGCCCTCTTACATGGCAGCGAACCGGACACGCCAACAACGATCCATCGACAATTCAAGGCGATAACAACCTCTCTTATATCACATGAATTGGTACAAGATCATTGCACCTCTCAAATGACCCAGTTCCACAGTTTCATGTCCGTGCCAACTTGGATGCCTGTCGCAGCTACATTAACGGTCAGATCGAGGGCACCTACTGGCAGGTGACCTGGACTACAACGTTGCAAACTCAATCCACTGAAAAAAAACATATCATTCGCATTTGTAATAGGTTGCTACTAATAGATCATCATGTTTTTGTCGACCTTTGTTGCATATACTTTGTGTCAATTGTCAATATCAGCATCTCCTACTTTTGTTTCCTTTTCAGCTTTACTAATCAGCGAGTGGTTATTGTCTGTTGTCGTTTGCATTTAGTTATATTTCCTTATTAAGATGAGAATAACCTGTAATAGATGTTTACAGAAAGTTTAGAAAAAAAAAAAAAAAGTACGGCGCTCATAGATTCTACTAATATATAATTGTTTATGTATCCTATAGGCGAACCTGCTTCTAAGATCTATATTGCAAGATGTGGCTGCTTGTTTTGTCATAATCTTATTAACATACCTAATAGCTTATAGAGAAGCAAGCGACTAAGATGCGATCGCTTTTTTAGGGGCTTGAAATAGTGAGGGCTGGTATTAGGTGGGAGTGTTATGCAGCTTAACGCTTCTAGTTCTTATGACACGACGGATAGGCAGACGTGGATAAACAACAGACAGGGACACCAATCATACCAGTCTGGTTTAAAACGCAAGAAATTTAGCTTTCCTGATTTCTTGTCAAGCCTAACTTCGGAAATGTGTTCATTTCTGTGCTCTACTTGGATAGTTTAGCCAATAGCTATTAATCAGGTACCCGATCCTATTACAGCACGAATCGCACCTGTGACAAATATTGACTCAAATCTTAATCCGCCAATATAAAGCTAGAGCTTAGGTGTATCTGTTGGGGATTCTTGGTGATACCAATTTACAAGAACGCAGTTCGCTACTGAGAGCTTTTACTATTGCCACAAAAATATTTTGGTCGACTACGTTGGCCTGTAAATTGTACGCTGACTCGACAAGGACACATCTTAGCTGCTAGTCAGCCAATGTCTGCTGGCTCAATCGCGATCCTACTGACCCAAATCATTTACTAAGGGAGTACGACTAAGGTAACAGAAAGCAGCTGAGGCTACGACGCGATAAAGAAGTCTACTATTTATGCCTTACAGCGATCCGTTCTCTCAGTTTAATATGTATCGCCTCCTCTGCAATACTTAAGAGACAATAGTCTCGGCGTGAAACGAGACACAAAACACCATGCGCCGTGCTTTGTTGCTGACAAAGAAGGTACAAAATCTTGCTTCATTAGGTACTATAATCAGTAAACGGAGTTTACAGAAATTACCATACCTGGATATATTCTAAAAGCGACTGTAAATACTCAGTTACCAAATTCCAGGCCGTTTACCCTGCATATTTCCATAATAATACAGAGTGCAGCTGAATAATTCAACGCTGAATAATTGATCGTTCTACTACGTATGATGCACAGATGCTGAGACCGCACATCTATACCTATTATGGGCCATTACAGTTTTCCCTTCATTACCTTGTTACGACTTACGACTTATAATCTATTAATCGGCAAGTAAAGGGCGTGGGTATGAGGGATAACCATATTTGGAAAATGGATTGAAACATCCCTAGCCATTTGGCATGAGTTTTTTTTGAATGGATGGATAGAATGACAAACGTGTATACACGTCGAGGTTCGAAATACCATCTTTGGAAAATCTATATATCTAATGGAAATGCAATTTTATATAGCCAGAAAACCTAGAGTGTAAACCGCGTGGTCTATTCTCTTACCTACCTCATCAAGCCTCCAGTTATCGTTTGCGTTCCATACAGTCTAAAAAAATTCTTTCTAAACCTCATCATGAGAAAGAATGTCGATTCTCTTGTAGTTGGGGCAGGGTTCAGTGGAATTTATCAACTATATAAACTCCGTGAGCTTGGATTGTCAGTCAAACTTGTTGAGGCTGCTCCTGAAGTCGGAGGAACATGTGGTTGGAATCGATATCCCGGTGCAACGAGCGATACGCATAGCAAGGTCTACCGCTATAGCTGGGACAAAGAGGATCTGTTGACTTACCCTTGGACGAATCGCTACCTGCCCCAAGCCGAAATACGGCTTATTTAAAGCATGTAGTTCGACGGCACAATCTAGTCAAAGACATCGAGCTAAACACTCGTATGGAGTCTGCGCAGTACATGGAGGGTGGGTGGGAAATACGCTTATCAACTGGCGAAAGCTTTCGATCAAGATACCTCGTCACTGCACTGGGTGCTCTATCAAAGGCTTATTTTCCTCGGATTCCTGGTCTAGACAGCCTTGCTGGCGAAACGTATCATACAACGTAAGCTTCTTCCTTTTTTTTCTTCCTGAGGAATTCGTCAGAAAGTGTCAATTGCTAATGGTCCCTTTTCATCTTAGTGCCTGGCCAGCTAAACATGATTTCTTTAATAAACATGTCGGCGTCATTGGGAATGGTTCCACTAGTGTACAACTCATAATTACACCTGCAGGCCACTCTAAGCCGCTAATCCCATTCCAACGACATCCATAGCATGTTATTCCCAATAGCGACGACAAAGTCACAGAGGAGAACCGAAAGCGAATCAATGATAACTACGGCCAAATATGGCACAATCTACGGACCAATCTCTCGGGCCATGCTATTATAGAGTCATCAATCCCGACAATGAGCATTACTGCCGAGGAGCGTGAACGGGTCTTTGAACAAGTACAGCAATCAGGCAACGGAATAACGTTCTTATTCAGCACATTCGGAGATATTGCTATCAATGAGGAGGCGAACAGTGAGGCCTCGTATTTTATCCGCAGGAAGATTGCCCAGATTGTGAAAGACCCTGTCCAGGCGCGCAAGCTGACTCCTCCCGGTGGATTTAATCGCCGACCGGTCACAGCCAACGGGTATTATGAGACTTTTAATTGGGACAACGTCGATGTCGTTGATGTATTGGATACTCCAATGGAGATTACACCAACCGGCATTAAACTTTCAGACGGTACCAAGTATGATTTAGATGCTATTATCTTTGCTACTACTTTGAAGCCGTTGACGGCATGTATCACGATGTCTCAATTACTGGACGAGAAGTGCTGTCGATGCATGACCATTGGGCAGATGGCACTAAGATGCCGGTTTCCCGAACATGTTCCTAATTAACGAACCTCAAGGACCTTTGACCAATGTTCCAGCTCTCATCGAGACTCAGGTGGAGTTCGTTGCAGGGCTTATTGCCACTGAGGAAGCAGAGAAGAAAAAGAGATTAGGTGACCGCGAAACTGCTCAGCAGCCGATCATCGAAGTTATTCAAGAAGCTGAGGATGCATGGCTAGAACAGACTAACGCAATTGGCGAGTCGACTGTATTTGCAAAAGGAGGGTCAAGGCTCACTGGAGATAACGCTGAGGGCAAGAAACACAATTTCCTCTATTATATAGGAGGGGTAGTCAATTACAACAAAGCTGTGCAAACGGAGATAGTAGGAGGACATCCCAGCTTTAAACCGTTCTTCTGATATATCAATCGCAGTACTGAACAATAAATGTGTTGTGGACAAAATACAACTTGGCATTTAGTGGTAGCTTGTCATAGCATAATAATGCGTCTTTGCCTCTCCTAGATGTAAACTCGGTTCAATACTATAGAGAAGACGTTAGGTTGATAATAGGACGAATAAAAGCTGGATATCTAGTTTAGCGTTAACTGCGAAGGCAATCTCTATAAAGACTACAACCGTCGCGGGGCGATAAAGCGAGAGCCTCACGTACGCTTGGAGCAAGTACACCTAACATCATGCAGCCTCTTCTGGTCACATCAATGCCGCAGACAGTGGGGGGCAATAAAAGGCGGCTAGCACTGTTTCATAGGGCCAGAGAGAGATGCGACAGAAACGCGCCATAACGACATGAATATAAATATATATATATCCATAGAATATATTCCCTATCGTAGGCGTGCTCTGTATACTGAACCTGTATTACAGAAGCCGTAAAACTGATCTGGACGAACGGAGCCGCAGGCATCTGCCACTCAATTCTCTGTGTGTAGGTTATTGAGTATATCTTGCCCACTCTTTTGAAATGCCTGTCGCTGACTCCTTCTTCTTCGATCGCGATGAAGCGGTCATAGCGGCTTTCAAAGTCAGACAATGCGATCATGTATTGCCCAAGCTGAATCGCTGCGCGAGGACGCGCTCGAACATGCTCGCACACCCCCCCAAAAAAAAAAAAAAAAAAAAGGTGGCAAACAAGTGAATATCGTTGCGACGCGCGTTACTGCCATGACGTTCTTAATTAAAGACCTCTTTTCATGTTGTTCATGCTTACAATCCATTGCTGATGGTCTACTCCGTACTCCGTAGATAAATGAACAAATCTCCACAACGGCTGCGCCTCCGTGGCCAATTTTCTTAGCATCTCACGTCACTGCGGGGACAAACGCATTATTATCTAATAAATTCTCGTGTGCAGTCGAGGCTCCTCAGAAGTGAATCTAATAACATGGCAAGCTCATAGACACGATGAATGGATCTTCTAGCATAATAAATCAGGTTGGCAGATGCATCGAGCCGTTAGAGCATTTAGAGCAATGCATCGAAGGAACACGGTGTCAGCAAGAGCGTGGTGGCAACTAATGTTATTCCTAGCTCTTTGCATGCAGGCATTAATATACGCATGAGCATCGGAGACTGAAAATACTGTATTGGCCTCTATTTTAAACAGTCTTAAGTGGCGGAGAAGGTTGAATCTCCAGCTAAGTTCTGACGACGTGTCTACAATCCTTACACTCTCGTTGCGTTTTTTCCCTTTTCACGGAGTACTTCTGTATACGATAGCACAACAGACCCACACTCAATTCGTTTCTAGTTATATCTTCATTCTTCTATTCTTTCGGACTTCCTTTCTCCATCAAATTTTTTTGCCGTCATGGTTAGTGCTGTGTTGCTTTTGAAAGGTTACCAGACAGACGAAAGATATGTGCCCACTTGTTTGTTGCAGATTCCTTATGGAGGCAGTGTCTAACCAATCGTGCATCTAGCTTAACTTATCCCCTCCTAACAGTGGAAGTGACTACTCGATTCATTTTGCAGGTTACTCTTTGAGAATCTCGGATCCTTTTTCTTCAATCGGTCGCAAAAAAATGTGTCATAATCATGCGATGATCACCCAAATTCAGAACTAGGCTTAGAAGGGTGCTCCCCGAACTTCGCGTTACGATCTGGTCCCTCGAAACAAATTAAATCCCTTGTAAGCAGCTGGTTCCGGCACAGTATTTGCTACAAGTACGGCTATTGGTCTAATCTATTGCCCTGTTTGGCTCAACGGTATGACGGATCGTTACATTTCGTCTTAGCTTTGGCTTTCTTCTGTGATACAAGAGCTCATGAGTATGCACATTATCGAGGAAAGAATCTAAAGTATCTTCATAGAATATCTTCCTAGAGTACGACTTGAATGAAACATCTACTTTTTTTTTCTTTTAGTTTGCAGGGCAAGTTTAACCCGATCTGGATTTATTGATGGCTTCTTTTAAATTGCCACTTACTCAAACGCTTAGTTGCCATGTTCTAGAATGTCGGGGTAGCCTAGGCCGACGCTGATCGACGGCCCATCCCATAGTGGCCTCCGCTCGGGAAATTTACTCCGTATAAGATTCTAGAATGTCGGGGCTAACACCGTTTACCATGCCACCCTCTTGTATAAGCAGTAATAAAAGCCGCATCAATAAAAATCACAAATGCAATGCAGTGTAGATTCAGATTTTGACAAGGAATTAGCATGAATGGGAATTCTTTTTTTTTTTTTTTTTTTTTTTTTTAAAAAAAAAAAATCAAAATGAACTAAAGAAATAACTTAGCCATTAGACCTATTTACAGACAAAAGAGGGCATTTACTATTTCGAGGATAAATTTAATACCTATAGTAGTACGGAGTAGGTAGTTCATAAAGCAAGGAGGCGGATACTTTTATGTAACAATAATAATTAGTGGCTTTTAGCGCTCTCCAAATTGCGGTTGCCTGTTCTAATTGCAATATAATTGCAGAAGGTATAAGCTCCAGCTTCAACGGAGGTTGCATCAGCGGTTGTTACTTATTAGCCTGCAGCTGTTTCCTACTAGTAGCATCATGCTTTTGAATCCTATAACTGCAAGTATGGGCTGATTAAAGCCAAGTAAGTCTTCTTCAGCCCATGTCACTTAAAGTTTAGTAATACTGACAGAGGCTCCACCACCCTCTTCCCGCTTCGCCAAGAGGGTGAGAACTATTGCGCCGCATCTGATATGCAAGTCAATAGCAGCAAACCAACTTTTCTTTCTAACTGAACTTGGTTGGATTTTCTGATTCCTGTAACTATGTCAAATATTATTCTATAATGCAATAGATAGATCGACTAGATCTGAAAGAACGAATAGAAGCAGCCGGAATGAAATCTTCGGATTCCCATAGATACTATAAATAGAACGAAAGTTATAATTGAAAGTTGTCTGTCGTATTGTAATGTTCTAGCCTAATTATCCCTGACCTTTTGAATCAGGCATTTTTCTCCAAGTCCACATTTTATCGAATGTTAACAGGAAAATCCGGCCATAAATATGCAATTCTTTATGAATCGGGACAGCTGAAACTTCTTGATCTGTATACAAGGGAAAAATTGCGAAGGTTCCACTTAAAAGGCGCAAAGTTGTTATTAGCGGCTGAGCCGTTGTGACCGAAGGAACGCCGCTACTCGGGGTGTCATGGTGCTACAGTAAAGTCTCTTACCAATCATCAAGCTTTTTGAAGAGCAGATTTTATGTAACACCTAGTACTAATGCAAAGTGATCCTAGCAGTCAAATAATCATGTTGTATTCATGGATTCTTTTTATGTATTTGCTCCATGTGCAGTAAGCCTAGAGGATTTGGAATGTTCGGATGAAAAGAAATATTAATACCCCCCCTCCCAAAGCACGTTTCCTCTTCTCATTTTCTGTGTTAATCACAAAGGCGATTACTCTAACATTATATCTTGAATAATCTTCCAAATTCTGTCTTCTACTCTTAGCATAAAGCTTCAGAACAAGCTTTATATATCTCCATCATGACAGTCGTCCCGAACATCGCCAGCGAAAGGAACGTCGTTGTTCTTAAAGCAAAACGTCATAAGATAGACACTTTAGATTATTCAAGTGGTATTCAATATGAATACCCTGAGATATCCCTTTCTACTGATAGCACCCCTTTGGTGAAGCCCACAAAAGAGTCCAAACACATACTTATTTTAGGGGGCGGCGTGAGTGGGCTGTTAATTGCCTGGATGCTCTTGGACGAAGGATACCGTGTCACCATCATTGCTGATGACTGGGCCTGGACTAAGGATTTCGAAAAGTCTCGGATGGCGTCTCAAGTTGCAGGGGCTCTATGGGAATTCCCTCCCGGTGGATGTGGGTTGACTGAGATTGAATCGCCGGGCAAAGGCTGGGCTGCTATTGAGCATTATCGAGAATGGGCTCTGCAGAGCTATGAGTTTTACGAGAAGTATGAGCAAGTGTTCAACACCTATGAAAGGAACGGTGGATCTTTTGGTTTGAAATTCACCCACCTCCACCAGTTCTTTTTGGACGACCTGTCTCAATTGAAGAAGGATGATCCCAATTATGAAGAGGCTCTGAAACTACAGGAGATAGAGAAGAGCCCGCTCAAGAAGGATGTGAAGAAATATAGCAGGACGACGGAAGCAAAGAAGTCGGAATGGAATAAACAATTCGACAAAGTCATCGAGCCAAGCTTGAATGGGCAAGAACTCAAGAGCGCATACAGCCACAGAGCGCCCATTGTGAATACAGACAAAGCAATGGCATATCTTATGGCGGTGGTTACAGCCAAAGGAGCAAGCATGGAAACGCGAAAAATCGAAAGCGACATCAGGCATGAGCTTGGCTTACAACTATTGAGAGACCATGGGGCAGACGCCATTGTGAATGCCACTGGTCTCGGTGCCAAGACAGTGGCGGCTGATGACGATGTTTTTCCCGTCCGCGGAGCTGTTCGGCGCGTTGAAAACACACACAAGGGTTCATTTAGACATCTAAACGATGCATATTTGGTTCCTGCGCAAAAGGATAGCAACCATCATCCTACCAAGACGGTTTTCATTGTCCCTCGCAATGACGACGTTTTATATGTCGGATCAATTGTGCAGCCCAATATCAGTACAAAAAATCTTACTCCAGAGTCACCAGAGGTCCAGATGATGTGGAACAGAGCGGGTTCCTTTGTTAAGAATCTGCTACATGCTGGATTTGTTCCCCAATATGAATTTGCACAGGGCCTTCGACCTTTTACTAAAAGGAATGTCAAAGTGAGGGCTGATGAAGTGGCAACCTTTCCGCTAATTCATAATTACGGGCATGGAGGATCCGGCTGGACTCTAGGTGTTGGTACTGCTCGATGTGCTGTGCTTATTTTGAAGAAGCGCTTGGAAGGAATACCGGCAGCTGTCATTAACGAGGAAATTTATGGATAAGCCGTAACTGATCTGCATATCAATACATAACAACATGTATTATCGCATTCTAGATATAAAGCGATTAGGATTTATTAGGCACAAAATAAGAGTGACCTATGCTGCAAAGCCAAGATACAAGATATCTCGGACGTTTTTTGCTATAATTTGCAATGTTATAACCTAGGCTACCCAGAAATACTACACTGAAATTTGGGATAAATGTTCTTTTAAACTTCATGGGCGAGTATAGTTCCTTTTTCTCTTGTTGCCATCTTCACAATACTTACTATTACGTCAATACACATGCAGTAACTGTCACACGCAGAAGTTTCATTTACACTGTTTGGACAGGATAGCTCCGCTTATTTCACAAATTCAGATTATAAAATACATGGCTTGTATTTTTAACAGTTAAGTTACTCGAATTCATGTTAATATGCTTCCATTGGCTATTTATTTGTGCATAAACAAAAGCAATGAAACACATTAGCTTGAGTAATGAATTTATCTTATGAGACAGCTATGTAAGCCTTTGATAGGAGAAAGAGCAGTTCTCATGTAGCCGAAAACAATATATTGATAATTTTATTCATTTAAAGAGGATCGGTGCATCTTAACAGGTTTGACGGAGTTTCGGGATATATTATAATGCAAGTGTTAATATAGTCAACGGTCATCAACTAACTTGGTGAAAGCAGCCTGATAGCTAAAAGCGACGCAAGCAATGACTCCAGGGTGTTTTGTTTCAGTTATATTGTAATATCCTATAAGTTTTACACAGAAGAACAATACCTGTTGCAGAGTCCATTAGCCTGTCTGGGAGATCAGTATCAGGCAAGTTGAGCTGAGACATTGTATAAGGTCTTAGTGATATATTCACTGTTGGTATCCCTCATATGCAGCTGTGTGGAAACAAATTCCCACACGAATACAATTTGGCTATGGATCTTTCGGAGCCGAACTAATCAAATATCACAACATTACCACTTTCTGGCCTTTGATGAAGATTATTATATGCTGACATCACTATTCTATTGCCGACTGGAGAGGCTACTGTAGAAGCCGGTTTCAGATTAGGACCATTCAAGTCAAATCAAGCAGAGTACATTGGCTAGTATCGCTATGTAGATGAAAAAGGATTACGATCATAGAAATATTTTGTACTATCTATCTTCAGACAGGCGCACTGCAAGAAACTTGACCATTCGCTCTCTGTTGTCCGATCTCTTGCGCGAAGACGGTTTATTTCAAGAATTCTGATGCCCCTCTCAATTTAGTCACCTCCACCCACCGATCAACTCCTACCCTTGATAGTGATCACCTTTTGAAGGTATAATTTATAGGCACTGAGAGTAGTATGAATTTCCCACCTTGCAAGTTCCCGATGAGCAGCATGTAGGGCCATTCCAGCCAATGCCACCGCACTGACCATACAGAGCAGAGCAGCTGCCTGTGGGACCGGAAGAAGGTGCCGATGAGGTTGGGGTTCCAGTGTTTCCATTTCCACCATTGGAGACTTGCTGCGACGCGGATCCGCTGCCGCTCCAGCTCTCGACGGCGATTACTTGGAAGTTCATGGTACCGAGATTCAAACCAGCCTTAGCCCACGCGTCGAAGTGGTTCTGAATAGTGACAGTGCCGCTGCTCCGTGGTGAGCTTCGGATAGAAATGTACTGGTTGAAGGTTGCTGTGCCCACAATGGAAGGCTCATTGACGCGCTGGTTCTCCCAGATAGCATAGGTGCCTCCGTCACTGGTGAGCGTACCCTTTTGCGAGCCACCCGTAGAGATTCCAACGTTAGTCTCCATGACGTAGTACTCGACAAGGGGGTTTGTAGTCCATCCGTAGACGGAAAGGCTGCCAAGACCGCTAGAGACATTGAATGTGCCTGAGTAATTGATAGGACTATGATATTCAAATCATCTGATTAGTGTCACAAATTGGTGGAAGATAAGAGCAAATGGGAGTAATAGAATAGATATTTGATATCCACATACAGGTTGCTACCAGGGTTCCAGCCTACACCAACAACAAAATCTTCCTGAGTGTTCCAATTAAGGTTGAAACCAGTGGTTGACGGTGAGAAGTTCACTGTCCCACCGGTGGTATAGTCCTGGTTGTAATTGATAGCTGAGCGACGAGCAAGAGGATGATCAGGCCCAAGGAAGAAGTTATGCGGGCCTCGTGCCTCAACGTTCCTATCGGCAACATCCGCAGGAGCCGCGAGTGAGGCCGTGACGGCTGAGAGGCCGGCAACAAAGCGAGAAAAGGCAACCATTTTCGTTTATTATCAAGTCTGAATGGCTACAAGGTAAAGGGTTAGTGAGTTAGAAGCACAAGACGGCCACATCAGCTTCACGGGAGGCTTATATACTTGTTATGAATCAATACAATACGCGTTATCGTAGGTAAATTATTATATATTCCCCTTTTCGTTTTACCCAATAATACAGCCTTCGCTGCTTACTGACACATGCATGGGTAGTAGTAATTCTGCCACTTCATCAGCCTGAAATCATTTCATCTCCGTTAATCCGGGAAGATAGTATAATTCGGGACTATAACGCCTTTGGTTAATAGGTATTGAGAGCAAGGTGAGTTATTATTATTACTATTAATGTTTGTTTGTTTGCGTTAATCATTAAATCTGTGGAGAACATGGGATACCAAAAGCCTTGAAAAGCATGACATACTGATAGGGCCAATATTTGGGCCAAAGAGCATCGCAGGTTCAAAACATCTTAGTCTTAGGGTGCAAATTACTTACCGCTTGGGGCAACATATCGAGCTTGGCGCGGGGTAAATTCATCTATACATCTCATTTTTGCCGTGCCGATTAAAATGTAACCTAAACAACGGCTAACCTCTGCTGACAACACGCCACACAAACTCCTGTGGTTAGACGGGGCGAGAATTCTACATCGCCAGTAAACAAAATAGCCTTACAGTTGGATAAAAATCATTCCCCTCTCTCCCTGAATATTGTTATTATCCTTATAGATGTCGATAATCCTGATATCTAAGCTAGCACGCCCCCTAGTAGGTAGGCGTTTGCAAAAGTCAATACTGCGGCTTTTTCCCATTTTTAAATGTTTTTGCTACATAATCTACGAGCCTATATATGGCACAGCACCTTTTAGTGCCTAGATTGCCATGCAATGTTAGCTAGTTTCTAAATCGTAAGCATATAAATTGGATTGCATAAAATTTACAGGCAGTACCATAACTCCTTGATATTCCGGCCGTATTACAATCGGTGGGTAAAACACAATGCCCCGCTCTTACCCAAGTCATTGTTGTCATCAACACATGTTTTCAGGTCCTACCGCTGCTACGATAGATCTGCTCAATATGCTAGTATATACATGTACTATGTAATCATGCACCTACCCCATATATTCCAAGAAATTGACATTTCGGAATATTTGTAGCCGTAATTGATCGCCCTGTAGCTCTTCTTGGTATTAATGTGTGGAGAGCCAAGTCCTTGGTATTTCAAACTAGGTAGCACCCCTTCTGCTCGTTGGAGCATATGCAGCCCTGATTCGTTGCGTGGGTTTTTTCGCGCGGCGGTATTATTCCCGCTACTTTTTTTTCTTCACGCAATGTATTTCATGCACACTTTCGCTATTTTTGGGGAGTAGTATAGTCACACCCTCATAAAAAACACACCTCGTGCATAGGAGGAGATTTTGAGCTGGAGTAGCGGCTAAGTTGATCCTATTTAACCAGTTTACCCGTTTTAGAAAGCTGAAACTGATGGCTATTTTCATAACATACCTTTTCTTATTGTCTTCTCGGCTAACCCTCTGGCAACTGACAATGTGATCTCGAGAACTGCACCCTAACTTCTCCAAGCCTACACGCAACTCATGCATTTCGGGCACGCGACCATTATATACAAGAGACTAAATCAGAGTCTACCGTCGCAATACTTTTTCGCAACATTAAAGTAACTCTTTACCAATATTGTATTAATTGCATGTTAATAAGTGGGAGCAATTGCGCATCGGTCCTTTTAGTTTCACACTGCTATATTGTCTCCCCATGAGCGATAGATCAGCAGAGATTACATGCCTTTTTCGTATACTTTAGCAGTTTCTGCATTACCGGGAAGAAGAAATCAGATTGAGTGGTATGAGGGACACCAAAGAATATGATTCAGGTCCTATCAATTTTAGGCTAATATTTAGATATGCAAGATTCGCCGTGGCTAAGCAACCTAAGTTTCATCCCGCCTATGTTGCTATTTTTCTTTTTTTTTTTTTTAAGAATGGAAGCTGTTACTATTAACAAGCTGCTGCAAAGGGCGGTTCCTGGCTAGAGATGGAGAGAGAATCCTGTTTAAAAAAGGAAAGATATTCACGAAAGTTGGAAATCAATAAGAGTTTATCAAGTTGTTTAAATTTAAAATAACGTAATACATGTTAGACACCGATAAAAATATTAACCGTTTGTTATTACCTACCGAATTCTATAGAGTTCTTCTAGAGGTGAGGTAGTCATGAAGTTGCTGATCCCATGGGCTATTAATATATGAGAAGTTCCAGAATATCGATATCACATTTGAGACACACAACAAAGTGCTATATTGGACTAGTCTGGTGTGTGCATTGTAAATAAAACTTTTATCGTAGCTATATATTTATAACTCCTGTTCACAAATCACCTTTGTGTGTTCCTGTATGGCAAAGTTGCTTGTGAGTGCTCACTGTGGCAACATTCTCGGCTAAATTTAGAGTTACAACAGGACGATGGGGTATAACTGTTAAATACACAAGATATTCTACCCCCCTCTGAATTGAACCAATGCATAACGAATACTAAGAATGAGCAATCTCTTCAGCTATATCAGTAGATACAAGTTATATGCTTTTTGAAGCTATATTATTCATCGTGCAAGCTCAACTTAAGATCATTCACAAGCCCCATGGTAACTCTGCTTCCAAAGTACGAGTTGCATCCCCGTCATAACCCACCTTTTTCATCCATTGTTTTAAGCTTCTGATTCTGCCGGGATAGATTTCGTCTGGCAAAGCGTAATCTCTCCCTGCAAAGCCCAAGTTTAGTATTCTTTCCAGAATTCTGGTATATCTTCCACCACGCAGAAAAGTTTTGTTCAAAAGTTAGCAGGGATGAGTCATTTGGAGATGTCGAACTCCCCATCCTATGTTGTGTAGCACTCTCCGGCAACCCAGTTTATTGAAACCATTCTTCAATCGTAACGTTGGTAGTACGGCCCAGTACACACAACAGACCATTTCATAGGGCTTTGTGGCAGGCATGACATCCAGCGTCTGACATGATCCTTACCATAGTAGTGGCCGCATCGAAGAGCGTCGTCAAACTTTGTCTCTAGAGCATAATGGTCGAGAGACGACCATACATAGTGCTTGACACGACTTTACATAGTAATTTCGAATATTCGAATGACCCCGTACAATTCGTTTTTTATTCCCAGAGAAAAACTATTAAGGTTGACAAAAGCGTAGTCCACGCCTGCAAAGGCAGAGTGTAGAGCAGTCTCATCAGTAGGCCGGCCGGTCACAAATTGAACATTGGGGACAATGTCCCGAAGTTTCTTCGAGTGCTCTGAATTTTCATTACTACTGAGCACACGAACATGGTATCCATGCTGGCTCAGTCCCGTAGAGATTAGTGGAAGTAGGATGCCCCCTTTTGCGGTGAAACTTACCCTGCACAACAGGCACACCTTGTGCGCCGTTTCCCCCAATCACTAGAATCGTTTTTGTAGTCATGTCGTTCTTATTCATAGATGTAAGAAATGATACATCGTTCGATACCTGCGAGCCACGTTTACTTTAGATCTATTGCGTCTGGATAATATTCCTACAAAGGATAACCGAAATGAGAATATTTATATATCTAGAAGTTGCCCAGTAAGGTTAGTATCGGGCGTGTCATTGTTTACAAAGTGTTGCTAAGCGGGATACAGACATGTATTAAGAAGAGGACAGTGGTTTAGGGATAGCATATCTGGTATACAAGCAAGGTTTATTTAATATCTAAAATACAGGGACTTATACGTAGAAGTATTATAAAATTTATGCACTATTACAGCACTTGCATACTAAATTACGTAAAATACGTATTTATTCTATTACAGCGGTTTGACGAGGTTTCGCAGTCTACCTTCTGGGTAAGGAAGGAAGCTAGGATTAATAGTTAAGCCGGGCCTTGTTTAGGTAGTTGCATACAAGTAGGATACAAAGAACAATATTCTCTTTACTAGGCAAGAAAAACAAAAGGCCTAGAAGTTTGCTATGCAAAATAACCCCTAACTAACCTATAGCAACAACCTCTTGAAGCCTTGGTTACAGTTTAGCTCAACATCCCTAAACCAATTTAAAACTAAATTATACCTCAATAGTCCTCTGGGAGTTATCTCTTTTTGCCTTTTGATAGCCAAGACATGCTATAGGTGTGGGTCAAGGGAGAGATAAACAGGGATTCTTTGACAGCTGGGCTGGGTCGGACTTTGTGGTCAAAGACAAAGGAATTTATCACTGACTAAGACAGACGATAACGAAGTCATGCATGCATACCACGTGGCTCATGATAAGGCTGTTGAATGTGACGAAAGAGCCAAAGGATCTGATGATGCCAAAGAAGAAGAACAAAAATTAGTGCGAACACTCACAGAATTTAACTATGCATCGTATTGGCGAAAAAAAAAAAGCTACTATGGCTGTGCGTGCAGTTACGCTGTTGTATGCTGCTGCTCTAATTACTAGTCCCTGTTGATCTGCAGACAGCTTGCGAGCCTGTGGTCGAGACTAGGCATATCGCCAAGAGAGGTTGAACAAAATGGACATATATCTGGGTCTCCGTTAATAGGTTGAGAGCACATATGCTATATGGACTTCTCTATGTATATTGAATTTTTTTTTTTTTTTTTTTTTTTTCCTTTTTTAGATCCTGAGCTTTGCGCAGATCGTCGACCCCTTTTGGCTATAGCTAATTCGCAATCAGGGAGCTAGCTTCGATCCGAAGAGCGGTTGAGAGCCTTGTATAGGGTTTATGCGACTACCTAATACCCCGCAACTACTCAATCGAAGTATAAACAAGCCGAACAAAGCGAATTGACACTGTATGCTATGTTACAATGCAGTATAATAACGACTACTTCGGAGTTTGTCTAGGAGAAATATGTAAAAGTAAACCCAGGTTTATTAATCAGTTTTAGTGAGGTGCTCAAAAAGGTGTAACAGTTTGAAGATCCAAGTAACCAAAAACAAAGCAGAGAAACTTTTACAAATATCGGGGTTTGGCACGAGTAATGTCTCTGTCCGTGGTAGCCGTAGCCAATTTGACGCCTAAAATAGAAAAGGGTGCTGTGTAAGGAGTACATGTAATGGCCACGAATGGCTGCGTGTATTTCAATGGTGGTCAAAGTACTCTGTAGCTTGGCATGGGTTAGTCTCTGTGCTAGTTGGGCGCCTAATCGATAGCCGGCTCGCCCTTTCGCTCTTCAAGCTGTAGCACGCTACTTAGCGAGCTGAAGTGTTTACTACCATGTGCCGTATGTCAAGGCATCGCATTACACAGTACAACAGATAAGCAGGGGGGCATATATGAAAGTGGCGCCATGCGTGAAAAACCATGTGGACCGGCTATCGAGAATTTCGTCCCCCGCATGATAAGGTCATTGTAAAAATCCACGCTGTCTCAAAGTACTAGCATTAGCGAGAGTCTTAGAGAGCATAGTTGATGGAGTAGTGCTGATGGATTTATGGGGTCCAGTCGCTCATAGGTCCAATCTCCAGCTACTCGTGCTAGTCTTGGCAGCCTTCTAGTCTGCGACCCTGTTGGAGCAGCGGGCGGTTTGGTCTATAGCGGGATGGGGCCAGTCTCAAGACGTGCTTCACCCACTAATATACGACGGATGGAAGCCGGAAGCCGTAGATCAATTAGCCACTGCACGCCGACATCGGCTATGCCTGTTTTGAGATGGTTAACACCGAGGCGCCCGTGGCCGTCGATATCTTGTGAAAATTGCGACAGTCGAGCCATGCTAAGACCAACCGTCGCGAGCATCCAGATGCAGCAGTTGAAGTCTCGCCTAACCAACAATCCATCCTACAGAATGCTTGGCACAGCTTATGCAGGGGGATTTGTTTTATTTCCGAGCCCGGAAGCCTCACGAACCACTCTAGCCCAGTTTCCAATCTGCAGCACCGGAAGGCGCTCTGTCAGCCGCAGGTTTCGCAGGTTTCGCCCCGCCCAAAACAGGGGATATCCCCGGAGCTAAATGTCACAAGCAGTGCGCAGCAGAGCATCGCCTCCAGTGATTCGCATTCACATCGACCAGAGCCTGTACTTGGGCGTGCCCAGCCTCGGTCGCTATCGCTTTTGGCTGCCTAGCACCGTTCTGGCATTATTTCGCGCAAAAGTTCCAATCCAGGATGCAGAAATGAGGGCCGATGTATCCTTTTGCTGCACGTCTCGCACATCACCAGCACTCTGATTGGGCTCTTGATACGCGGACAATGCGTCCCTTAATATGGAGGGGCTGGATCTTTTCCCATGATGCCACATGTCTTTCGCATGCTGGGGCAGATTTCTTCCTTTCCAGGCTTCTGGAGCCAAATTCTGGAGAAAAAGTGGCCAGGCTGAACTGCTCAAGTTTGGTGGCCAGTCGCATCACCCCTGACTAACGCCTCGTTACCAAGATTCAGGACCTTACGCTAGCTGGACAGTCGCGTGCCTCTATAACCGATCTACTGTAAATCCAGGGGTCAATATAGGATACTACTGAAGAAAAAAAAAAAAGGCGCGATAAGACAAGTTAAGGGCCATGGCAAGGGTAGGAAATGGCGCCAATAGTGAAATGTCGCGCGCTGGTCTAATCTCGGCTTCCAAATCAGATGTTCTAATGCTGCAATCTTTCCCCACGTAGTGAATGCATATTATTCCTCTTCTCTGCTGATCACTTCCTTCTCCCTTGCATCTCAATTACAGCCTTGTCAGCGATTTTCTCCGAATGGTGGCGCCTCTACCGGGAAAGGGCAAAGGCAAGAACTCAAGCAAGAGGCCCGATCGATGGTCCAAAGCCATTAATCGTTGAACCACAAGCGGCAGCAAAAGACACTACAAGTACGCCAAAATGGATAGAGATTTCATGGAACAGTTATGGAGCCAGCGCCATTACGGGACGCCTCTCGCAGTCATCTTCATGGTGATGCCCACGATCGCCGTTGCCCTGCGTCTGTACGCGAAGATCACGGCTCGTCAACAGCTTGAACTAAGCGACTTTTTCTCCATTGCTGCATGGGCTAATACAGCAGGCTTGTTCATATCTCTGCTAGTGGCTGTCTATTTACCGGCCTCATATCTGGACAATCCTGATGGCATCGATGTGCCTGTATCCAAGATTACATTCTCTCTCAACCTCTTGTGGGCTGGTGCTTGCTATTCTTGCAAGCTATCGATTCTTTGCCTCTACTATCGCCTCTTGAGCACACCGGCCAGCACTTTTCGTCTAGTAGTCCAGGGCATGTTCATTCTAACGGCCTGTGTCGGTATTGCGAGTTGTTTGGGCTTTCTCTTGATTTTCCGGGATATGTCATGGTGGTGGACGACAGGATTGAGATCTCACCCTGTCCAACTGGCGCAAATGATAAAAATGAACGAAGCCATCGATATTCTGTCGCTTCTCACAGATGTCATCTTGTTCGCGATGCCTTTGCCTGTAATCAGGAAATTGAGCCTCGATAAGCAGAAAAAGCGTTTGCTTATTGGTCTCTTCTCACTTGGCTTTTTGTAAGTCACCATTTTCCTCCGATATTTCAAATGAATAAGAAAGAATCCCAGGCTAACCCAATCTACTACCCCTCCCAGGACCTGTATCGAGGTTGTCATCCGAATTATAACCACATATGGCTTTGACGGTGCTTTGGATGCCATCCAAGTCCAGTGTCTGTTGATGGGTATTGAGCCAGCGATGGGCATTACACTGTGCTCACTCCCTGTTTTCTTGCGATTGGTTAGTGTCTATGCCTACATATATTAACGAGATGGAGTTTGCTAATCGCATGCCGTTAATACAGTTCCGAAAGGGTCACAACCCTTCAAGTGGTCGCAGCTACGCGTCCGGAGATCGTGGCAACTTCTATTCTCTGGGTCCTATGAGTGGTAAACATTCAGCAACCAGAGATCCCGATGGAGCCTTGTTGGACTCAACTGTCGGAAAACCGCAGCCAGTGCTTGTACAGACAGAAATTACTGTCCACTCTTCTCGTAGCGGGTATAATGACTCTCTCGAATCTCAGGAGGGCTACTGGAAATGATGAATTATAAGGGGGACTTTCTATTTAATGTTATACCGAATTAATGCAAGACTTATCGAGCAATCGTAACAGCCATGGTCTGTTGTATATTTCCTTATCAATGACTTTTATTATTTAAGCGTTTAACAGCCTAGTTAGTTTATATTCAATTGTAAAAATCTTCTGTTCTATCACTTGCTACCTCATCTGAAGTTCTTTAGGGCTATTGTGTTGCTTGTAGCTCTAGCATCATCTACAGTAAGCAAGGCTTCTACAGTCTAAGAAATTTTAGAATATAGATGCAATAAACTACATTTTAGGGTACTTACAATGAGCGTGAAGCGCCCGTAGCTCGGTGCCAGCGTGTACAGATCTTAATTTTACACTCGAGATTATGACATACTGATTGCAAAGAGCTAAGAGAAAGATAAAAAGAAAGAAGAGAGGGTCGGAGAGTTAGTAGACTATTTCCTATTATATTTCATGTCCGCTCATTTGTATCTCTCTCTACCTTCACATTCCTGGAAGTCGCTGGGTTCGGTCTGTAACTCAACCTTTATCAGCCATCAAGCAATTGGGTTATACGCATAGTAGGCTTGATCCGCCTGCATTTTTGCAACCAGATTTATACTTAGATGACATCTTTAGCCACTCTATCCGTCGCCTAAGTTAGATTGGCCCCTTCCTTCCTTCATATTGCTGATATTATCAGAAGCGTTTGCCGTATTCCTTTCCGTCAGCGTTTCTTTGCCAAGCATATTATTATATTCTTGATTTCAGGCTTTTTTTTTTTTTTTTTTTTTTTTTTTTTTTTTTTTTTTTTTTTTTTTTTTTTTTTTTTTTTTTCCATGGTCATATCAGTGCTATAGTGTGTAAATATATAATGGCCACTCGAAGAGAGGAACAAAAGTGGTGTGGATTGGACTAGAATGAAGTAAAAAAATACCCATGATGGAAATATTATTTACACCGTCTTGATTCTTGCCCAATATTGATCAATGCGAACTGAGAGAAGCCTCCTAAAGCACCGGAATGCAACTAATTAAAAATAGAACGTTCGATAAATAATTACAACTAAAACCTGGAATAAACATAGATATTCTAAGTGTTCTATGAGAATAAGGCTGCATTCAGAAAAGGGAGAAAAAATAGCCGTGAGTGCTTCGTGGAACGAATTTTCTTTACCAGCTAAAAGATTGTCCATGTTTATATAAATACAGCACTGATTCATTGAATAAAATCGCTTAGTAATGAGATATAACTCTTATTTACTGTCTTACATTGCGTATGCATTGAATATAGCGCTTATTCATTAAAATACAGCGCTTATCCGCTGTCATACAATACCCAACGCTGCATGTACACATATGTACATTACCTATAGGGTTATACCTGTTTCATTGTTAACCAATCCTTTGGACGATGACACTCTATGATGGATAGTTGGTAGGCACAACACCCCCCTTCTTTATTATATCAAAGGCATGTATAAAAATGAAGACTGGGTTTTTTTTAAGCTCCTTATAGATACATAGCCCCGCTATTACCCCATTCCGAGAAAATCCGAAACAAAGAGAAACCACTAAGATTCAATATTTGGTAACTAAAGAGCGTAATCATCAACTCTGACCGCATGATAAAACAAGATTAGCGCATCACCTAATAAGACTTTACGAGAAATTTTCAGGATTTTTGGTCACCGACTCTTCAATTTCTCTCTGATTAAGTATGAGAAGTTTCCCAAAACAATATCAGCGGTGCAACACATTATCGCCTCTGTGCAGTCCATTTTTTCAGAGTAGAAACTGTCTAAATCCATAAATGACAATGCCCGTTCCTGATTTCACTTCCAGCGTTGCTGTTCGGCCAAGCGCTTCGCTAAGCGAAGTAACCAGTTTCTTCTGCAATCAGATCAGAGACTTGGGATGGGTATGAGTTTCGGAATTTTTTTTTCTTCATAAAATGAAGGGCTGATAAATGCCAGAATAGAGATGAATTGGATGCTCAAACTCACTTTACAGTGGCTCAAAACGGCCAAGACTGGCTAATATTGATTCCAGCGGGCGCAAATGAGCCTATTGGGATGGTGATAGGTTTTAAGTTCCCTAATCGCACCGGATGGGTAGGTTTCTTTATAGTTGATAAGCAGCACCAAGGGAGAGGATGGGGTGGGATGTTGTTCAAAGCAATGCTTGACACCTACAACGAAATTGGCATCCGAGTGGTTGGTTTGGATGCTGTAAAGGAGCAAGTTAAAACATACGAAAGACGAGGCTTTGTTGAAGCAGCCAAAATCAGGATTATGACGCGCGTGCCTGAACAAGAATTGGAGACCAAGTATGGGGCTGTCCAGCTGAACAACGGGTATAAAGCAGTCGATATTAAAGAAGTTGATGCGGACACTATTGCGGATCTGGATCGCATGCATACTGGGCTTGATCGAGGCGTACTCTGGGCTAAAGCTTTGTTTTCTCGACCTGATGCATTTGGATTTGCTATTATATCTACCACCACTGAAGAATTATCAGGATTTATACTAGTTCGTCGTTGCGAACATGGCTACCGATTTGGCCCTCTGTTAGCAGACTCGAACAGCCATGCGTCCGCTCTTCTTCAACTAGCCATGTCACATGCAGCCGTTTCAAAATCTTCTGGAAGCTTGGTCGCTGAAGTATTTGGCCCAAATGAGAATAGTGTTGACGTATTTTCACGTTTAGGATGGCAATGGACAGAGATGGATTACCACAGAATGTGGCTTAACGGCCGAGTGCCAGTAGAGCAACAACAAGGCGGACGAGGTCAAAAGGGAATGTTTGCTATTTTTGATGCTTCCGAAGGTTGAAGTTATATACATAAAATGGCTTATTAGTTTCTCAGCCTGAATACTAAAGTTCAAGAGTCAATTCTTTCCTAGGACTGATTCAACGGTTATTATGTTCATTGACGTTGTAATAATTATTACGATGGTAGATAGCGTGCCAACAGGAATCCCTGACGGTAGAAATTTCGTATTCGCGTTTACCACAACTATTTAGCTGTTAGCTGAGAAATGCCCATCAGTATTAAGAATAGTGTCTATCTTGCGCAAAGCACATACCTGGCTTTACAGTCAATTTCGGAGACTCTTGTATGTAAGAAGCATGACGTTAAAGCGATTAATTCTAGGCGGTTTCAATATAAGCTAACATGAATTCGGTGTGGAGAAAAGCGCACACAAGTAACGGATGACTCTGCACATTCACAATTGAATGCGACGCGGATAGCTCCTTTGTGCTATTTTTATACGTATCATTTGCTTGATTTACTAACGCAGAGTATCTTCATCTTTATTTCAACTTCCTTACCGAGATATTAATTCCCGGCACCCATGACAATGCCAAGAAGCGCATCAAGCTATGTTTAAAGTAGTGGTTACGTTAGTGAGCAGACACTTTGTGCGATTACAATGTTCACCAATGATATGTTTGTAATGGTGATATTTAAGATTGATTAGCAACTGGCTTTTTCCTTTTCAATGATAGCTATATCTTACTGGATTTGTATATTTTAATAGACTAAAATTTAGAATGCGCCTTGATAGTAGCATTTCAAGTATTAGCCAAATATGTACAGCTTTAACTTATTCCAGATGAAACCAACTAGGTATTTAGTTTCCTTGTATGCTGCAGGCAATAGTGCTTCTCCACGGAGTGCTACTTTTGCATATTTTCCTGCGTTAAATCTCCTTCTCTCTTAGGCAGGTAGTGTCAGTTGGTGGGGAACACACGGCTCACAGTTGATTGTCCCTGTGCCGTAAACTTCGGTATTAGGTAATCAAATATATGCAGGTTTTGGCATCTCAAGCATTAAATACTATATTATACACGTAATAATAGAAATTCAAATTTTCAGACCTGATAACAATAAACATAATAATTTTTTTCTTATAAAAAATTACTATTATAAAAATATTTTGTTTATTTATTTTTGCCTTTGATATCTTGTTTGTAGTTTATATTACACCAATGCTCCTTTTCTGTTAATTTTAAACAACCCTTCTTAGTCTTTTGTTGTACAATTTTATATCATTTGCTCTATGCATCATTTGAGCCACTCTTGGGGGAGGGAGGGAAGGCGCACGGGAATCACAATTAGAAAGCATATGTTTTCAGAATTGGATGGACAAAGGATCGGTGATTACGTTTTTGATACGGAGTACATGTAGGCATATTTACTTGATAAGTGGTCTGATCACCCATCAGTGTCATCATCGCACAAGATGCTCCGCTGTTTTCGTATCATACGATGCCGCGCCGCGGCTGGAGCCCCTGCTCCATTATTTCGCAACACAGCGTGAGTGCCGCATACGCTGCCGATGTAATGGCTTGGTCAGCCTCTCCATCCCCCCCTAGCATGGTCTCAATGTAGGCTGCTGCACATGAACAAAAGAGGAACTCGCGCGCGGACGTGGCCCCTCCTGATGTCCGGACGCGCTGCTCCAGCATGGTGACATAGGTCTGGATGGTTCCTTGAAGCTGCCGCCAGCTTGGCCCGCTGACTGCAGAAAAAAACTCCTCTTTCAGCTCGCTTATCAGATCGAGACAAAGAGCCAGAATTGCGTGCCACTGCAGAGTGGCGAAATGGCCTTGGCCATGGATGCGCAGAACGGTTAGCGGGTTTGCAGGATAGGATGCACTACTGCTGGTAGCGGCGGTCGTGGCCGCAGATGAGGTCGTATTGGAGGGCAAGACAGGTAGGCCGTCAGCATCAGCAGTAACTTCCTCGAGTCCTGCAGCCGGGGTCTGCGTCACCGTTGCCAAGTCTGATGAATGATTCGTCAAGAGCAGTGCCGAGATTTCCATCCGCACTTTGCGGGAAAAATAGCACGCTGGGCTGGGCAAAGGATGAGCTGCGAATTTGGCGTGCGGTGCTAGGACAAACGGCAAAGTGAGTGCATCCAAGAGCTTAATCTGGAATTCAGTAGGCTTCTTCTGCAGAGATCGTAGCCTGCGAAGCTCGGTCGAATATGCTCCTTTCAGCTCAGCGGCGAGCCGGTGCGTGTCTTCCAAAGCCTTTGCAGCACCAGGAGAGTGCATTATGTGCAGTATTCGAAGACGCAGGCGTTGCGTTCGTGTCAATACCACCAAGAGATTCGTCCTCGTCATGCGGTAGCCGGGTGAATAACTCGTAAAATAAGATGATAGCGTAGAATCAGCATCGCTAGTACTCGCGTCCTCATCTGCCAAGTCGGATGGCGGCGCACAGTCGTAAGTTTCTGGAGAAATGGGAGCTGGCAACTCATGATCAAGACATAGCTGTAAGGATAGTTCCAGCATAGTCGCCCACAAGCGCCGGCGAACTTCAATCTCGGTGGCTGGCATATCAGGATCGACTTTAGTAGGATCCCGGTGTAAACCCAGCTGTATCGCTAAGCGCGTGAGGTCATGATCGCCAGGAGACCATAGTGAGCCAGTTGATGTAGCATTGACTGGACCGGTATACCGTGATAGCGCTAGCAGACATATGATTTGCGCAGTGTTCAAGTCTGCTCGTGATCCAGCGATTGCTTTACGAGCCAGCCATTGTCTGCCGTATGCAATCCAAGTTTTCGCCTGCTCCCGCCAGTAGATGCCGTCTTGGTTTTGCTCAGAGACAGTATTGTCAGCAGTGTCCAGTTCAGGGTTAACGAAAGCTCCTAGAGCAATACATATCACAAGCTTGCAGAGGAATAACTCCTCTATGTCAGGGGACCATATTGACGAAGAGCCCGCCCAGAACCGTCTGTAGTCGCGAAGAAATGTTGGCACATGCAAGATGCGCCATACCGATTCAAAGGTGGCGAGATATGCATCCAGAAGAATGTCGCATATCCGCTGAGGCGGTAGCAGCTTTTTCACCGCATAATTAGGTAATTCAGGAGTTGCGGTCCAGTTTAGCGACAAGTTGGGTGCTGAGTTCTTTGATGCTCTTGCCTGACGCTCGAGCTTGACAAATCTGTCCATTAGCGGTCTCAATGGCTCATGCTTGGATTGCAGTTGTATAGGCCCCCTCTTATTCCTTAGTCCGTATAGAACAAACTGCAGCCTTTCACATTTATTCATCGCTTCTTCCCAGCAAGTTGCTATTCGCCCATGAGTGGCGCCGCTCGGGTTCTGTTGTGGTTCTGGGTCAAAAATTGAATTCGCAGAGGACCAAGAAGCATGGTCATCACTTGGCGTCGATAGCTGCCTAGACACTGCAGTCGATGCATCGGAAAAGGTTGAAGCACTTGCATCTGGATATGAGACTCTTGTTGAATGCGAGGTTGCAATTCGAGAATGTGTATCATCAAGTCCCAAGTAATTAGCGAGATTTGCTCCAACATCGTCACGAAAGTGCGCCGTTGTTGGTTCAAGGGAGAAGAGATCAAGGCGTCCAGAGTTGCCGTCTTGAAAAAGCGGATGTTGCTTGTTTGATTGTATATTTGGTAGTTGGGAAATGTCGAGTCGTGTGTCGTTGGGGGAACGAAAGTCGCCATTTGGAAAGGGATGGAAATGAACATTGCTGTAGATGCATCTGGTGTTTGAGAGCTTGCTACAAGGACCGCAAGGCGTTGCGCTATCACATCTGATCTTTCTTCGTTGGCATTCTATGCACGCTGGGGCTAAGCGTCGCCGTTTGTGTACTAAACCAGAATCCATATGTAGATGATTGCACGTTGGAGGATGAAGAAATGGGCGTAGTGTAATAATTTATGTACCGCATTGTAAGGTAGCTAAATCTGATATTTACTCAAGAGTGTCGGGGAGACAGCTGGATATTAGTAGGATCGCAAAGAGTGGGTAAGCTTGAATGCACAGAGTAGAAACAATAGAAGAACAAGAATGGAAAGGTGTAATAAAAGCTACATTTAAAATATAAATTTAGAAAACTGAAAAAGCTTTACTATACCAATTTTTAAAATAAAACACTATATATATAATTATTAAATATATACTAAAAGACTTTTAAATAGTATATGTATATATATATATATCTATATATAAATAGTTTTTATATAATTATATAAAAATACATATACTGCTAATGCAATAAAACTTTTAATTTTAATATATTATACTTAAGAATTCTTTTATTTTTAACTTTAATTTTTTTCAAGCTACTAGAAAACATTTTATAAAGTAAGCTATTTATAAGGGTATATATTCCGTAGAGCTAATAAATATATATTCAAATACTTCGACAAAATTTTTTTTAGCAGCAGCGCTAAAGAAGCAGAGGTATAATACTGTTTTACATAACCTTGCATTAACCAGGAAGATCTCTTGCAGCCTAAACCCCTGCTTCTGCTCCTTAAAAAAGCAGCTCCTACCTTTACTGCTGCTAATTGTAAGGCGATATATGTCACCAGAGTAACAAAATGATTACTAGGTAAGCTCTATAAATTTGAAGGTCGCCATATCTAGATTAGGTAAAGTTTCATGAGGGCTGTGCAGCGCCATGCATCCATGTATTGCAGAGACTTATTTAGAGATACAAACACTGTTTTGTATTAAAACCGACTTTCCTTTCAATGATAGCCCTTTTCCAAGGCGGGCTCATCAAGACATCAAGCAACAGCAGATAGATTGGAGAGCTGGAGTTTCTGGTCGACACATATATGCATATATCAAAGATTGACACGATTGATATTTACCCGAGGCCGGCGACTGGGTCCCCTTTACTAGCGGGAAAACTAAACGTACCGCAGCCAGAGTCGGACACTGAGCCACGCGTTAGCTAGTATAAGTCCCGGGTGTACATATATCGGCACCTGTGACGGGCAGAGACGTGTCAACGACTAAGACGGGTGAGCGACACGCGTAATAACGGCCGCCCATACCGATGTGGTAGCTGACGTGCCTTTCATAGCACAGAGATGTCTAGATTGCCTCATTCACTAAGACGGAAAGCATCGTCACCGATATCGCTCAAAATTATTGCTAAGGATCGGTATATCTCTTGAAGCTCATATTGTTTTTATATTAATATAAACCTTTTTATAACTTTTACTATATATTTTATTTAACTAATATATGTATTTTAATATTTATTAAAATTATGTAAGTGGAAGATAAATATCTTCAGCCGCGCTCATTTGATAGTCTAAAAGGGGGGAACAGTTGAAAAAGCCGTTGCTAGACGGAAAAAAAAATTAGAAGAAATCTCAGGGAGCTGATCATGTTGCGGCCTAAACGGAGTGTACGGCCCTTCATCCGCGTACCAGATTGCAGTATTCAGCGCATAGGGACGGCTTGCCGGTGCCTGCAGGAGGACGATGGTGCCGGTAGGGACCCAGGCAACCGCTCTGTATAACGCCGTCATCCTTAAATGACGCTACACCATGACGACTGTAGCGGCGTCTTGGAGCGCCGACTTCGTGATCTCATCACACTGGCGTTCAGCATATGCCTATCCCTGGTCGATTTCCCCGCCACAATATGATACCGACATAATGTTGGTGGGCTTGAAGACGCCACACTGGCGCTGACCCTGATAGCTGCCGGGATCACGGGGGTTTGGTGTAGGCTAGATCACAGCGGACATCTCCTGCGCAATCGCCTGTTTCGCCGTAAGAACTACAGATCCAGTGACTCCCGTTGATGAATTAAGGAACGCTGGAACATCGATTCAGTTTACATATTCGTGCGGTAATGACTTCGATCTGCTTACTATTGAAGAAGACTCTATATTTCTGAAATCCTTGGTCCAGACCCTTCTCGTAGAATTGGACATGCGATAGAAATAGAGCAGCCTTTTGAGGTTAGATGAGAGGCCAGGCGGGTTTGAAGCCCAGATTAATTTCAAGACCTAGCGCTGACAGACCTGGGATGGCTGTGCCTGTTGTTTCCCGGGAACCTATAGCACCGTCTATCAGGTTCTCAATCGGATACGTTCCATTCGGAATGTTTCTGCGAGAAAAGCTAAGAAGTCAGCAAAGTTTGGATCCGTTACCAGAGCCCACTTTACACACGAGTATAGATTCCACCAGAGCATACCGAGATCCGCGGCGCTGTACTGGTTATCGGTTGCTTCAAATACGCGAAGTTGGTTGCTGTCGACAGCCAAGTTACCATTGGGAATGATATATTGGTCTAATAGCCTTGCTAGCTGATGACGGATTATAGACGCTGGTCTCTTACTTTAATGCAATTCGGAAAGGTGTTTTCATAGTATAGGTTCAGGTTAGAAAACGGCAGCAGGTCACTATCGTCCATGATCTGGTACGTCGGACGGACGGCTCGGTTGAGTTTTGTACGCGCCTTTCTATGTTCGACGTTTTCGTCCCGCTAGCATTCGCACCGTGCCGAACTCAGGTTGCGGGGGTGACCATGTGCCATGCTAAATTATGAGAAACATGGTATTCTTCGCATGTAACATCCTGGCTGCCTGTGCGCCCATGCTCAACGTGACAATACTCGGTTCCTGGAATTCCTTCCACGTGAGAGCATGAGTATCGAATGCACCTACTAAATTTACAAGGAAAAAGGTAACAAGAAAAAGACAGGTAGATTTAAAAAAAAAAAAAAAAGCTTTACAATGGATGAGATTGAAGTGCGCCTGCTTCTTGACCAACTGGAATATTTTCTAAGTTGAAATGCCGGTAGAGACCAGCCAGCCAACAAGGGCACTGGAAGTTAATATTGGTGGCGCAAAGAATATGATAACACGATTGGGCGGGACAAGTAAGGGTTAGTTCTGGGCTGAATGTATTAGCAGGCTGAATTTGCATACGAAGATCATTTTAATTCATGCGTATATATCCATTCCCCCCTTTGCCCAGATTACGTTTCAACTCTTTGAAACCAATCCTCATTGGACGCAGTGTTCTTCCGTGCATTCTGTCTAGTTTGGTCCAAAAGGTTGCCAGGGATCTGGTTGTCTCTTACGGAGAGCATGTCGAAAAGGAATCTGCCGTTTGGAGCTGGCACGATTGCTTATTCAAAAAGCCGTGACCATGCATGCCCAGGCTAGAACTGCGGTGACAAGAGTGAATGGCACCATTGGTCTTGTTACTGGTGAGTTCTAAGGAAACGAATTTAAGTGCTGAGCGTGAGTTAGGCCAATGAGTTTGAGGAGAGGCAGTAAATTATAGGTATCAAGAACTTATGTGCTTGACACCGACGAAAACATAAGGGCAAGGTCGATAGTTGGATTTTAAGAGCGTAACTAGTGCAACTACATGTTCACATGCCAAAAGCCTGAAGCTATCGTCAACTTTATCTAACCTGGGTTGGTAGCATCTCCGCTGCAAAGGTATGATAAGACTCTGCATCCAGGGCTTCGTATACGTGGAGATTCAAAGAGGAGTCTCTCAACCTGCATCACTTTTGAACTCCATCTACTCCTGCGTATAGAGCATGGCTATATCTTGCATAGTGATTAAGTCCTATTGAAACCAGTACTGGCCGTACGCCAAGCAACCTTCACATGTGTAATGCGATGGTATAAGCTGCGATCAACAGATATGCCTAGTTGAGGTTCTGTCTCGAAAGTTTTTCAGAAAGTGAATATAATCAGGTCTAACTACATTAGCTCCTGCCTGGGGACTTGTCCATATTGTCATGCCTTATGATCACCAAACATTTTCCTATTCATGTTCACGAAGACGTGTCAAAATAGTAACAGGGCAGGTTTTGACGCGGAGAAATGCAGAGCATTCACCGATATGTGGATTGAAGATTGAACGATCGAACTGTCTGCGCAACGGGTAAAATCGAGATTTATTTGACTAATATTTACACACCTATAGCTGCAGACAACAGCAGCAACAGGCCCGTAGCCAGGCTCAAATGCAGACAGACCTTCTCCGCAGCCCCAGGGATAGAGAAGAATTCTTGCTGAAGTCGCTTAAAGAAGATGCAAGTCCCTATGCACCTGTTATGGGTAGTTCAAGAGCCTGGAATTGATATTCCGATCTCCTTGGGCGGCTGTCTGCTATCTGAGAGATCGCGTCTTCCCAAGTGTGTTACCACGAAGATTGTTACAGAGCAAATATGTCTAGCAGCAGGATCGATCATGCGCCTTGACAGCGCCGATTCGCATCACAAGCGGCATGTACAGCCAACATGAGGTAGCCGCGGCGGCACATTTTCTAGGCTCTTGCTGAGAAAGCTAGAAATGTTCAAGCCTTCTTCCGCACCTGTAAGGCCTAGTGATGGATAGCATAAACTGGCTTTTCTATCTGTGATCTTCATTTTTCTCTGCTTCCTGCCACATATATGATATAATTGCCCACTGGGCTAGAAGGACGGAGAGTCACTCGCATATATCCGCACAAACTTGCAGAAATACAAGTGACTACGCGTCCACCTATCAGCACCGTCAGAGATCGGCGAGAGCCAGCGATCTTGCATAACTTTTATTGAGTTAAAAGTCACGTCGCCAAAGCTTTCAACAACGGCAACGCAATGCCTCGCTGACGGGTTACACGGGCTGTCCTTTGCGAGTGCATCTTGGATACCTCTTGAAGGTTTCTTGCAATCGCGCGCACATCTATGGTCTTATTGGGCCAGGATTGTCCGTAAGTTGACATAATAAATATGTCAAAACAACACCATAAGATGGTATCAAAGTATTAGGTATTTTCTATCCCTCATCTTCTGTAGAGATCACACGGAATACGGGGAGGCCTGTGCTGGGATGCATAGATGGCTAGAATACAATCTTTAAGAAGCAATGGCTCTTTAGGCAAGATAAAAGCCCAGAATATGGCGTTAGGGGCTAAAAGGGGGTTAAAATTTACTGGTTGTTCCATACGCTTACAGCACCAGGTCTTTATCAGTCCAGAGCGGGCCTAACTTCTGGTTCTAGTGGGGTGGCTTTGTCTATAAGCCTAGGAAGTATCGATACAGGGATCATTATTTCCCTGCAGAACAATACCACGTCGCCTAAAAAACCTCGCTCTTTATTAAGTAATGAGGCATTGGCCACCATGAAACAGTTTCTTGATATACTTTCATGCTGTAACTTCAATAACCGACTGGAGAACAAGGTGAATTCATGAAAACTTATGTATTGGTTATTCCCTGAATAGAGTTTGTATGTGTGCTTATTTACTTATAATATATGCATATCATCTCTCTTCAGACATCCCCCGATAATATTTTACTACTCTAACTTAGTCATATATCATCAAGCAAATGGTAGAAAGTATTGATATATGTAACCAATTAACCGATTTCCTTGATGAGGAACGCAGGGGCTTCAGGCCACATCTGTGCACAGGACATGCGTAGGAAGATAAATAAAGTGCCATAACACACCGCATCAGCAACAGAACAAAATATGTCCGTTTTGCTGTTAGAGAAGTTGTGGAATGTGCCGCCGTTTTGGGCGGCTTGAGTGTATCCAAAGAGAACCACGTCCTTTATCTGGTTCTGTACAGTGGAGCTTAATTTAGCGAAAGAGGAAGACATAATAGCAGTGCCTTGGCTGTCATGATACTAATCGTTAAAATATGGTGCTAGAAGCGTAAATACCTGTAACCGCTAGTAACGATGGCCGAATGGGGACGTTTCGAGTACATAGAGCATATGTAGCTGGCTGCACAGCGCTATGCCAAAGTTATTATAATCGAGGATTCGTGCTATTCGAGCATATTCATCTATCCACACGGCCACACGGCACATAATAAGAGGCTTGTCATATTGCTCCGTCTTTCAACTAAAATAGTAGTTATATTAGAAGCCTATAAATGCTGCGAATACCCCCTGCGATGAATATTTAAAATATCCTATTTGCAATTCAGACGAAGTTATATACCGTCGGAAATTTTGCCAAAAAGGATATATGTTTTCGGTACATATCTTGGCCTAATCGACTGTGTTGTGCTGCAGGTGGATGCAATGAGCATTCATGTAGGTAGCATTGCTGATTTTCGGGTCCCAGACATAGTCTGCAGGACCGAGGTCCATAGCCAAGGCCAATCAGAAATGCTCTCCATCTAAATCCCTTCACCAGCTGATGATCAACAAGGGACGCTCAATAGTAACGTTGCTGGTGACGCGACCCCGATCAAAGATTGTTTACAGTTAATTGTAAGTTTTAGTCAATCCACTACCCCTTGTGCTACAATCATCTCCTGATCCTACTCAAATCGTGCAGTTAGCGGCGGCTGCAACGACCGATGTCCCAGCCCCAGCATAGAGCCAAAGGGTATTTCTCACCTCCCAAATACAGCTAATTGATCGTTTCCATCCTTCCAACTAGCCAAGTAGGCAATGAAGCTGACTCGGGATTATTATTCCTCATGCACTGTAATGCATATTGAGGTGGCTAGAGCGGGGTTCACGCGGGGTACGGGGAACCACGGTGTGCTATTGACACTCTTTCCGCCAGCGGCAGCTAAAAGCCGGCATCCCTTTTTCCATACGGAAACATGGGCCAAACTCCGGGTGAGCTGGGCAACTTGGGTATCATTTTGTATGCAGATAATTTGCTGAGGAGTATGCTAGAGGGGATTGGTTGTGGATAGAAGACGGCGGTAAACGTAAACATATCTACCTACTTCATTTCGCGACTACATTTCTTGAGCCATCCGATGTCAGAGCTCGTGTTGCATAGGCGTCAGAAAGATGTACAAAGCAGTGCTACCGCTACCACTGGTGCATGACTGACGGTCAATTATGGAGGATCGGTCAATTTGATTGCGTCCTCCGTCCGCCCTTGTCCATAACTAACCCCAACTGTGGTTTGCTGCCGATCCGGGAGTTATTGCCGACCTTCAACTGATAAAGTTTAACGAAGTATAGACGAAAAAAGGCTTTCGAACTTTGTAGAAAAGGAGATGAACAATAATTGTTGCAGATGATTATACTGATTTATGTACTGTTTATAAATTGAGCATTTTGCCGCAGGGACAAGCTACTAGATAATCGAGGTAAATTCTGATTTGCTGATTTTTTTTTTCCATCAAAGTCAGCCTGAGGTCCAAGAAAAAAAGAGCATAGAATGGAGCAGGAAGAAACGCCGTTAAGAGCTCGAGTATATTGTTGCGGAAGAAAATGGCATGCGGAAAAATGTGCTGCGGACGGAAAGCTGGAAATGCGCAAGGGGGTCGTGCCAACAGAAGTCCATACAAGTACATGTATTTACAACAGAATTGACGGAACCATAAATCCCGTGTGACTCGGTTTAATGCTCGGCGAGTTAGTAAATAGAGGTGCATTGTGGCCATAGGCCCCATACAACTCTATAAGAAGCTTATGAAAATAATCCTAACCTTAATTACTGATTCATAGACACCTGCTCAGACATATCACCGCAGCTGTATTTCGGCTAGCCTATTCAAGCTCACTCGAAAGCGCTGTCAGCTCTCAATTACTATGTCTTAGCTAACTAGGAAAGGCGTGCATCTCATGAGCAGCCTCTTTGCAACTAGCGTACGGAAAAGTGTGCCCGTTGATGCTATAGACGAAATCTATAGGGAACCAGATAATAATGCGCTCCATAGATGTCCGCAGATATTTTCGGACCGATCTCACATACTTCGACCTTTGCTAGCTTGGACATCGGCTTCTTCTCGGAATATGCACCACTCTCACAAAGTACATGCATAGTCCATCCAGAGCTTCGTAAGGGATCAGGTGATGATTTGGGTACTATTAGCCAGAGGAAATGTATAAAATGTTTGATTGTGGCCTATACTCGACGTAAAACTCAGACCTGTAGGTCTATACTTTGTCAATCGTACTCATAATGCTGCCAAAGGTGAACTTGGTTCGCCGTCTCGGGCTTGGTGCCCTTGCAGCCACAGCCTTGTCCTCTCTCTCCAGTGCTGCTCCCGCCAATATCGCTATCCGGTCCCTAGAGGAGCGTGCTTCTTCTGCAGATCGTCTTGTCTTTTGTCATTTCATGGTTAGTAGTCGTTAGTAAACCATCCGTAACTGGGCTAACCCAATTACTTATTGTAGATTGGCATCGTCGGTGATCGTGGCAGCTCGTCTGACTATGATGATGATATGCAACGTGCTAAAGCCGCTGGAATTGACGCCTTTGCTTTGAACATTGGCGTTGACGGTTATACTGACCAGCAGCTTGGATTTGCTTATGATTCTGCCAACAGAAACGGCATGAAGGTCTTTATCTCTTTCGACTTTAACTGGTGGAGTCCTGGCAATGCTGCTGGAGTTGGACAAAAAATCGCCCAGTACGCAAATTTACCAGCCCAGCTATATGTTGACAATCGCGTGTTTGCTTCTTCGTTTGCGGGTGATGGTCTTGATGTCAACGCGTTGCGTTCGGCCGCCGGGTCCAACGTGTACTTCGTGCCCAACTTCCACCCCGGCCAGTCCTCCACTTCAAATATTGATGGTGCCCTCAATTGGATGGTAGGAAGAGCATTCTTTTGACGTCAAAAGAACATAAAACCAATGCTAATGATCCTATAGGCATGGGATAATGACGGAAACAACAAGGCCCCCAAGCCCGGCCAAAACGTCACCGTGGCTGACGGTGACAACGCCTACAAGAGCTGGTTGGGCAGCAAGCCCTATCTCGCTCCAATTTCTCCAGAGTTCTTCACGCACTTTGGCCCCGAAGTGTCATTCAGTAAGAACTGGGTGTTCCCGAGCGGCGCCTTGATCTACAATCGATGGCAGCAGATCCTACAGCAAGGCTTCCCAATGGTTGAGATTATCACGTGGAACGACTATGGCGAATCGCATTACGTCGGGCCGCTAAAGTCAAAGCATTATGATGATGGAAATTCGAAATGGACGAATGATATGCCTCATGATGGATTCCTCGATCTCTCAAAGCCTTTTATTGCTGCATACAAGAATAAGGATACCGATGTCTCAAAATACATCCAGAACGAAGAGCTGGTTTACTGGTATCGCCGTAATCTCAAGGGGTTAAACTGTGACGCCACGGACACTACCTATAATCGCCCAGCTAACAACGCGAGCGGCAATTATTTTGAGGGTCGGCCTGATGGCTGGGAGACAATGGATGACGCTGTTTATGTCGCCGCCTTCCTTAAGTCTGCTGGCACTGTCACTGTCACTTCTGGCGGTACTACCCAATCGTTCCAAGGAAATGCTGGTGCAAATATATTCCAGGTTCCAGCCAGCCTTGGCCAGCAGAAGTTTGCTCTGACACGAAATGGCCAAACTGTCTTCAGTGGCGTGTCCCTTATGGATATTACCGATGTCTGCGCCTGCGGGATATACAACTTCAACACATACGTCGGCACTGTTCCTGCAGGATTTGATGACCCTCTACAAGGAGATGGTCTTGCATCTCTCACCATTGGTCTGCATGTAACAACTTGCCAAGCTAGGCCCTCTCTAGGAACCAACCCCCCTGTTACATCGGGTCCTATTACTTCGATTCCAGTTTCCTCGACCCAGGCTTCTTCTCCTCCAGTTTCTTCCACTCACGCATCTTCCCCTCCTGTGTCTCCTCCTCCTTCAACTTCTCGTTCTAGCTCTTCTACTCCTCCAGTCAGCACACCACCATCTGGTCAAGTCTGTGTTGCCGGAACCGTCGCCGACGGTGAATCTGGTAACTATATTGGTTTGTGTAATTTCAGTTGCAAGTAAGCTTTTTGCGCCCTCTTTTCTGGCTTCGCAGCTAACTCTCACAGCTATGGCTACTGCCCTCCTGGGCCATGTAAATGCACTGCATATGGTTCTCCTATTTCTCCCCCTGCGACGAATGGTCGCAACGGCTGCCCTCTGTCTGGAGAAGGCGACGGATATTTGGGCCTCTGCAGCTTCAGCTGTAACCATGGTTACTGCCCGCCAACAGCTTGTCAATATTGCTAGATATCGATTGAAGTTTCACAGATAGGCATGGCATATTAAGTTAGTGCCAGCTACGCGTAGGCCATAAATACATCAAGGTTTATTAGGTACTTGAAGCGTCTATATATCGCTAGCACAACTTGACTATATTTCGTTATTGTCAGAAGAATGTGCGAAACTGATATTTCCACACCCATGCTGTAGTGTGCACTTAAGGTGAGAGGCGACAATTCTCATACTAATTTGCACAACAGTCGCTGTAGAATACCCATAATGCAGAGGATTGCAAGGAGTCGTTATATGTATATAAGAAACTCTTTGTATTCACTAAGATCGAGAAGTATCTACAAAGGCAATGGCCCAATTTAGTCCAGTCAGCTTCAGCCTTCTGCTCTCTACTACGTAAAAAAGATTGCTTCGTAGAACCGTTCTATGTTGGTTTCTGTCCTTGCTAATGATGCTGTGTGACGCTTCTATAGCTTAAAATAAACTATATATCATTCTGGCTCAGCAGTTAACGCCACCACTTTCCATAGCAGTTCGTTACTACTTATCTATTCTAGAAGTTGGTTTATATCTTGAAGTAGAAAAGAATTATATTATCTTAGTTGCTCTTGGAGAAAGAGCTTTTTCTAGATACACACATATATAACAATACTCCAGCTGAAGTGAAAACTTCTAAGCACCGGCTCTTTCTAATACGCCTTGTTACGGACATTTCATGCTTTGAAGTAGTCCACTAAAATAGATTTTACATACTGCATAACATATAATGCTTATTAATGTAAGCTTTTCTTGCCTTAAATACTGTATTTTCATAGCTATCGTAATTCTTACGATGTCGGATGATAGTTCTCCATAACCAAATCCTCCTTTGATAAACTATCTGCCAAGAACCAACTCTCGTTCTGCAATAGGGTTATCAACTGGTCGCGGCCAGCTGATGCAAATGTGTAATTATCCGTTTTGAAAGAAGCCTCAACGATATAGTCGATTCCAGTGCCGCTCGAGTTTTCTATTGGCCAGACCTCAATGTCGAGTTCAACGCCATTCCATGTGCCAACCGAGCGCTTGGTAAGAACAGGGCCATATATGACGCCGCTCTCAAGCAAATCAGTGCCCCAATTATCAGATACCCAGTCATTAAACATGTTTGGCGCGTTTGATTCCAACATGCTACGTGAATCACTCTCATCTGGGTCATCCGTGCCACTGTAACCCTTTGAGGAAGCAGTGTAATCTCGTTGGATGGAAAGAGTTTGTGAAGCGTAGAGCCAGTCAATCTGTGCATTATAGTTCCCTTGGCCAGAGTTCCAACCATAGCTGAAAGCCGTGTTTAGGGCACCATTAATATCTCCGTTGTTGACTGGAAGACGCCACTTGTAAGTGAGATCAAACCCGCTTTCATTCTCGATGTTCCGAATACGGCAACTCCAGCCATTATTGTAAAGATCTTCTGAAACAGTGTCGATATACTGTACATTAATCTTTGTTACTGTTGTTGGCATCGCAAATGTGGAAAGAACCGTAGGGGTAAGCTTGAAGTCGGAGCCAAGGACCACGGTAGGATCAAGTAGCAAATGGACTTCATAGTCAGGGACCATGGGACCATCAGCCGCCAGTACCATAGGCAAGATAACGGCAGCAGATATGCCCTTAGCCAATAAGTTCTTCATGGCTAATGCGGTGAGTTATGAGTCTTGAAAACGGTTGAAAATGTCACGAATATATTCCTTTCCATTTTGGCGAGTCTAGTAGGCTATTTATCTTGGATTCCGTACTCTGGCAAAAGGCTGTATTGAGATCCATTTCCCCCCTCTCTCTTTCTGAAGATGCGGACATAAACAGTGCATTTTTTTTTTCCCCAATTGAGACAGGTTGTCGCTAGAAAAGGTATTACTTTTGTCGCTTTTCTTTTCGTCACCGAGTTTTGGCGATTTGAGTGCCCACGTGCCTGCTTCTTCATACCTTATTGCAGCAAAATTTATAGCGCAATATATGTATCTATGGGACTTATTTTTAGCTTGCCACTTTTTTATCACTAGGCACGCGATGCATGTAACGGTAACACTTCCTGGCTCGTCGATATATAGGAAAAGGAAAGTTAATAGGAACACATATGACAAATATGAATGTGAATCTATTTGAGACACTGGACTTTTCTCCTTTTCAGTAGAATATAGAAACTGAAGCCCACGATTTGCAGCAGCTAATTAGCGTATCCAGCAGTGGATATCGTCTAGGTACTAGGTATGTCTACATTTAGCTTACACTTAGATTTCGTAGCAGAAAAGCGCAATTCTTAGCTCGCGTTTATTCCATTTCCATTACCGACACTTATTATAATCATTGATCTCCCAAAGAACGGCTGTCGGTGAGCGCAAACAGTAGTAGTGAATTTATTTATATGAGCAAAGTTGTGCCGTTATTGCCGGGCAGCTGTTGCTACGCCACTTTTCTATCAAAGACCCTGTACGCGGGCGGGCGATGGGGGTTTCTCGTAATTTTCGTAAACAAATTGGTACATCTATATTTCGTCTAAGGGGGAGCTTCGTGGGGGCATCTATAGATTGTTAACAAGAGGACCTTCGTGAGGAAAACATAGCAACTTCAAATATTCGCCACGTACCTAAAACATCTCCCAGTTTTATGCTATCTCTGGTATGACTGATAGCCCACATTGGCTGCTCCAAAATCATTATGCATTCACAGTTCATTAAACCTACTTTTAGCTTAATACGTCTCTCCTTTCCAGCTACGGAAGTTAAAGAAAAGATCTAGTATCGAAATCATTTCCACATTCTTTACGTGGGCGCGTACAGTGTGCTTGCCGATGCTTAGTACCCAAGCCTAGACGAGGCCAACCTCGATATACGATTACTTGACAGGGCAACGGCGCCATATACTGACTGGCCTCTAAACTCGCACAACAGGTAAAATTAGCACACGAAAACTTTAGCTCAAATAATCCGTGGTTCTAATAATTGTTAGCTCAGCTATAAGCCATAAGCCAAACCTCAAAGGATCCAAGACACGGCTCCAAATTTGTCTCAAGAAATGGGACATTTTACAGTTTGGTTGTATAGATTTCAGTATTTTGTAATATAGTCTCCCATGCACACACACATGCCTAGATGATGATACGCACGACGCTATAATACATCACAGCAAGATTTGAAGCAGCAAGATGTAGCACACGAAATTTTGGATGGGGTAATATTCCACTAAACATAGAGTCGCTATGGACCTCGACCCCCATTCTTAGATGAGAAGCCCACTCTTAAAGCTCGAAATTCTCTGTCCGGAGCTGTATTTGCCATAGTCAAGAATTTCATCAACAGATTTATTAAGGATATAATTATGTCATTTTTTTTTTTTTTTTCAGAAGAAATGTAAAATCCCAGCGGCTAGAAACACTAGGTTTAACTATACCTGCTTCTACAAAAAAAAAAAAAAAAAAAAAAAAAAAGGAATCGGGGTGTTAGCGATCTCAACACACACCATTTACCTGTTAAACAGCGCTCATAGGGATGTTCAAGACATACTATCTTTTTAATTTGCATGTCTTACATGGTAGTATTAAAGTTACAGATTATTGTGATATATAAGGCGCAAAAGAACCCCCCAATCCAATTCCAAGTCCATCACTATGAGTACTATTACACAATATTCCACCTTACATTCGACAGTCTCAACAAGATGAAGTAGGTACCCCACGCCGCTACTTCGGATTGCCGCTTTTGCTTCTGCTGCGTCCGCGGCGATTAAAACGCGATGCATGGCGCCGCCGTTATCTGGTAGCCAGCAGAGGGATCATGGCATATTGAATACGGCACATAGTTATGCATTTTGTAAGAACACTGTGTGCCATTGAAAGCGTTGGAAGAGTGGGAGGGAGGTGGTTAGGTTTAATGAGCTCGCAATACTATACAGCAATAAACTTGCATGTATATTACAGTGCTGCTTAGGTTATTTCGTGACTAAATGAATGGGCGCCAATACCAAAAAATTATTGAATTTGAAACTGTAATATTAAATACTTCGGCCTCCAAAAATAGTTCTTTAGCCTTCAACGCTGCTTTGGGTTAACCATTTCAGCTGAGCCATTGGGTGATCCTCATGACGCGTAACCTCTAGCCAGATGGCGTTACGGCCAATGACTCAACACTAGCTCAGTTGGTTGCGGATTCCCCATTGGAGTACATACTTTGCGAATTTGCACAGTGAAGATTAACAAGCTAAGGGGATAGACAATTTTGCCAACGCGAACGCAACATTGAATTATACGATTTACTCTTAACTCCATGTAATTGCGTTCAATACTCAATGGTCTCTGTTGCCTAGCCTCCAAACGCGAATTATCAAGCTATGGGCAAGGCGTGTTGACCTATTACGTATCGATAAAGTCCGATGGAACATGCGCAAGTATATGCTATATTTCTAAGCTCAAGCCCCTGTCTTGTGCGAAGCAGAGTACTCTATCTTCACGCTTGCTCGTTGAGGCAAAGAGTATAACCTGCATCATGAAACGCGCTGTCGGTTCTTTAGATAAACGCAAGAGAGTCTCCCGCTGCCAGGCTTGCGTGAAGAGGCGCATAAAGGTCGGATCACTGGCTCTATCCCCTTTTTGTTCGCGAAATTAACACCATTAGTATCGGTAGTGTCAAGGAGGGTTTCCTTGCGAATATTGCAGTCGTACCAACAAAACATGCAGCCCACAAGCAGTAGCGTCATCTTACGGTGGCACCTTAGATAGGGTGTGCAAGAGTGCAAAAACCCCAATTTTCTAAAAAAACAAGAAAACTAAAAACTAAAAGATACAGTGTGTGCA